TGAATGATCAACTTTATTGAGTCTTAACGTGTGTCAGTGGACGCTTTTAGAGAGTCTGAAGACTTTAAAACTTTATTTTTAAAGTAAAAAGAATATGTATCAACTCGTTTTCTGTGCTTCCTTACAAAAAGGATTATTATGTTTGAAATGTGTTTTTAAATGTATAATTTAAGGACATAATATTTAACATTTCCACGTAAAAATGTCAATGAACACCTAAGTTCTGTACTTTTTATCCAGTTTTAATCACTTTTTTACAATGAACTGTTTAGATCTTGGTTGTTTTTAACTCTTTATCTTATCTGGAAGTTATCAGAGAAACAAGATGAGCTAACATTAGCAGCAGCTTGTCTTACAGCCCCTCTGAACACTGGTTTTCAAGGTGGAACTGCTTTATTCAGGGTTTTTTACTGGCTTTAATCACAGCATCTGTTTAATTTGGAGAGGAGGAAAATAATAATAATTCAGCTCCTGGTAAAAACAACAACTCCCATGATCCCAACGCCACTTCACTTCTTGTTATTGTTTCAATGTGCAGCAGTAATTACATATTGTGTGTTTAAATGCAAACAAAAATCTTATTCTAATTTAAAAGCCAAATTAAAAGTGTTGCTTGTTATGTTTATAACAAAGATGAGTTTTACTTTTTGGATTTTTTAAAAGGGAGTTTTGTGTCTTACAGAGTTTCCTGTGAATTACATGTAACCTCTATAAACTCACACCTGCTCTCCCATTTGCATCAGATATTAGACTGTGTGTGTGAGAGTTCATATTCACCGTTTGTTATGATACGGGCCAGCTGTGACCCTTTCTCCTTTGAGGAGACCCTCGAGCCAAAAGAAATCCCTCATCCCCTCAGGAATTAACACGTGTTTTATACCCTGCCAACAGGAAGAAGAAGACAGTGTGATATTGTTCTGGTTTAAACCCTCGTTCATCTAACGTCATTCAGATTCAGGGTACCTCATCATTGGGGATAGATGTGTATCCGTACTTCTTCAGCAGATACTGCGACATGGTGATGGAGTGGGCCGTGTGGACGTACACTGACGTTTTGTTTCCCACGTCTTCCTCGTAGCCTTTAATGATGGCGCCGTTCATCCTGCCGTGCAAACACATACAAATGTAAGATTAAGATAAGATATAATATAACAATGTGTTAAACCCTTGAGGGAAACAGACAAACCAGAATAGTACGAGTATAAATATACAGATTAAAATAAAGGTAAAGATGAAGCACACTAGATATGTCGACATGTGGTTGGACTTTCATCAGATAATTATAATTAATACATTTCTTTGATACCCACAAAGGCTCTGAATCAAGATTATGATCAAACATACGAGGTCTGCGTAGATTTTTTCGTTTCCAGCGTCAATAAAACGCCTTTTTAACTAAATTAAACTGAATTCAGACTAACTACGATTATCAGCAGCTGTCAACACGCAATAACAGATTATTGTCAAACACAGCAACTAAGTCAGAATGCAAACAGACATATACGTCTATTGACTGGGTGTTCACTATGTGTACAAAGGAGAGCCTGAGCATATATGCATAGCTGTATCCGACTGTTTGTATTTCATGGACAGCTCCGTATGAGCACTTAGCATACGTTATGTACAGGATGAATTATAATATATATATATTATAATTATTACAGCGTGCTATGACGGTCTAAACCAAGAGGAGCATTCAGATCAGCTTGTTCAGAGAGGTTGTCGCCACGCTAGCGTTAGCATTTTTATCTAATACAACCGCTAACATGACTGTTCAGGCTCATTAATTGTTTCTGGGGATTTTTAAATGAATTTATCGATATGTTAAACGCATTTTCACAAGTCTGATTGATTGATTGACATGTATGAACAAACAAAAGTGTGATCTGGATTTGGTGGTAAAGGTAAGCGAGTGAAGCTTGTACATTTATATATATAATAAGGGTTCGGCACAGATAATGTGTTCAGCTCTGACTCACAGCGAACAGGTTTCTCTGGAATGAGGCCACGAGAGAAGACAATAAAATATCTGATTCTTGACATCTTGTTTATTATTGCATGGTGCTAACACAGCGCCAGGCTCCTCTGGCACATTACTGGCAAATCAACAGAAAGGATTCACCGCCAAACAACCGTGTAATATGTTAACAAGCTCCTTTGCCAGTATGCAGTGCCAAATAGCTCAAGGTGAAGTAAGGTAAGGTTAGTTGTTTATGTGAGCTGTGGCAGCAACTTCATGAACTGTGGCAAAGCCCCTGTGGCACGTTTTCAACCGTCTGAAGATCTGTGCCCACGTGTTTCATGAATTTAGAATTTAGTTGATAATTTTTTGCCGATTTGGTGCTACGTATTTTAACTAACTTCTCCTAGGGCTTCACACAGTCAAAAACTTGAATTTCAGCACATTGATTTCCTATCTGCAACAAACTTCAATGTTTGATTGTCTCTAATTCAGCATAAAAGTAGTAAAAATGTTGGTTAAGAAAAGGCAGGCAGGAAAACGACTCTCAATATCTCAAAATCCACACAATTGGACATGCATCAGTGATGGAGATCAGCAGGACTCTCGTGGTTCAGCGCATTGACACAGTATTTGTTCTCCAGTCATGTGACAAAGATAAGCTAAAACTGGACGAGAGGCTTTGGGGTTGTTGGCGGGGCAGGATGTATAAGAGGAATAATGGGATCCTCATATCACTAAATACTAATGGAGACTAATGATTACGCGTCACAGTGTTTGGAAGCCTTATACGCCGCCGGGAGGGGCCGAACAAACAAAATCAACAAGTTTTCTTACCGGAAAACATAATCATGAGAATCGATTTCTTTCCCCTTTTTAGAGCCGTTGAGGATCCCCCCGGTGCCCACCACGGCACAGCGCACGCAGCCGCCACTGCCGGGCTTTGGAAGCAGCAGCGGCTCGTTCGGTTTCGGGATCAACTTCACTGCAGGTATCACCTCTGCAAAACAAAACAAAAACTAACAAAAACATGCAAAACACACACACGAGATGCACCATCAGTTCACAACAGGAGCTTTTACAACTGTAATCATTATTTTTATGTTAACAATGACAACCAGTATGAAGTTTAAACCATAATAATGCATTTATTACATGATTATACCGTAAAACTTCTAATAATAACCCGGGGCTAAATCACTAAACTCACCCTGCCTTTAATTGGGGACAGGCCTTTAATTCCTTTCTTTGCTCAGTACAGATGGAAATATTATCATATTGCCTTCCCTGAGTTTTGTTTATCAAATTTAACGACTAACTTGAATTTTAGGTCGTATTTGCGTTTCTTTGGTTTTATACATCCAGTCAGTTTTTAAAAATCCAGACCAGGCCTCTAAAGGAGACCTGCATCTATCTGGGACTCTGCTTCTATTAGAAGTTTTACGGTATATTTTGTGAGATCTTAACTTTCACCTAAAATTCTGCATCAGTAAACAGTTTAAAAGTTCCTAAAACCAAAACAATGAGCTAAAAGATGTTAAAATGTTCAGACCTAGAAAAGCAAAACATTTTGACAAATTTGAAGGAAAAAACAGAAGTCAGTCAGCGTTATGTTGCCAAAACAATGAGATCAGCAGTTTAACAATTTCAGGAAGAAATAAAATGGATAAAAATACCTATTATCTGATCAGTTACATACACAGAGTGATTGTGAAATACAGTCTTGGTACACTTTGTCTCTCTCACACACACACACACACACTAATGCGTACCGTCGTATTTGAATCCCATGAAACCAAACGGGTTGTTAAAATGTGAAAGTCGGTTCCACTCGCTCATGTTGAAATTGTCTTTGTGCAGATACAGACGTATGTTGGGGAGAAAAGCCTTCTTGAAGCTCGGATCCTCAGATTTGCGCAGAGACTGGGCACACGTCTGAGAATTAAATATGAATTAATTAAATATTAATGAAACAAAACATATAAAATGTGAATGTGTTTATCTGGCTACATTTAATTGAAACTCAGTTGATAGAAAAGCCAAACAGGTTGAGTGAGATTACTCATTGATAGGCGATAGGTTTGTGAAAGCATTTAAAGTGGAAACCAAACAGAAAATCCAAGCAGGTCACACCAAAGATACACAGCTGAAGATGTGGCTGTGCAGACACCAGCTGTGATTACCCACTCCCACAAAAGTTAACACATCCATATCTGTCTTATCTTGTCCTAACTTGCTTACTGTCTGTCTGGGTGGGGCATCCTGGTTATAAACCTCCTCAAAATCCCACTGAGGAAGCCTCTTGAAGGAATTTCTGGAGAGGATGGGCATGGGAGTCTCGACCACGGGGGCACTCGTGGTGGCTGTGATACGGTCGGGTTTTAGCTTTGTCACCGTGACTGTTTTTGTGGCATCAGCAGTTTTTGGTTTATGTGATGTGGTGAACACAGGAGGAGGTGAAGTTGAGTTTCTTATTATATCCCAGTACTCAAACAAACTGCCTTCACCTCTGTATCTGAATTTTCCTGAGACAGCAGTCCGGCTGAGTTGAAAGTTTGACAAAAGAGTAATAGATTCAATATATAATATGTATTATGTGTTATATATTAGGAAGATACAAGTTTAAGTGTCTTTAAAATACAGTTTTATACACATTTCTCTTAAAAAACATGAACAGAATTAGCAACAGAAATTGTTTTAACAGGTTAAATAAATCTTCCAACATACTACAAACACAACTTACCTGATGCTTTCTGATAAATATCCCCATGATATAATTAAAAGAACAACAGTAACTGAGACCACAAACAGCCAAGCAGTAATCCTGGAGGTTAGGAGCGCCATTCCTAAAAGATTTGCTGTCCGGTTAAGAAACAGTGACTCTGTGGTTTGTTTTTTTCTTCTGGAGACTCTGGCTCGATGGAAAAGTGTACCTTGTCACCAAGGTTGATTTGGGCAGGGCTAATGTGCAGGTAGAGATAGACACACAATGAAACAGGAACCATACACACACATACACCTTCACAATAGTACATTGTGGTGGTTTATTACACAATAGAGTTTTATTAAGCAGAAGGAACTTTACAGGATTTGTACCTGTTAGATTTAATGAACATAACATTGAAATACAAAAGAAACACATTTTCTTTATTATAATATAAAACTAATATATTTTTAACATTTTCAGTCATACGATAGCTAGAAAATCCTTTTTGGGCTGGAAAAAAAAAGAGTCCAGCTGCTTTTGGTTTAGTCTTCACGTTGATGGTTGGATGAATGGTAACAACAGCACAATAAAACAATATTAAAAAGAAGGAGAGCTGGTTGTTGAGTGGACTGTACAGCTGCGTTGAAATACTGTGAACACGTCGTTTATTGAGATGCACTGGAGTAGTCCTGCAGTAGCGCTCACAGGTTTTTAAAAGACTGCAATCAGAGGCCGGATCGCCCCCCCAAAAAACAACAACACCAAGAGTCTCAGATGGAGTAGAGTCTGAGCTGCTCCTCCATGTCTCCCTCGGACACCTCCCCAAACGTCTCCTTGTTGTCTTTCAGCAGCTGGAAGATGGCGCACAGCTGCTCACGTTGCACCCTGGTCGACACAGACATCAGAGAAATTAATTATTAATTAATAACATCCTGCACGCTGTTGATGATTCGTGCAAATTTTATTAAATAACAGAAAAATAGTAATCAGTTACAATTACAGTAAAGTAGCTTTTGTGTTCCTTTTAAATGTCTCAATCGATTCTCTTATCATTGCACACAATAAAAGTTTTTGTGTGAAATTAAAATTGTGATGCACAAAATGATGATTCTCACACTAACTGTGAATCTAATCACAAATATCTGCCAAAATAATCGCAATATTATGTTTTTATCATGTCGTGGAGCTTTACTTTAAAGGTAAATGAAAGAGCTCAATACCGTTCACCTGACGAAGGTACATAAACTCAATGAAGTGAGTACAAGAACAAGTCTGCAGCTGTAAAAACAAGAACTGGGCAGTCTGTCTTGGAAAATTGGTGCGTTAAAAACACTCCACTCCACACCCAGTGGGATTAAGATGAAGCTTTAGTAATAGGATGTAAGTGACAGGTCCTGTTTAGTGTTATATAACTTCTGTTTAATAATAGTTTTATACGCGGGGAAACAGGTCCTCTGTCAGTGCTTTATCAGGAATATTTCTGTCACTTAAAGTCACCAGTAAGAGCTGCTTCATAAAGAAGCTTTTTGAACTTACAGTTTGTATTACTTAAAATTCATTTAAACTATTTTTAAATTTTTTTTTTTAAATAACTTATTGTATTAGAGTGTGGAAGTGCCCTTTTCAAAATAAGAACAAAGCCATGTTGCTTTTCCTATTTATTATTATTTTTGTGCACACCGACTCAGTTCGATCTACTGGAAGTGTCTGCAGGTGGAAAGCAGCTACGTTTAAGCTACTTAAGGACTGTGCTTCGGTGCAGTTTTGAGGCACTTTGAACGGAGAAATATTGGACATTTGTTTCTCTACTACTTGTATTCGACAGTTAAATGTTACTTTGCAAAGTTAGACAGGCAAGGGAGGCAAAAGGGGATGACAATGACGAATGGAAAACATTCATACCAATGTATTAAAACACACCATTCAACACCCAGAATAATAGTTTAATACAAAAGGTAACAGGTCTTCTGTCAGTGTGTGTGTATATATATATATATATATATATATATATATATATATATATATATATATATATATTTCTACCATATATTAAGATATATGTCTTCTATAAAGGAATAAACCTTTAATCTCTCCCTCATCCTTTTTATTGTGTGACTGAATACTTTTGGAAACAAGTGCCGTGTCAGCACAGTGTCCCGGTGTGGCGTTACACCGACTCCTCCTTGTGGCAGAACGGAGGAGAAAACCTCAGAGGATTAACTAACACTCTTCTTTCAGAGGTGACGACAATCAACACCTGCTGCGACACCTGAGAATCACACATCTAATGTGGACTAATGGGGACAGTGGGTGGTGGTGGTGCTGGTGCTGGATGGGGTGTGTGTGGGATCAGGTAAACAAACACTGCACAGTTAGATCAGTCGCTTCATGGCCACTTGAAGACAAAGAGCTGATGAGCAGAGGTGGCAAAAAGTACCCAAAAAAAAAGTACTCTCTTGGTTTCCCTGAAGGACATTTCTACTTGAAACTTTAAATATGGTCGAGTCTCCCTCCTCCTCTCTGTTATAGGCTGTTAATCCTCTCAAATGCAGTCAAACTAAAGCCTGTTCTGAAAATGCAAAGAGGTAGACAGTACCTAGAAAAACACTAGGACAGTAAAGGAAGTATTTGTACTTCGTTACTTCCCACCTCTGCTGATGAGGCCAAAACTGAAATCACACAATGGCCAGAAAGTGACTCCCTTGAGATAAACAGGGGGGGTGAGAATAACTTATACTTTACCACATATATGCTCCTTTCTTTCAGGCTTACAGACAGTTAAAGTCTGCGTTGGAGTGTATCCTGTAATGATAAGAGCAGTGGTAGGCAGAGACGTTACAGCAGCAGCCACCGAGACGCTTCGAGTGGTTTCTTAAAAGGTCTCGTGTCATTCATCCTCCAGCTAATGCCTGGCAGGGACTCAATCTCTCCTTTACTCAGTCTGACCTGAAGAGGACGGGTGATACAGCAGCTAAACGTGGGAGGCTCCGAGGGGGAAACGCAGACGACACACAAACACACGTGAAGACGTAGAAGGGAGATTAGAGGGAAGAGGACAGAGGGCAGAGCAGCTACAAGGAAACCTCATTTAATTACAAGTATTTTTGTTCTGTTTTGGAGAACAGGGGGAGATGGCTGACTTTATAAAGCTGTAATTAGCTTATTTTATTATTACCAACCACCAGGGAGGTTATGTTAGGTCGTAGGTTGTAGTAGATCAGACGTCACAGATACACTAATTATTGTTCTCTATTACTAAAATCTTGAGATAGATCAATTATAATTGGACATAGAGAGTGGTTCTGATTGCAGATTGCATATTATTGAAGATTGAGACTGAGGTCGGTGTGAGTGTCGTTCTAGTTTAATCAGGCAACTTTTGGGTTGCCAGGTTGTGGAAAATCCTCCTCCAGCATTTCTTTTTACATCTTTAATTCCTCAGGAAGGACCCTTAAATGGACTGTTCAACTATTAGATGGGTTTCACCTAATAAAGAATTATATAATATTCTTATTATAGTGGAATATAATATAAATATAATATATAATATTCATAGGTATGTTTTCATTTGTGTATAATCACCTGAAAATAGGAACTATTGTGTTTTTGTTAAGTTATAATTTGCTGTTTTTATCTACAGACTCTGCGGGTTGTCTTCCGTGGCGGAGTCCGTCATGTTGAACCGTGCTTGGAAAGGGAAGGTAAAGCAAGTGAGTTGCAATCCGTAACTACACCACTAGAAGCCACTAAATCGTGCACACTGGTCCTTTAAGTGGACTGTTATAGTAAATGTATAGTTATACTATCATATGAGGTTTCTCCTCATGAATTATTCCAATTAATGGCTTATAAACTCTTTATAAAATGGTGCTTTATGAAGAACGTGGCGCCATATTTGTAGTTTTCACTGACCTCTGCTCCTCCTGCAGCTCCTCCGAGGACATCATCACTTGCAAGTGGTGGGATCGCGCCTTTCCGGGGATGTACTTCAAGCACTCGCTGTCATTTGATTCGACTTTATCTGATCAATCAGAGTAAACGCTGATTAGAAATCAACACCAAGTGTACCAAGTGAATGTATTTCAAATATCTAAAAAGTGCTCACCGTTGATCCCCGGGCTCTCTGTGGCTCCTTCAGTCTGGGGGTAAGAGAAAGCACACTTTATGAGCTCCTTTTCAGAGAGCCCGATGAATGACCTACGGCCCCTCCCTGACGAGGCCCCGGGCGGCGAGTCTACCTCTAAGCTCATGGACGTGGAGGAGGAGGAGTGCTCAACTGGGGTTGCCAGTTCTTCAGTGTGAGGATGAGGATGTGCCTCCTCCTGTCAGAGAATTAAGGGGTCAGGTGAGGGGCATCAAACCATCATTTTTACACCGGTTTTAACGTATATTTTAACGTCTGTGAGCGTCCTCGCAGGCAGATTAGAAACTCATATTCGGGGAAGCTCCAAACAGATCAATCTATCTGCTCGTGTTACCTGTATTCTCACCTCTCCTCGGATGCTGAGCTTGACGAAGGTGTGGAGGAGACCTGAACCGTGTGTGGAGGGGTTGAAATTGATAAAAAAAATTAAATAAACTAAATTTTGTAAGTTAAAAAAAAAACATTATTAGTGACACTTGTACTGTGAAAACAAAACATTAATCTGAAATGTTTCTGCAACTTACAAAATGGAGTTTGTTTTACTTCAATTTTAGATTTTTTTAGTTAAAATAACTGGAAGTGGCCCTTTCAAAATAAGAGCCAATCCATGTTGCTTTTCCTGTTTATTATTATTGTTGTGCTCACAGACTCAGAGTAAGTGGGTGAGATCATCTACTAGAAGGTGGAAAGCAGCTTCGTTTAAGCTACTTAAGTGCTGTGCTTCTTTGCTACTACATGTATTTTACAGTTAACTGTTGCTTGTTACTGCCAATTTACAGCTACAGCTAATGAGTATTTTATTTCCTTAATTATTTTAGTAAAAAAATATAATGAATAGTGATAAATGTCCATTTGAAGTCTTTAAATATCTTGTTTCCAGAGGGTAAAACCCCCAAAATGAACCAATTATTACAAAAAATAAACAATATGAGTTTATAAAATACCCTAAATTATTACAGATTAAACTAAATTATCTTAATCTGGACCAGCTGCAACATTAAAATGCTGCCTACACATTAACACACCAGTAATAATAAAGATATATGTGATAAAATACAACAATAAAAGTGAGTACTTTTACTTCTGTATTAAACTATACTTATATTTTACTTTGCGTACTTCTTCCACTCCTGATTCAGCAACATTTGAAGGTCAATAAATCACTAAATTTATCATATTTTAGCTTGCAACTAGTTTACAAACTCAGGTTTTCCATTAAATGTGACAATAAATGTGTATTTATTTAAATACTCGATTAAACTGCAACTAATTCAGCTCATAATCCACTAATTATCCCCTTTAAAGAGTCGATTCTCTCTCATTAAAACCCGCTACAGTGACGGATTTGAGCTCCTTCCTCCACCTGCACAGTGTATCTGTGTGGGGAGGAACAGATTACGCAATGAAACGCAAACATGCGGATCCTCTGCGCGTAAAATCTGTTTGTTTGCGGGACTTACTGAAAGCACAGATTTCACCACATCCCAGTGGTCGTGTGCGCTGCCGCTCATCTCACACCAGTCGTCCTCCGCCTTCTTGCTCTTCTTGTTGTTCTTGCTCTTCCCGTCCGGTACGTGGCCGTTCAGCCTCGGCGGATCTACTCCCGGTGCCGACGCGTCTCCTCCCCGGTGTCCGAAATACGCGTTGGCGAACTCCGCCGTGGGCGAGGAGCCGCTGAGCAGCGAGGTGGCGACCACGATGGCGAGGAGAGTGAAGATGGCAGCGGACAGGATGAAAGTTAGATCCATGGTTTGAATGATGGAGGAGGGGAGGAAGAGGAGGGTGGTGGTGGTGGGTCAAGGCTCTGGGTCCTCTCTGCGTCTTCGCCCTTCGCGTTCACTCAGTCCATCCTGCAGTCCGGATAATCCTCACCAAACATCAACGTTAACGAGGAGCACTTACTGAGGATATGGTACAATCTCCCCCCGGTGCCAGGACGTCACATCCTCCGGGTCCGCCCTCCCTCCCTCCAACCCGAGAGTACCCCGGCGGCGTTATATCCCCAGACTACCGGGGAGGAACAGGATCAGGTGTTGGGTTGGCACGGTGCGCTGCAACGTGCTGTCTCTCTCTCTCTCTCTTTCTCTCTCTTTCTCCCCTCCCGGTAATCCCATCAACGGCGAGTGCGGTGAAATGGTTTGTGACAGGACTCGTGTACCGGAGCCGCAGAGCTCATAGAAAGTCACACAGGGTTTATAGAGGAGGAAGGAGGAGGAAGGAGGAGGAAGGAGGTGTGTTCGCACCTTCCGGTCAGTGTGCTGCTGCAGGATGTGGAAGCTCTTTATTTATATTTATATATATATTCTTTTTATTTACTATTTTTATCTTTATTTATATTTAAATATATTTTCTTTTATTTACTATTTTTATCTTTATTTATATTTATATATAAATATCCTTTTTATTTACTTTTATCTTTATTTGTATTTTTTTTTTTTTACACTTCATTGTGATTCTTATGCACTCTGACCTCTGACCCAGAGACATATTTTAGGGATTATTTCATGTTATATTCAAAAGTTTGTGTAAAATTAAAGATTTGGATGATTTTTGAGCAAATTATTTCCTGTTTAGGGAACTTTTTTTTATACAATTATGTGTCTGTATGTATTTCTTTTAACAATCATACAGACTTAAAGACTTTGCTGTTGTTCTATTAGACAATTTACTTAAATTACTTTACATTTCTTTACTAAAATGAATGAAATCTTGAGATATTGCTGCTGTGTGTATGCTTTTTTTAAGTTTTCTTAATAAAAAGCCTCCATGAAGCTTTGGCGACCCGTAGTAGGGGTCCCCTAATATAAAATAATAATATAAATAATAAATAGAAAATAAACAGGAACGAACAGGAGACAGCGGACAAATATATATTGATATTTTACATATTTTCTGCTGCATGTTGCTGCAGACAGACTGGTACTGTTTCAGTATTACTTGGATCATTAGTTTCAAATACAGTTAAATTAATCTCCAGCGTTATTTATTCTGAAGCTGGACAATATAACTTTATTTTATTATTTATTTAGGTTGATAAAATAAGTTTTGTTGCTGCCCCCGCCCACTGCAGCACATTGATGAGCTCTGCTTCTCCAGACTACACTGACTACAGTTATAAAGCACAGACAATTACAACACTTTAACATGTGTGCAGTTATTATTCATTAGTCATTGATTATCTGCACCCAAGAACAGTTCTTTAATTATTAGGACAACAAACAACAGAACAACAATGAGGAAGTCCATCCTGAATATTGTATATGTGAGGAGTGTATGTCACAAAAGGAAATTGAATCTATTGTTTGAAACTAAAGTTTAACTCGTATTGTTTCAGATTCAGTTTCTCACTAAAACAATCCAACTTCTTTCAGAGCAGAGCTGCTTTAACTGCTGGATACAAGATAACAGAGTCCATTCTCAGTGTACACAAACACCTGCATATGAACACGTCCTAAACTAAGATTAAAGGTCACTCACACTGAAGATCAAACATTAAAAACCAACGTACAGGAGGAAGAAAGTCTCACATGATCATAGTTCTGTTTAAATGTTTGTTTAATTGGAGGTGAAATAGTGTTTGTGTCATTACAGCTCACCTTCGCCCTAAAGTAACTGATCATCCACAACAATAAAACTCACAGTGAACTAATAAAAGAATAAAGATTGTGCTGTATTGTCTAAATGATGCAGTCTATCCCTTTAAAAGATCTGGCTGTTACAGATCACTGAACATATCGGAGATACAGAACGTACAAACAGATAAGATCGTATCCATGAGCCACACCTTAACAAAAACATTACATAACCTCCCAGCAGCAACAATTACACCTCAGACACATCCGACTGCTGAGTATTCTCCTTAAGATCGCATATAACTGATGATCCAGGATCTTTTTTTGGGCCGTTTCTGGGATTGTTGCAGCCTAAAATGTCTGATTTCATGGCAACTTTTACTAAAAGAACAATTAACAATTGAACCTCAGGAGAAAATGAAAATAGCAAAATTGTGGCCAGCATGCTTTTTTTTTTTTGCATAATAAATTTAGAAATCGAAAGCAATTTGCTCCAGTGGGAATAAATTAAAGTTTGCACACATTTAGAAACAAGGAAGTGAGTTTATGAACTACAATTATTTGCCAAATTTGTGGAAAAGTGTCAATGATTGAAGAAAATTTCAAAGACGGTTGGTTGAAATTGTTTTAACTGTTTTGATCTTAACTTCCTTTTCCAGTGAACCGCCGGCGAGTTAAAGTCCCCTTTTTTACGGCGCGTATAAAGAGCGAATTGTCCAGACGACACCATTAAATTCACACTGGCAATTTATTTACGACAAAGATGTTTTATTCGCATTCACCTGAAGCAATTACAAGACAATTGAGGGATTTCACAGAGGAATGCAATACACACACACACACACACACCACAACAAAAAGAAAATGATTCACTGGGCAGCGTTGACCGCCCGTTAAACCCTTCACTAAAGGAGTCACACTGGACCCATTTTCAAAAAAAGCGAGCAAAAACCAGTTATGAACAGTGGATTAAAACCACAAGAGGGGGAAAAGGGAGAGGAGGGAGAATAAAGAGAAAAAAGGAAGGAAGGAGAGAATCTGTACAGCACATGGAGGGAAGGAAGAGGTCACAAGACAGGAGAAGGATGGTTGATCTGCCACACCTGTGAGCTTACAAACCGGCAAACGGCAGCGGAGGGTCGAGCCCCGGAACAGCGCCGGGCACTCAGCACCGCAACACGCCACACCATGTCACCACCGCACTGCACCGCATCTTAACAGCTAACCAGCATTACTCAACTGCTACACAACTGCGCCTAGTGCACAAAAGATACACAAGAAAGAGGGTTAGAGTCATAGGAAAGCAACTTTAAACTAGACAGAAAAAAAAAAAAAAAAAAAGGTTTGACAGAAAAGAAAAATGCCGGATTAGGAAGTGGCACTGCGATACTTTAATGTTTTGCTTTTATGTCACTAAACAGTAAGCCATTTTTTTTTTGTTCCAATAAGAGTGTATATAACATATCTGTGAAAGGATCTGAACATCCAACATGACACCCTTTACTACATCAACTCTGCAAATAAAACTCTTTCATATCCATCTAGAAAGAGTTAAACAAAGAAATCTACTTTAATTTAAAAAAAAAAAAAAAAATATTAACAAGTACAAATTTAATCAAAATGCAAAGACCCCAAATTTAATGAGAAAACAAAACAAACAAAACAAAAAAAACACCTTAGAAATTATTTTCAATATTGTGGAATTTACAAACAATGATCACATCAATGTTACAGAATTTTGTTTTAGGCAAATTAAAGGTCAAATGAAAACATTGAAAACATTTTAGACCAAGCTCCAATAACCTTTCAGTCTGCATTCAGTGGTAATAGTGGAGTCCCCTTGCTCAATGTGAGACTCTTCCTGATGTCCTCAGCAAAGGCTCAATCATCTGAGATCTGGAAGGAAAAGACAGGAACGAGTTGACAAGAGCAAAAAACAAAAACAACAAACATCTGAACTCCTGAAGCTACGACTGAATATTTAAATACAGTACTGATCTGATCTTTCCCCTGATGCTAACATTTATCAAACTGCCCCCCCTTTTTTTTTTTTTTTTACACCTAACATTTCTATAAATCTTCACATTTTGTTTACACACCTTTCTTGGCCCCCCCCTCCAAAAATAAAACTATGTCTAACTACGACTCTTACACTCGGGCATATGTTGAAAAACAAACCTCGGGGTCGGTTCCCTTTGTGAGAGGCGGAGGAGACCACAGGCACAGGTGGGAAAACAGTGCTCAGTGCATCTGCCCGTGATCCCCCGTGAACGTACCTCACCACACCACCACCTCATACACCAACTGACAGCCCGAACCACTGCCATTGACGACCTGCTCCATAGCAACCACCGTTGCCTTGGTGACCTGCTCCTTAGCAACTGCCATCGCTCTCAGCAACAAGGCAGGTCACACTGGGCGGGGTCACACACTAACTGCTCTCACACTGCCACACCCCCATCCTCCTCCTCCTCCTCCTCCTCCTCCCTTTGCAAACAGGACTCCGCAGCTTGGAGGAAAGAATTCCACATTTAGGTGAACGTTTTGAGTGAAGCACCCCACGTCCCTCCCATGCAACACTCACATGAGTACAAATGTGATTAATACCCAGTTTTTAAATATATATATATGAGATACACTAGGTCACATCAACCCACATCTGCTGTTGCCTGTGTGTGCTTTAGATTGGCTGAGCAATACAAGCAAAGTAAAGCATACACAGAACTAAGGACCGTAAACGACATCAGTCCTTATTTTACTTTCTCAAAACACATTACGGATTCTGCAGACTTTGTTGCTTGTGTGCAAACGACTGATGTAGCATCAAGGCTGCAGAATACCGACCCAAGTGATGACACAAAGCCACCTCCGGTATAATATTTTAAACAATATAATATAATCCACCCTTTCCCCTGAATACCGTCATATTGTGTCCAAGCTTTGGGTTAACACTCTGCTCCGTTGTCCTCTGGAGATTTGGGCCTACTCTTGGATTTGGACCTGGACCTGGATTTGGACCCTCTGTTGGAAGGCGGGGTTCGACTCCTCGACTTGGACCTGGACCGGGATCTAGACCTGGAGGGAGACTTCGACTTGCTCCGTCTGGGGGTTCTGGACTTGGACTTGGACTTGGACCTGGACCTGGACCTGGATCTGGATCTGGAGTAGGAGCGGGACCTGGAGCGGCTGTAGTGGTGGCGGCTCCTGGATCGGGAACGGCTTCTGCTCTTGGAGCGGCTGCGGCTACGTCTGCGACGCCGAGGACTGGCTGAACGACTTTATGTTATGGAGAGAAGCACTTCAGTAAAACAGCCAAATAAATCTACAATAAGATAAAATTGACAAATAAAACAACCTACAAACGACACGTTGGTCTTAATGAACATGTCACTGATCTGTAGGGCTGAACAATTAATCTAAATATTATTAAAATCACAATATGCAAATCACAGAAGCTGCAATGTTTTGATAAAAAGGTCAAATGTGTGAGAAAACAGAATTATAGTTAAAATTTCACATCATGATTTAATAACTTTTTAAAGTTATGACACATTTAACTCTTTGTAGTGATGCAGGGTTTATGATGATGTTTACTACAGTTTTCCTCTAACTGACATTAATCTGGTCACAACCTTTAGGCAACAGCCCAAATAAAGTTTATTTTACAGAAGATTAATCTAGAAAGTTAAAGTGTTTGTTGGGATGTTGATTTTACACTTTCACTTCCTATTAGATTATTTATGAATACAATTTACATTGCTGTGTGCAATGTAGGAGGAAGAGATCTGAGTGAGTGAGGGGCTGAAATACAAAATGTTCCAGGACAATACAGATTTTTTTTCCAGGATATTTGGTCATTTGAATCAATTTCCAACTGTTTCCATTACGGGAAAACTAGTCTCTAAGTTTCCAGGACATGTGGGAACCCTGCCTATTGAACTGTCATGAAAATAATCTATATAATAAAAACCACTGCTGCAACACTACACAGAATCCTTTGCAAAATAAGGTGCAGTTTTATATAATTACTAGATTAAGATGATACCTGCACCCTTAAACCGAAAGTGAAACAATAATGCTACATTAAGGCTGCATGATAGGGTAAAAACACCATATTGTGAGTATTTTGACAGATATTGAGAGTCAGGATTAAGTGGGAATGATCAGTTTTGCATCACAAATTAAGTTTACACTACTAAAATTGGGACGTAAAACATGTTTTCTTAAATGTATATTATTGTATAACCGTATAATTCTGTTCACACATTTTACCTTACATTACAGCTCCTGCAATTTGCATATTACTCATATCCATATTGTGATTTCGATAATATTTGGATTAACTGTGCAGCCCCATGCTGTTTAGATAATATATAAATAAAGGAAAACGAGCAGAAAACAACAACTACTTTCGTTTTGTACCCGTTAGCTACACCATGTGCCAATTCTTTAACAAAACTATTAATATGAGAGTAATAATCAGCAGCATTAACGGTAACGTTAAGCTACCTCCTGCTCCTCCGTCCGTACCCTCCGTATCTGCGTTGCGGAGCCCCTCTCCGGCTGTACATGGAGTCCGGAGGTCGGCCGTAGCGGGCCATCTGCACCCGGAGCTCCCGCCCGTCGAGCAGCGCGCCGTCCATAGCGTCCATGGCGTCCTCGGCGTCGCGCTTGTCGAGGAACCGCACGAAGGCGAACCCGCGGCTCTCCTTGGTGTACCTGTCCCGGGGGATATACACATCCCCCACACGGCCGTACTTCTCGAAAACTCGGCGCAGAGTCTCCGGCGAAGTTCGGTAAGTCAGGTTATCCACTTTGAGGGAGGTCATCCCCTCAACGTCTGGCGGCGGCCTTCCGTAGCTCATTCTCTACCGTCTCTAAGCAACAGAGCCGCCCGGTTAAAAACGAATATCGCACGGCCTTTCCGTTAGCTAAAATGGCTACCGATGGTTTACAAATCTCCAGTTGGTGTTTTAAACTCAAAATCGGGCTGATTTTTGTAATTGTTTATCCCTGAACGTCGTTCCTATCGCGCTGCTTTCACGTGAAATGGCGGCAATAAAGCTTCCTTCCCCTCCTCTGTGCGCCCATGTTGGCCTCCTCTGATTGGCTGCCTGACTGTTCACCGACCGTTACACCGACCGTTACACCAACCGTTACACCGCCCTCTGGCGACGCGGAGTCGCTAGTAACGGCCATAACGGACCGTTATTCTGCGTTCGTTGTTGTGATTTCTATGACCCTAATTATTGCGGAAAAAACAGCTTTTTTTTTACTGTCTTCTACACTCATGTCCGGAGGGTAAATGTCGGTTCAGGCTCCGTGTGAACTCCACACCGGGGGACCGTCCTCTCTGCACTGCAGTCAGCCACATAGATGTAGAAACATAGAGCGTCTGAGCGGTCGCCATATTGCAGAGGTCAAAATCCGCCAGTTAATAATAGAGTTCACTACAAACTGTAACTCTAAACCGATTTACATGAAATTTGGTTTGTTATTAAGAAACTGAACCGGATGCTGACTACTTGTTAATCAATTCAGTTACTTTACACCAATAAAATTACCTTCTGAATAGCCTAAAGTTCCACTGGGGCATGCAAGCTTATGGTATTGTTATTGTTTACATTTATTTACAAATGCAGCTATCTATATCAACTGTATTGTTATAAAGCTTCCTGGTTGCTTGTTTTGTGAAATGTAAAATGTGTCAATAACAAACAACATTTCATGAAAACAGCTTCAGATTTAGGCGAGTTGTCGATTTTGTAGTGAAGTGTGAATCTCTCGACCTTCCCAATATGGCGGCCGCGCAGACGCATATATATATATATATATATTTATATATATAGGCGCCGCATTGGCCGCTTCGGCCTGTTGCTGGGATACGTCAATGTCGCCGCCATATTGGAACGGTCAAGACTGGCTTGTAAACGAATACAAGTAAACCAGAGAGCTGCGGGTTTTCTGGATAAAAAAAACACCATAACCTTTACATTTTTTAACACTAACATGCTTACTATAAATATTTATAACAATTATTTATTTTCCAACACGTAAGCAAATTCATGTAAGCCTACGTACATTCCTCTGTTGAGCGTCTCGTCGTTATTAGGCCTGTAACATATTAACTATCGAGATTCTAAGTAAAAAATATAAACTATAATATGCATATAAAAACGACTCAATGAAATCGGTTGAGAAATTGTAACATTATGGTGTTTTTTATCCATAAAAACCGCAGCTTCCCCCCCGGTTTACTCCTATTGGTTTTACAGGCCACCGCCCGCTCCAACATGGCGGCGACGTCAACGTACGCTCCAATGCGGCGTCTCTCTCTCTCCCCCTCTCTCTCTGTGTGTGTGTGTGTGTGTGTCTACGGTCAGCGCTGCTCGTACATTTGGCGTAGGAAGGTCACGTTACAAAGCGGCAGTCGCTGCTGCTGGAGAGAGGAGGACTGCGCAAAAAAAAAAAAAAAAAACCAAACACCCCACCACGGCCCGGATTTATGCCCGACTGACGTCATGTGGAGCCACAGTCCTCTTTGACAGGATCCAGCACCGACGAGCACCGGCGGGAAGAGAGGGGGAGAGAGAGAGAGAGAGAGAGAGAGAGAGAGGCGGTGGGATAAAATGCTCAACATCCACCGGGGCCGGTAGTAGTAGTTCGCCTCGTACTCGCCCGCAAAGTGAAGCCAGTCGCTCGGGAGGAGGAGACGAGAAGGACGAGAGGAGGGGGGGGTGTTCGCTTAGCTCGACTGCGGCGAACCATGAGAGCGCTTATCCGTTATTAAAGGGACCTCAACGGCTGCTTTCTGCCTCAAAACACCCCCCCAGCTGCACTCGGAGCAGAGGAGAGGGGATAAGCAGCCAGAGAACAACTACTAATCCCCCCCCCCACCTACCCACCCACCCACCCCGAGGACGGTCACATTCACGGCGGGGCTTTTGCAACCCGACAGAAAATGGACAGGGCAGCGCGAACTGGATTAAATGATCGGGAGTAACGGAGGCGAACAAAAGCGGAAACCTGAGCAGTGTTATGCCCGTTAAACCCCGTGTGGTCTTCACTTGACTGGAAATGGGAGCTTTAACGAGCAGACAAAACATAGGCGTGGAAGAAGTGGACATCCCGTCCAATTCGGTGTACCGTTATCCACCGAAATCCGGTAAGTCACCGAACAACAGGTCGGACTTTGAAGGGAGGGCTTTTCCCGAGCTTTACTGCAATGGTGGATTTTATTTTGTTGCTTTATGGTGAGTGAGTGAGGAAGAGGAGGGGGAGACCATTACCACCATCACCTTCATACCTTGTAGCTGACAGGCCTACAGGCTTTAACCTGGTGGGTGGGGGTCTACCTGTGGAGATAGAGGAGAGGACCAGTGGTTTTAACTTAATTTAATATATGTCTTTATTATTAATTTACCACATTTTATATTATATATTATAGTGTTATTTCTGGCCACTGCAGAGAGACACTAACAGCAAACACATAGCCTATATCTGCATTGTGAACCCTCCCTCCCCTCCTGATCATCCATATATTTAAGTTAAACCTTTTTATATTTTAATTGATTTATTATTTTTGTTGGTGCATCTATGAGCAGCTGTTAGTAGGGACATTTGTCTTGTCATGATGGAGCCCAAGAGGGTGCAAATAAAACGACCAACATCACCATCAGCAGTAGAGAGAGTTCATTTATTCAGTGCACATTATTTAAATGTTTAAAATAGGGGCTGGTTGGGGTTTATTAGCCTTTCAATTCTTGAGCTATAATGCCACAATAGTGAAAAATGCCATTCACAGTTTCCCCAGAGTTGAGGTTGAGGACTTAAAATAGCTTGTTTGGTCGGACCAACAGTCCAAAAGCCAAATATGTTAAATTTATAATCATATAAAACAGAGAAAAAGCAGAAAATCTCTACATTTTAAAAGCTGGAATTACAGAATATTTTGCATTTTTGCTACATAAATTAATTAAATTATTAATCAGTTTTTTTTTTTAAATAGTTGATTCATTGCATTCAACTAAATGATTAATTGTCTTTAAATCAATGCTGAATTACCTGTTGATTCGTCAAACAGACACAATTGTAATGGATCTCTTTCTCAGGGTATTATTAATATTTCTACAACTAACTGACTCTATCTTTTAGTCAATAAAACATGAGAAAATAGTGAGAAATGTCGACTATAATGTTTGTTTTATCTGACCAACAGTCCAAAAGTGAAAGATGATCTGTTTATTATCAGAGGAGATTATTAAAAAACAGCAAAATTAACATTTAGAGCCAAAACTGAAGCTGAAACCTCTGAATTTTAGTTATTTTTTACTTTAAAATGTTCTGTTTAGCTGCACTCAGTACGGAGCGCTTGGTCAGATTCTTCCTCCTGTTTACTCAACCTTTGATCGGTGATTTCCTCACTAAAAATTCTGCTAAATTTGCTATTGTGTGTTATTAAGGCAGCGTTCTTGTACCACTTTAAGACAACATAAAACACTGATGCATTTAAGAGGTTTTACTAAATGCTTTAAAGGTTCATGTTGATACTTTTCAGCCACAAACTGACTCCTCGTGCTTTGAATCTGTCCTGTTATTGTTCCTACGTGATATTTTCTGTTCTGTGTTCAGCTTTCCTACCAGAGGGGGGGTTAGCACTAATCCAATATTATCGCATTGTGGAGAAATAATGTTATTGCTTTTCACTTCTACTGTAAGCAAAAGACATAAAGTAAATTAAGCATCCTTTCACAAAATGACACCAGGAGCAGAATCTGGGAATATAAGTGGAGTTTTATTATACTGATATTCTGATATCATGACAATATCTTATATATTTATAGGGATATTATGTACTAAAGAGAGAGAAACTGTTGACTTGTAGCTGCCATTAATGAGCCTCTCACAACAGTTTAGCTGAATTATTATTCAGAAGGCATTTGTGATATCACAGTCCTGTTTGCAGCCTGAAGGGGAGGTTGTGGCGGCGGTGGCGGTGGGGGAGAGAGAGAGAGAGAGAGGAAGGTGGTGGCGACGGCTGCTGGTGAAACCAATCTGTCAGCCCTAGTTCCTGTTCCTGGGATCTGGTGACAAAGCCTCGGCCCAGCTCTCCTCTCCCACCTGCTGTAAATAATAATAAGGTGATGAAGAGAGAGAGAAAGAGAGCAACGTCATTGTGGCTTTGTTTTTTTTAAAACTCGTGTTATGGATTTTTCTACGGCTTTTAAGGTCAGAGCATCCGAACCCTTCCCTCGTTTTCCAGCGTTAATAAGTGTGAAATAAGACGGCGCAGACCAGCTGCTACATGACTTGCCTGTCCAGCGTGTATTTAAAGACTCCGAACCACCACATTACAGTCTTATGATATCAGCTCACCCTGTGATTAAAAGCCAGAACGTCTATTTAGTCTTGTTGTCATCAAACCCAAAGTCTTGGTAAACAGGTGGACAAGCTGCCGGCCAATAACAAACCAATTTCAGCCAGAATGCCCTTCGTTTTGCCAGTTTTAATCAATATTTTGAGGATAAATCCCAGTGAAACTCACTGGTTGTTGCTTTTAGTGTTCAAGCTGTTTGAATTGATTTGGCTGTGAGTGACTCGGGGTATCTGAGGATGATGGTGGCAGCAAAATGGTTCAAATATTTATGGGAAATGTTAATTTTTCATGCCAGTGAAGTCTTTTTTGGTCTGTTATTGGGTCCTAAAATCTTATAACAACAGCTCTCATTTATTTAACTTCCCCATAATAATTAAGCCTAACAATAATAATATAGACTCTATTGCCATTTTGCTTCATTATTCAAATAGCTTTAAAAATGTAGATGAGGGCAGAGTTTCAGGTGTTTTTGGAGGCTGATAAAAATCAACTTGTTTAAATATTTACTAGATACTTTCACAATAATTTCTAACAGCTGAACTTTTAAAACTTGTTTTAGGGAAAAAAAATAAATCTTTAAAGCGAATGAGATCAACTTAACAACAATGTTTCTCTCAGTGCAAAATGTCTGTCAAATCAGTTTTTCCCCTCCAAAACAAAAATTATTGTCATATCGCAGACATATCGGTATCGTAATCAGTGTATTTGTCATCCAATATGCCCACAAAATGGTGTTTATACTGCAAAATGGATTTATTTTTAAATCTTATTTCTTCTTAATTTTGGTTGTAGGGTCTATATCTTAAATTATTGAACATGTTAAAGAATATTTAACTTAAATAACCTTTAAATAAAGTTATTTGTTTAGGAAATCAGCCTTTTGAGTACATTTGTATCGTCATATTGATGCAATATCAGTCTTAATATATAGTCTTTATTGGTCATGACTCTTGTGTGCAGCAAATTAAAAGCAGGTTTAAATACAACAAATTATTCACAACCATTAAAGATCAGTTGTGCTCATCGCTCAGGTCTTTGTCTTTCATGTTCTCTCTCTCTCTCTCTCTCTCTCTCTCTCTCTCTGTGTGTGTGTGCAGGGAGTTACTTCGCCAGCCATTTCATCATGGGGGGAGAGAAGTTTGACTCCACCCATCCGGAGGGTTACCTGTTTGGGGAAAACACAGACCTTAACTTCCTGGGGACCCGACCTGTGGCGGTACGTATTCTCACTCACTGTATTAAATGTCTGTTGTTGCTTTCAGTTGGATCACATGCTCTTCCTCAGTTGTCAAAGGGATTGACAATGATGTTCAAATTTCTATTTCTGATTCGTGGCCGTGTCGGTGGTGAAATTGAGATTGAAGATTTGTTTTGGTCAAGAATTAACGTTCGGTCTCAAAATTAAACAAAATTGTATGAAGATTATGAAATATTTAATATATATATACAAATAAATTAAGGGGTTTTGGCCTGAAACTAACAAGTATTTTCATTCTCAGTTTATCTATTAATCCTTTTTTTGTGTGTTTAATTGTTTGATCTATAAAATGTCAAAAAAGTGGTGAAAGATGCCCAAAATTGCTCGTTTTATTTGACCCGTTAAAGATAATCAATCAGTGATTTAAAACAAAGAAAAGCAACAAATCTTCGCACTGGAGAAGATAAAAAAAAACAGCATTTTGCTTTGACTTGATTGTCAAAACAATTTTCTGTTGATCGACTAACTGATTAGTCGGCCCGCTCCTTCTCAGCATCAAAAGGTGCAGCTTTCTCTTCGTCATTAAACAGGAGCCGATACGTTCCAGCAGCCCCGACTCCCGCAATGGCAAATTAACGGGCTTTCACACTGCGACTGATTGAAATTTATTTCAACGTCTCATCCTGTCAAACTAATTAAAAGTGAAAATTACAGTCTGCTGGCTCCGCGTACAGAGAGGCCCCACGATAAGCGGCGGTTGTCCTCCGGAGGGTTTCGCTCAACCTAATCACGAACCTGAAGGTCAAACTAATGAGAGCTGCGGATCAAAAGAGCTTGAGTCCGCAGAGGAAAGGCAGAATTTGATACAGACCGAAAAGGCTCGGAGGGAGTTAAAAGTATTTGGCAGAAGTGAAGCTGATATGGAAAGACTCTGCTCCATCCCTCTATGTACTAATCTCAGTCGCACTGCTGTTTCTGTCTAGACTGGGGCTAAAATTAGGAGTGCAGTTTTTCTCCCGATTATGTGGGTGTTTATAATCCTCCTGCGGCCACAGAATCCAGCTGGTGTGTGTGTTTTTTTTCTTCCTCTTCTTGTATGTGTGACTGAAGCTTTACCAGCATTATATAATGTTTGGTGGTTTCTAAGCAGATGGTGCCATGGAATCATAAAACCAACCGCAGTTGTTGTGTTCTCGGTCTCCTGCCACCGCGCTACAAATATGATAATGGTCGGGGGTTTATATTTAGGGGTTTTCAGAATCTCCTGAAAGCACATGGATGTACAAAATTGATTTTTTTTTTAGGCATTGCTAGTCAGCAGTCCAACAGCTTAATGTCTCAACAACTAGTGGATGGATTGCCATGATTGTTTCTATAGACATTCATGTATTCATAAGTTCACCCATAGTGCCCACATGAGGTTGACATTTTTGAGTTCTAATGAAATATGGGATGGGTTTTGGTATAGACATTCGTGCTCCGCTCAGGATGAATTTTAATATCTTTGGTGACTGCTTAACTTTTTATCAGCTGTCCTTTGTGTCTAAGTGCTAATTAAGGAAAAGAGCAACTGTGTGCCTCACTGTGTCGTCTGTGAGACATCAGGTTTTTATATAGAAATTGTTTTATGAAGGTAAAATGTGCTGCAGAGGTGCCCTGGTCTACAAATCTCCAGATGTGGGGAAACATTTTTAGTTTGGGACAGACTCCAACAAATGTCCTCATCATCATTTTAATATAATTTTCAGTGAAAATGAAAATTGTGATGCAAAAATGATAATTGCCACTAATCATGAAACGTAATTAAATTGCATTATCTGTTTATTTAACTCTGTAGTACTGTACTGTAACTTCTGTGTAAAAAAAATCAGACATAAGTGAAACAAAAAACCAAGAAAGCCACACAAAGATTGAAAGTATTACCAGGCAAAGTTACAAGTTATATCTTCAGTCTTTCACAAAGCTGTTATTCACTAACCGTAGAATTTAAACATTAACAAGATGATGTCAGAGAAGTAACAGTTTAATTTCTGTATTTTATGGACATGTTTGAAGGCAGGATTTAGGCACACATAATTCACTAAACCTAACACACTATAAGGAGGAATATTTACCTATTTTTTTTACCTTACAAAAACAATATTAATACAAAAGTCTTGACCCAAGAAAAGTGACAGATAAATAAAACAAAGAAACAAATATAAAGTCTGCAGTTATAATTATCAAATGTTAACATACGAACATGTTAAACTAAGATAGTGAACACATAATAAACATTATACCTGCTTAGCATCGGCATGTTAGCATTGACATTGTGAGCTCGAGCAGGGCTGTAAAATCCTATAAACCTTTTTAACAGCAGCCATTTTGACATGAAATAGTGAGGTAAACACAGGTGTTACCAATGATACTAATTAAGGCTCCGTTCCATTTAGTGTAGCAGAGCCTTCCGGTGCATGCACAATAGCAGCACCCTGACTCTGTTTGACCCGGACGGGACAGAACCTTCTTGTTTCTTTATACTTTCACTCACCTGTATCTGAAACCCCTCGAACCTTTTTTTTATTTTGCGTGAGGAAACACAGACTGCTGCTCTTTGTTTCGTGTTTCGGATTTTTTTTAATACGTTTATAAGACCTACAGTGTGGCCTGTGAGTTTCCTTATGAATGGTTCTCTTCAGCATCTGTTACTCCGTGTGTGTTTGTTTGTGTAGTTTACAGGCGTGACTCCCGCTGAGCCCAGATGTGTGTAATAGCACTGAATACGGTGCCATTCACAGCCACACAAACACACTTTACACACAGATGAGGGGTTGTAGTGTGGAGGTATCTGACCACATCCTGCATGTTTCTCCTCCAGTGATCCTCAAACCACCTCGGCTCTCCTTTTACGCTCAGTCAGCGACTTCTGGCTTCAACAAACTGAGAAGCGGAACCACAGATCGGGTCAAGTTTATAGGTTATATGTCGATTTTTACACCAGGGTTTTTATCGCTATAGGTGGGGTTGGTCACGAGAGAAAATAGCAGCCAATCACAGAAGGTATTTCACATCCTTATCTGTGACTTGATGTTGTTAAATTCTCCTGATGTTGTAAACTTCACCCATCTGGTCCTTTTTAAACCAGCTTGAAAGACAGGCACTGTTTGACCCTGAACTATTTTACACTCTTGCGGTCCCTGTGTGCGCAGAAATGTTCCAAACGCTGTCTGAAGTGTCAACTTCGTCCCTTGAAAGACACAATCTGAGCAGATTTTTTTTCCTCTGGATCAGCACTTGTCAGCACGGATCTTGCTGACCAACTGAAACACTTTTTGTGTTAAGGTTAAACCTTGTATAACCCTGAATTCTCTGTGGTAAAGAGAGGAATGTCGGGGCGGTTGAGGGGAAGATGAATGCGACTACTCACAGTCTCATAACATGTATTTTACATCCATAATTTGTTTTCTTTTTGTTTTCAGTTCCCGTACGCAGCCCCTCCACCTCAGGAACCAGTTAAGACGTTACGAAGCCTTATAAACATTCGTAAGGACACGCTGCGGCTCGTACGGTACGCATCTCTATCCACCTAAACATATATGAAACCCCTCATTACACCACTGCTGTCTAATTTTATTCCCACCAAGTTATTTTTAGGGAGCAACCCACAACAGCTAATTTAAGGGATAGTGTCAAATCATGGATGTTTTTTCTTGTAATTCATACTTTAATTTTCTTCAGACATACAATTAAGCATAACAATATAACATCTAGTTAGAAAGACGAAAACAAAAGCACAAAATGTCCCTCATCCCTGAAAACACAGAAGTCATTTTATATCAAACATTAAAAGTGACTCAAAGATCTCAAGAAAGTTTGTTTCATGATCGGATTTGTGTTCTTTACTTGATAAACATTTTACCTCGTCCTTGTTTCCTCTCCCGCCCACTTCCCACCTCTGCTCACCCGTAGGTGCAGCGAAGACCTGAAGCTGCCAGGTGACGAGGCGGCGGGGAAGAACAGGGCCTGCTACAACATCGAGTTCACCTTCGATGCTGACACACAGGTGGCCATAACCATCTACTACCAGGCCATGGAGGAGTTTCATAACGGAGTGCCAGTGTAAGTGGAAATCCAATAATCAATCACTTCAGCCGGTATCTGTTCACTGATCAATACATACCTAGTTTCTCTCTGTGAAGGTTAAAATCACCACATTATTATCCTTGCATGTGTTGATTTTTTGCCAAACACTAAACTGTCTGCAATCGCTTCATGAACACAAATTACTTCAACTTAAAGGTTTCAAATGTTTATTTTGCCGTAATATTTTCTCCCTGTTAGACACTCGCTGTCACACTGTCTCCTAAAGAGACAACTAGGGATACACCGATCAATCGGGGAGGAAACTCCACATAAAAGACTGTTTACAGGTCTTGGGGAGTCCTGCAAGACTACTATTACTAGTACTGCAATTAGTTGCATTGTGGGTTATGAAAAAGACGATATCTCAGGTTCTGCTGCATCGATTTTATACTTTTTTTTAAACTGTCAATCGTGAAATCCAACAATGTTACAAGGGTGCAACGCTAACTGCTGGAGGACTGTTTTAAGATGATTTGGTATCGGCCTGACATAACCGATTCACATTATATACACATTAAAATGAAATGCATAAAATTAATTCATGCAGACTCAGTTTTTAGTGCCGTAGCAATCCCTGGCCTCAAGTTCCCTTATATAAAAATGATCACAATGAGTTCTACGCAGTGTGGTATGCATATTTTAAATGTGTGTATCATTAGAGAAAAGATCCAATCATTGCATCCCTTGTAAAGATATAAAGGCATCTTCTACCTTTAGTCCTCATTTAAAAGATAGATGAAATACAGGCTGGGATCAAAGAGAAAAACATGTCATAAATATTCATGCAGACACTCATAAGTTATTCCAACATGGTCTTGAATATATTATATACGTCTTGCTGACATGTCAGTATTTGCATATCTTTTTTATAAAGAGCTGTCTGTGAAACTCGCTCTGGCAGACGTTGCCGCTCCTCCACTTCACATAGAATAAAACATCTTTAAATAAGATTCTGCCTCTCTGGTTTACTGCACAGAAAATGTATTCGACACTAGCAACGACTGCATTTAAACAGAAATAGATAAGTATGGTTTAAATACATTTAAATGCACCTGTCTGCATCTTTATGTCAAACTGCAGCAGGTTTAAGTGTTCCCTTCCTGATGCTGGTAAGCTGACTGATGTAGAAACACCCCCATCATTTATTTTGTGCCGTTGTGTGCATATTATGGACAAGCTGTGTGTTTTCTGCAGTTACCTGCCCCAGGACAGCTCTTTGCAGTCTGAGACTGTTCACTTCAAGAGGGGAGTGTGCCAGCAGTTCTGTCTGCCCTCACACACCGTCAACCTCAGCGAGTGGGCTGACGAGGAGGTAGGCAGGTGACGGGGCCTTGCTGTGAAACCAATTCATACACATAGACATGGTTTCTCTCCTCACTTCTTTGTTTTCTCCTCAGCTGCTGTTTGATATGGACAAAGAGATTTTCCCCATGGTGGTGCAGGCTGTTGTAGACGAGGGGGAAGGTGAGTGACTGCGTGTTTATCGCACTGTTGGTCTGATGTGAAAGTAAAGCTGCAGAATTTAAAGCCGAGACGTGTCTGCTGTCTTTTCTTTTTGCAGAACATATGGGCCACTCTCACATACTGCTGGCTACATTTGAAAAGGTAGGAAAGACGTTCTTTATCAGAGTCAGAGTCAGTGAGAAATTGTTGCAGACACGATATGTTTGCAGGGCTTTTGCTGTTATTTTTGTTGATACAGACATTACAAAGGCTTTCAGATAGAGATGAAATTATTAATTTATAGACAGAAAATCTGTCAGTAAGTATTTTGATAATTAATTGTTTGAGCAACTGTTCCAGATAAAATGCCAAACATTTGCTGGTAGCAGCTTCTTAAAAATGTGCATATTTTCTGCTTTTCTCTGCTTTTATTACTGTAAATGTATTATCTGTGGGTTCTGGTTAACTGATAACAATGTAAAGACTTGTACTGCTCTGTGTTGATGAAATAGGGCCTTGATTACTGAACGCTCTCTGGAGTTTGAAACATTTATAACAAATTTAATAAAAAAACTGAGAAACAGTTAATAGTGTTGGGACGGTGACGGCAACACAGAAAGAATGACTCAACATTCATGTGACATTTTAGCCTTTTGGAACATCAAAAGACAAAATGTAAGATATATAATGATGGTATTACAATCACCAAAATCCCCGAGAATATCTAATCTCATATCAAAATATTACGTTCGACAAATTATCATTAAAAGTATGCCGAATTATCTATTAGCAGTTGCTATTTGAAATGTAACTGTGGATGTAGAAACAACTATCATTAGATAACTTTAATACTAAAGAAAACTTAAAAACGTGATAATTCTCAGGGAAGTTCTGCAGTTATAAGGAGCGTCTTCTTTCTATGATTTCTGAGCAGATCTGCGCCTCCCCTGTCTGAAAACCCCTGTTCCACTCTAACCTGTTACTAGAGAGAATGATTAATGATCAAAAAATGTTCTTCTAGTAAAACATCTCTTTTTCCTGGGTGCTCATTAGCAAGGATCCCAATCCCTCATTTCTTTAAGGATGCTGCAGCAGAGGCAAAAACTGCTTTCTAACCTCAAACCCGAATATGTAGCAACATCAGAAGTCCTCTACGCAGCAATACAGTTCAGTCAAATGTTGGTCAAATAATATAATATGTAAGGATTTGTGCATATGAATTCAGGGTACTAACAAGGCGAACTGCAGCTCATGCGAGTAAATTAATATACCACTGTTGCTTTCTTTGTCAGCACATGGACGGGAGCTACTGTGTGAAGCCTCTGAAGCAGAAACAAGTGGTGAATACTCCCTTTCTTCTCTCTCTTCCTTCCTCCTTTTGTGTAACTTTTTTTTTTAAATGCTTTTGAAAAGACAACGATACACCAAAGCTTCTTTTATATCTCTCTCTTGAACATTATGCCTGGCCCATGAGACCTGCTGCCTTTATTCTTCACAATGTTCGTTTTCCCCAGGTGGATGGAGTGAGTTATCTACTGCAGGAGATCTATGGGATAGAGAACAAATATAACAGCCAAGAATCAAAGGTAAATATCAGACGACAAGAGAGGCTTCTCTGCTTGCTCCTCCTTTGAAAGCTTTGACATGTCGGTGTAGTAAAATAAATCTGCGACCTTCTTCTTGACGTTGAAGTGTTTTTTATCTACAGGTTGCCGACGACGAGATCAGTGACAACAGCGCTGAGTGTGTAGTGTGTTTGTCGGATGTGCGAGACACGCTCATCCTGCCGTGCAGACACCTGTGTCTCTGCAACGCCTGCGCAGACACTCTGCGTTACCAGGCCAACTGCTGCCCCATCTGCAGACTGCGTGAGTTCCCATCAGCGACGAAGAACACCTTTCCAACTGCCTCATAATGCCGTTAACGCTCATTCAACCCTGCCCGACCCACTGTTGGATCCATTATTACAAACTCATGTTGTGCAGCAGAGCATTGTTCAAACCTGCACAACCTTATATAAAATTAAGACCCCAAACTTAAGAGATACTAAATAAATTAAGCTAAAATTTGGGGAAATCTGTATAAGAGGAGAATTTGCGTTGATGCAATTGTTTCAAAATATGGTATAGGATATGTATAGGGCCGAAAACTAACAATTCTTTTCATTAGCAATTAATTTCATGAGTATTTTCTCAATTAACTGATTAATCTATTGGTCTCTAAAACATAAAAAGTCCAACAAATGTCTTGTTTTGTGCAACCAACAGTTCAAAACCTCAAAATATAAACTTTAATCTAATGTAAATCAAAATAAGGCAGTGAATTGTCTCATTGGAGAAGCTAAAACCATAAATCATTTGTAAGGTTTTGCTGGACAAATGACTTAAACAATGAACTGATTGTAAAAGTAGTTGTTACCACGACATTTTCTGATCTACTAATTGATTAATGGAGTTACGTTTGCAGCTTTCTCGTAAATATGCAATGTAAAGTTTGTTTGTAATGCAAGATTAAGGGGTTGATACAAGACAGATATATAAAAGTACAGTGTTTCAACTGAATTGGTTCTTTATCAGGTGCAGAGGAATCAAATGAGACTCAGACAAGAGAGATATGCATGTGTTTTGCACGCTGTTTAAGTCAAATTGCGTTTGTTTTAATTTGCTAAAGGACCGCACTGATGTACAGTGGAAGTGGCATCATAATATGTATTTTGGGGGCTTCCTGTACAGAGGCGCAAAATATAGGACATTGAAACAATAGCCACTGCAGTTGCTTTACCACCGCTGACTGACCACTGCAGCAGAGGAAACTAAAATTGTACATCTGGGAAAAGCAAGTATAAAATTTGCTGCATACAGAGTACAAGAGTACAGCACATAGAAACAGTCTCGTAGCAGCTCCAGTCCTGTGTATTATGACTGAAGCAGCCAGCGGTCCTTATTAAGAAGCATGTTTTATTATCTTTTATCTGTTTTAGAGTAATAATCTTGTCAGAGCAGTTTAAATGTTTCACCTAAAAATCTCCCACACTCATTTTTGAGCTGATTAAGATCCGTCTGTTTAGTATTTCCTCACATATGGCCCTCACATATGTTCAGCAGCAGGAAACGCTTTCTTTCACGCTCCAACAGCCCAGCATTGGATCTTATGTAACATCACTATATGTACTTTATAGTCATTTAAAGCTGAAGTGTTAGTAGATACTGCTCTTAATTGAAAAATAGCAGTTACGTAAAATCTTGTACCCTCTTTTATTTGAATCTCTTTTATTAACATCTTCTTTCTTGCAGCATTCAGAGCTCTGCTGCAGATCCGAGCCATGAGGAAGAAACTCAGTCCTCTGTCACCAACGAGCTTTAACCCCGTCATCACTTCACAAACCTCTGACTCGGAGGAACACTCGGTGAGAATGACACAAAAACAAAAACATGATGTAAATATAAAATAATGATCATTCCCGGTCGCAGTAAACTCACCAACCAACCAACTCACTCCTCATTTGCAGGCGTCGGAGCACATCCCTCCAGGCTACGAGGTGGTGTCTCTCTTGGAGGCGCTGAACGGTCCCCTTAACACCTCGTCGGTGGCGCCTCCTCCTCTCAACTCTGGTCCCAGCCACGTCTCCGGAGCGCTGCCTCCGTACAGCAGTGAGCCTCACCCGACTCCGGCTCGCTCCCTCTCCCCTCTAGACCACTCCAACTCCAGTCAGGGACTCAAACTCAAGAAGAGCGGTTCAAAGTGAGTCTGCTTGAGTTAATGTGTGCCAGTGTTATGCTACTGTGTACAGATACATCAAACCCAGTCCTGTTCATTTTCTTTGAAGCTAGTCCATTATGTTCTTTATTTCAGGTCACTTTCCCAGAATTCCTCCGTGCTTCCCGAGGAGGAAGATGAGAAGTCTTGCAGCGAATCGGAGGCCTGTCGCCACAAACTTGCTGTGGACCAGCAGGAGGTGTGTGTGTGTGTGTGTGTGTGTGTGTGTGTGTGTGTGTGTGTGTGTGTGTGTGTGTGTGTGTGTGTGTGTGTGTGTGTGTGTGTGTGTGTGTGTGTGTGTGTGTGTGTGTGTGTGTGTGAAACGGAGACAAAGAGATGTTTACTTCAGTGTCAGATATCTTCAAAGTGGGTTTGTTTGTGTTTTGTGGAGGATCATGTGGTGCTCACGCTGCTGTTGTTGTTTTACAGAGCGGAGTGACTCCAGACAGTGAGAACCTCACTCTGTCCTCGTCTGGAGCCATCGACCAGTCGTCCTGCACCGGGACCCCTCTCTCCTCCACCATCACCTCCCCTGAAGGTACAACATTACACGTTTATCTAAGTTTGTGAGGACCCTGGTTGACGTGATGCTTTCCTTAGCCCCAACTCTAACCTTAACCACCGCAACTAAATGCTTAACCCCAAACTTTATTCTAATTTGAACCTCAAAAACCAACAGTGCTTCTAAGTTGTGTGGACCAATGCAGAAATGTCCTTACTGTGATGGTTTTAAAACTGAAATTGGTCCTCACAAAGATAGCAAGGCAAGGAGTAGCACTAAAAACCACAACAAAGGATGATGTAAAGTGTAAATGACAGAAGCCGTATTAACCTAAATGCTTTTCTGCAAACAGCTAAGCGGTTACACACAGATTACGAGGTTATACAGTGAAATCTTTGGGAATAAAGAGTCCATCCTCAGTACAGCACCATCAAAACTGTCGATACATTTTTATTTACGGCAAAAATCCAAATATCGCTTCCTCTGGAGAACCACAATGTTCCTTTCTGGCGTGTCAAGTGAACTATTTCAGCAAGTTTTCAGTTTTTATGCTTAAATGCAATAGTATTTGCAGTAGTGTTATGTGCTGCATTTCTGCAAGGCAACAGATAATAGGCCTCACAATGAAAACACAATTTATTGTACTAAGCCTTTAAAGGAGGGATCTCTAACCGCCGGCCCGGGGACAGTTTTCGGCCCTCCACTCCCCTCTCTACGGTCCACAGATTTGAAACTACTCCTTCATATACAATTAAAATAAAAACAATTCTATTTAAAAAAAGTATTTAGTTTGGTGAAGACAGAATGATAAGAAGAGAGCAGGCTTTTCCACTGGCAGTATATTTGGGGTGTTGTATTAATGTCTTTTGAGACTTCACAGTGCTTCATTGATTAACCCCCTCACATTCATTTAAATGGTTTCTTCACCCAGCAGTGATACCACTTCTTCTCCTGCACCAAGTGCCAAATATCACACTAGCATGTAACCCTTTACCTAAATTAATAAAAAAAAAGTAAAATAAAGTCACCTATGTTTGAATAACAAAAAGCCATCACTTGCAATGTCTGAAAATACCTTTTTTCATTTTAAAGTGAAATACAATTTCCCTGCGTGGCGTTAATACAGTTTATCTTATCTTCCTTTCATTTGAGACGGCAGCTCACACTGTTTGTTTCTCCTTGTTTCGGTGTCTCAATATAAGATGTCAGATTAAGCAGCGGTGTCCATTCAGGAAAACCATTTTCCTCAAAGTGGTTTACAATTTATCAAGAGAGCTAAAAGCATAGAGCTCAAGGCTTTGCATGCAATTTAACATAAATAGCGTTTTATATTGGTGCCACTGGATCAGATTTTATGGGAAATCTGCTGGATGGCTTTTAAAACAATAAATGGTGGAAATCTCACCAACCAAAGGAAAGAAATCCCTCCGACCCTGAACTCGACCGTGATGTGTGTCTCCGTCTGTCTGTCAGACCCAGTGAGCAGCAGCCTGGTCCAGTCAGTGATGTCCATGGCGTCGTCCCACTCGCAGCACTCCCACATCAGCACTGACACCATGTCCTCCATGTCAGGGTCCTACCTGGCCGGGGCCGAAGGCGAGCCCGGGGGGGACGATGGGGCAGACGTGGAGGGCGAGGAGAACCAGGACGCCCCTATGGAGAGCCGAGGACCATCGCAGCAGGACGGGGTGAGGAATCCAGGGATGGAGGGATGATTGGATGGACGAGATATTGGCTTTAAATGTATTGTAAACACGTCGTCTCCTCGTTGTCGCCCTTTCGTTCATTCAGGAGTTTTCCCAGGAGCCAAAGGAACAAAACTACTCAGTGGCTGTAGAAGAGCAGGACTCAGAGGTGACTGTAACACACTGATGTTTACTGAACAGGTTGTGGTTAATGCTCATTTTATGTATTTATCTAACTTTTGTTTGTTTTCTGTTTTTTCCAGGGGAATGACGTCACTGAAGAGGACTGCTCCTCTCCGTCTAATGGGAAAGGTAAATATGGTGACCATCCCTCACCTCTCACCCCTGACCTCTCACCTCCCTTTGCATTTGTTGCTCTTAGGCCATGTGAAAAAGACTTTTCATGCAAACTATATATATTATGGACTTAGTGGTCGATCTAATATGTTGCCGTCCATAAATCTTTTTGAATCATGGCTGAGTAATGACAACCCTTTCAAAATAAAGGGACTAAATGTCAGATATTGTCCTCTAGAGGGGGCAGTCCCATTCAAAATGCACGTATTGTTGGCTGGAAGCACCACAACATGCAGTATCTGAACTGGAGTGAATGGCTTCTCATACAGTGTGTGTGCACTAGAACCTTGGTCTACTTTATAAATACTGAAATTAATCCCAGATCTAAATTTATTCACTATTGTCACTGATCCTTGAAATCTGACACCAATTTGTAACATCCAAAAACAAAATATCCGTTTTAGTTTAGATTTTAAAGTTCTCTGTTAACTCCGTTATCTCGTAGAAAGCAACCACAGGCTCACAGTGAGACACCAGCAGACCACAGACAACAGTCTTAAATTTGTGAAGCACTTTTAACTTAATGCAAATGTAATTGAATTGTCTCTAATAACAGTGTGTCAAATGCCAACGTGAAAGAGTCACTCGTAGTGTTGAACCTAAAGACAGTTAACACCCTAATCTGTGGCTCCCTGATGGTATGGAGTCTTACAGAGAAATGACTACTACTACTTGTTACTTGATGTATTAGCTCAGTAAACAGTGTCTTAAGGAGTTTAAATCGCTAGTGCCAAATCTTCTTCTATGCCGCATGATGTTCATTTCTTAATTAGTTTAATTAGCTAGTGTTTGATAGAGGCTAACCAGCCCTCATCGTCAGCCCCGTCAGAACACATTTCCACATTAAAAATAAAAGAGACCAAACTGACACCAACCCTGCATCCCTCGGAGGATCCAGCCCCCTGAATTGTTACACAGCTGGCAGTGAAAAGTCTGAGTGACTTTTATGCATGTGCCTCCTCTATTTTACAATCAGTATTTCCTTATTTGTGAATGTAATGACCGGTAATCAAATAATTAGCAATAAATATTGATTGATTCCAATTGATCCATTCACAACAGGAAATGAGCACGCACGGGCATCCTGTGTTGTTTAGATGAGGTTCTGCTGCACACCAGGCTACTGGCTTGCAATTGCATGATTTGCACCTCCTATATAAATGTTTGTGTGTAAATGTGTATGTATGCTTGTGTATTAACTGTTTGTGTATGAGGTAAAAAAAATCATTTACATGTTCTTGCTAAAAAAACAACAAAAAGCTCTGCATTGCACTGTGCATTTACCTTTTTTTTAGCTGCTGCATCATGAAGTGAAAGCTTCTTCATGCTCCATCTGTGTGTGTGTGTGTGTGTGGGTGGGTGTGTGGGTGTGTGTGGGTGTGTAAGAGAGAGAGTGAGATGGTGCTTAAGAAAGTGTTGTGGTGCATAGAGAGTGTGAGTCAATGAACAGTAGGACTTGAAACAAGGTCATCGTACAGTTTGAAAACGTGTATATGTAAATTAGTTTCTCTGTGGATTGTGTGTGTGTGTGTGTGTGTGTGTATGTGTGTGTGTGTTCGGACACCTCGGGCCAGACTGAAACGATCTCTGAGTACCTGTGAGTTACTGAATGACCCTTCAGTTCTTTAGGAGACGAGCGGACCTGTGCTGCCTGACAGACTGTGAATGTGCACACGCGCTGTAGGATGTATGTTTGCACGCACATGTGTGTGCATCTGCACCAGCGCTGCCAGACGGCTTCTGTATGTGCCCTGTCTGTGTCTCTGTGCTGAGCTGCCAATCATCCAGTCATCTCTGCCAGTTTCTCCTCATTAGCACACACACACACACACACACATACACACACACACACACACACACACACACACACAGGCTTGCTGCAGGCATGAGGCTCTTGCACATATTAAACATGTCAGTATCTGTTATCTGGCCATGCTGGAAAAGGCAGAAAGACGCTAATATTTTCTGGCTCATTTGTCAGCTTATCTAATTAATGAGAACCCAAAATCAGAACATAACTCGCTCCAGTGTGTATCAGCAAACACTTGATGAGTGATAGCGGAGTGGCAGCTTTTAAAAAAAATGACATGTAAATTAGGCAAATTCAGGAAAAACTCTTTACGTCATAACAAATCTGTTTAATTTAGGAGGATCTATTGGCAGGAATGGAAAATAATATTCATAGGTATGTTTTCATTAGTGTATAATCACCTGAAAGTAAGAATTAGCCGTTTTTACCGCCATATTTCTACTGTAGCCCACAACCTGACAAACCAAACACTGGCTGTAAGTAAGGGCTTCACAGCCACCGTAGTTTCACTTCATACCCGTCCTCATTCCCAGGTTGTCAAATACAGACGCGAGCGGTGTTCAGTTAGCTGCCATTTGCAACCAGTAGATGGCATTAAATGCGATTTCTGGAAGAAATATTTCTTTGTGGATAAGATGGGAATGTTTTACCTCACAGGTGAATTAATCACACTAATGCAAAGATCTTATATAAAAAAACTAATTTAGCTATTAAGAGTCGTGCTCACTGATTTGCAACTAGCCCCACAATGGGACAAGGTATATATATATATATATATATATATATATATATATCGTCATATTGCCCTAACCCTATATGATAATAATTACACTTTTTATTCTAGACATGTACTTTACAAACTATTTGTAGAGTACATTGTCGTAAGTGCAACTCTGGCTGTATTTGAAAAAGAGTTCTTAGACAGAAAAGACAGAAATCTCTCTCCTGCTATATCGATAGTAAGCTAGAGAGTTAGACGGGTTAATGAACGTCATTTTCTACAACAATCGGTCCATTTTGTACATGTCCTTCTGTTTAATTAATCTAGCAGAGAACACCTTACAAGAACCTTCAGCACACTTATTTGATCATGAGTTTGAGTCTTTCAACTTTACATGCTCCTCCTGGTTATTTGCTCGATTATAATCTATATTTCTCAGAATATACCTTTTTCACAGCGGCGATTTAACATCATATAGTAGGATAAACCCAGGTTAAGGCTGTTATTGTGCTTGTTTGCTCACTGGAGAGGCTCTGCTGCACTAAATGGAACAGAGCCTTAATTAGTAGGATTTGTAACACCTGTGTTTACCCAACTATTTCACGTCAACATGTCTGCTGTGAAAAATGTTTATTTATGAAGCTACAAGCCAAACGGAAGATATCAGCACTCTTTATCTTTAAAAATGAGTCACGATCACTTTACAGAAAGTCTGCTGAAGACACTGAGGATCACAGCGAATGAGCTCCGCATATTTCTTTCGCTTAAATCTCTCGTTTAAATCGGACACGTGGTGGTAAAATTCAGATTTTTATAATTTATTATTTTAATAATGCCGTTCCAGCATGGCCAACCTCACCCCTCCACCTCTGACACCCTCCCCCTGTCCCTCCCTCACCCCGCCTGTCCCACTCCCCCCCTGCTGTGCCTGGCTGCTCTTGTTTGACCTTTGCCCTCGCTTGCAGGTGGGCGGAGCAGGTGTCCAGAGTTGGCCAATAACAATCAGGGCGTCGCCCTCTGTGACACGCCCTCTTTGGGGTTGGATAATGAGCAGGCTCCCGACAGCCGATTCGCCGGTGAGTGGCAACCTCTCGAACATGGACCGATGAGAGCTGACGACTGGGCATGAGAGTGAGGGGGAGAGGGAGGGTCGAGGAGAGGGAAGTGAGGAAGAAGAGGAGGGGGGGGTAACAGAGAAAGAGTGCATGAGTTATCAGCCAGGGGAGTTATGGATGTCTGACACATTGCTACGCTAACATGCAAATGCAAATTAAAGAGAATCAAGATATTTTACTGGCAGATTTAACCAGTTAGTGACCGAAGAGGAGGTTTTGTAGCATCTTTGCCCAGCATGAAGATCTGGAGCCCTCCTCTTCTTCTCTTCATCCCTACCCTTTTGGTGTTGTGGTGCTTCATTGCTTTTTCAGTACCGGTTAGCTGTGCACCCTCTCTCCCTCCTCTCCCCCTTTTTTAGCTGAAGCCCTGTGTGTGTGTGTGTGTGTGTGTGTGTGTGTGTGTGTGTGTGTGTGTGTGTGTGTGTGTGTGTGTGTGTGTGTGTGTGTGTGTGTATCTTACAGTGTGTCTGATGAGGGCTTTCTGCATGCTTGTATTTACTGTTCGTGTGTGTGTGTGGAGAGAGAGAGAGAGAGAGAGAGAGAGAGAAAGAGTCTGGTCCATCCCAGAGTTGAAGTTCATGTTCAGTGTCTGCCAGCTCCGAGCCGCTTTTGCCAAACATCTGAAACTCATCCTCACACCCCTCCATCCTCCCTCCTGTCCTCTCCTAATCCTCCTCCCTGCTTCTGAACACGTTACTGCGATGAGAGCTAAAGGCGTTGTTCTTGATTTACTATATTTTTAAGTTTTTGGTTGTTTAATTAGTAAGTTTGGGCGCTTCACAACCTTTAGCTCTGCATCATTCTCGTAGCTCTCGGCCTCTTCCCCTCTTAAAACCCTGACTTACCTTCATTCCCTCGAATCACCCCTTTGGTCTTTTATGGTGGATGGTGTGACATGTTTTCTCTTTCTGTGTCGTAAAAGTGTTCTGTTATCTCTCTGTTTCTCTCCCTTTTTTCCCCCTCCATCATCCACATCTTCTGCTGTCTTTTCCTGGATTTTCCTTCTTCTCCTTCCTCTCTCTCTTCTTCCTCTCCTTTGTCTCTCTTCTTCCTCTCGCCTTCTTTCGGATGGACAGATGAGGAGTCGTGCCCAGTGCACATTGAGGACTAGGTATGGAGTTACGGATAGACGGTAGATCAGACACCAGGGTCATATATTGTGGTTTGCTTTGTGCTTTATTTTTTATGCACCACAACAGTCACTTTCTTTTATTAATTACCTGTTTTATCTGTTTGTTGAAACATTTAAAAAGTTTTAGAAATGTCAGATCAAGTCAGTAGAAGTCAATCACAGCTCAGAAGCTTCCTCTCTTATATTTTCTCAAACTTTCCTGTCGGCCAGTATTAGTTGAGGTGAGGCAGCTTTCATCGCTGATGTTATTCATTATTCATATTCTCTGTGGTCGAGATGTGACACTATCAATAATTAATTTTACCCCCTGAAAGCTGCATTTATTCTGGCTGATATTTACTCTTATTTACTGCAAGTCAGCATCCTATTATTTATTTTATTCAATGAACAAGGCAACAAAGTGTTGTGCATTTTAAGAAAAGTAGAGTATCATGTCCTTTACAGCCTGTAGGGTGATAATCAGGCCTGTTTTTATTCAGATATATACATATTGATCATTATTATCAGTGTCCATTATCAGCCTGCGAATCCAAACCAAACTGCAGGAAGAGTCATCAGAAATTCATTCATTCATTAGTTTTTCTGTAAGAGGAGTTTCTTGTTTCTCATTCTGTTTTTTATTTTTCAATACTGGAAGTTAGTGACAGAGAATTTTCAGCCTTTACATAATAAGTCATTTTAACATAAATATAAAAGCATATTAAGTTTTCCCCTCCTTTCCCACACAAACAACAAAAAGAGCAGCACACAAATGGATCAAGGAAGTGTCCCATGATGCCAGGATCAGACCACAAGTTATTTATGTGTTTAGAGGTGGTCACTATGTCATATCAGGTGATCTCAGTGCCTTAAATCCCTGCCGTGACTTGGTGAGTGAGAGACACATCAGACTATGTTATGTTAAAAAACCTACCAGTCATTGTGATCCTTCAGAACCTGCACGTGGGGATAAGTCAAGTTTCCAAATTTAGCACAAATCTGAACAGAATTTCCAGAAAATATGCAGAAGAAAATGTGAAGTAATGTGCATTTCCATCCTTAAGGTAATGGATAAGATAGGCAGCTGGTGGTGAGAGAAGAGATCAAACCGAGCTTAAGTAATTAAAAGAACGTCAGTCAAACCTCAAATAGGGGAAATTTATGTTTGTTTCATGTATTAATTTGAGGAAATCTCTCCACACAGATCTGATGTTTTTGTATCTTCAGGGCGTCAAATTTCCATTTTTTAAATTCATAAATTGAAAATGTGGATCAAAACAGGTGAATGGAAACTCACTATCAAACTCAAAAAAATTATAAAATAAAATTACACATGTTAGTATTTTCATTATGGGCCTTGGTTGGGAATCAGTTGTCCTAACGAACGACAGACTGTTCTGCCTCAATGAAAATGAGTGAGACAGTACTCACACTGGTGAAATAAAACCACAACAGATTTGGGTAAATTTCCTCTGATGCTTTTGCAAACATAACTCTCTCTCTCTCTCTCTCTCTCTCTCTCTCTCTCTCTCGCTGTCTTCTTCTTTCATTCAGGTCTGATGTACCTCGGGGGCTACAGGCCTGTTTTGGAGCCCCTCCCCCACCACCACACCTCCACCAGCAACATCAACCTGGAGGAGCAGGGGGCCGAGAACAGGGACGGCCAGAGTCCTAAACATCCCCGCCGCGGACCACTCATTGTGTAACACACTCACAAACAAAAAATGCACGCACACAAAAGAAAAAAACAAACAAACAAACACTTCTCCGTCCAGTTTCAGCTCTTCTTACCCTGCCATAGTGCTGCATCGCTGGATACTGTCCTCACTGAACAGGGAACCCCCCCCCACCCTCCTCCTCCTCCTCCTCCTCCATCTGTCTGAACATTTCCTGGACTGATTGTCGTTGCTGGCGCTGAAAAACGCCTCGCGAGCGGAAAGAGGAGGGAAGAGGAGAACAGAACAGCTTCACCTGTCTGTCGTGTGTGCACTTTTATCTCACAGGAGTTTCTTTGTTCGTTTTTTTTCTGTGACTTGTTGTGGGAATGATTAGCCTTCTGCTACATTATTATTTATTACCTGGTAGGTGTAACCAATGAGAGCTGTGTATTGTGACACCATCTCTATTAAAATACATGCTGCTCCTTCCCCCCTTTCCTTCCCTCTCCTCTATTACCAGCCAAACAGTCAGGGGCTACTGTGATTGGCAATCGGATTTATTACTAATGTACTACTTCTTCTCTGTTATGAACTGTATTTTGAACGAGTGTTTGGACACTAAATATAAAAGTCAGCTCACACCGGACTACCTTACCTTAGCAAACTTAAACGTGCTGACTCCTCTCCTCGGATCAGGGAGCTCCCGTCTCGACTTCGCATGCAGCTTTTCGACTTTCGCTGACGTTTCTTTCCCTCGCTCATTCCCGCCATGACTTTCAAACACCTCTGCTGAATGTGAATACAGAAACTGACTTGTGAGGTGGCGGACGAGCCCAAGACGTGGCGGCCAAAATGAACAGAAATGGACTGAAAACAAACAAAAAAAAAAAAAGACGTCACACAGAATGTAGGACGCTGAACACGGATCTCTTCAGAAGGGGAATGTACGTGACATTTATATGGTCACCTAAACTGGAATCTAAACATGAACTTTGAACCATAAACTGGTACTCCGAACACACACATGCTCCACCACGCCATCCTCTCCTTCTGCAGCTCCATTCTAGCATGTCAGTATTATCGTAGTACAACTGGATATCAACAAGTACCACCAAGCAATAAAGACGCCGAAGCTCCTTTTCTCCTGCAGGAGGACGCTCATTTGCAGCCCAAACAAAAAAACTGTGTTTGCACTGGCTTGTTGCATTCAAATTCAACTCATTTTTGTTGTGTTTAATTAATATTTTTTGTTTTAATTTTGCCGTTGTAAAGGGATTTATTGTGAGAAAAACATCATACAGTGAATATGAGAGATTTAGGCCACACTGTGGTTAGCTGGCATTTTGTTCATCCTCATATTCCCCCGTTATTATCATCCCCCCGACAAGCCTTTTTTCTCCTGGTTTGTGAAGCTTTTAGTTGTTTTGTATAACTTTACTGTATAGCTCACCTGTTGTTGATGATCTCTCCGTTTCTGTGTTTTAATTTGTTGCAAAACACTGTGTTGTTTGTTAGAATGTGGATGAAAAAAATATGTGAAACATTTTGTAAAGGTTTACACACTCGCGCACAGACACGCGCTCACATAACGAATAACTGAAAAAGGGACGATATCAACATTTAATGCACTATTAGCTGTTTCCTAGACGACACACTTTGCGGTGCATGAGGCGATAGTAGAGTAAGCATGTTAGTCTAGGTCAGCCTGCACCCTCCTGTAGAATACTTGATGACGGATCACTGCGCACACATAAAGCCGTACCATATCCTTCTGCAGTGTTATATAACGGTTGCTGGCTCCCTATTCCCTTGGCCCGAACTGTTAAGGTCAAGAGTACTGCACTACTATATCCAAGCTGCAAACAGTCATGTGATCTCAGTCCGAATGTGTAGATGAAGCCGCTCTCTGGCACCAGCCGCAGTATGATATCAAAGATATATCCCGACCCCACTTTTCTAGAATTAACGAGTGAAAATGTCAAAGAAAACATTAAAACGGACAATAAAGTTTTTGCATCTAAGCGGTCGCTGAGTGATTTGCTGTTGATTTAAATGGGGAAGTTTCATTAAACAGTGCAGGGTTATGTTTTGGTTCGTGTCTCTCAACAAGCAGCGCTGCTCTAAGAGATTTCCCAACATGGTCACCTTCACTGAAACTCTCCTCTCTGCTTTATACAATCATTTTTCAAACTCTGGTTTGCAGCACTTTCCCACCACAGAGGTCAATTTGTATTTCTGTCACCAGTAAAAATAACTTCTTCCCTTCCCTCCGGCTGCAGAATTTCCCTCCTTTTTAATCTCCAGTTGTAAAAAATTCAAAAACAAAAGGCGGTTAAAGTGTCAACAATTTACATAAAATTAACAAAACCAAGAAATAAACCTGAAAAGCAACAAAGAACATTGTCTTTATTTATTCAAAGCTGATTGATATATTTATGTAAAACCCACTGTGTAGTTTCCCTCAGCTCTACAAAATGTTTTAGCGTCTTTCAGCTCATTGTTTTGGTTTTACGGCTGCAACTTTAATGTTTTGGTTCACTTGGTGCTCTCATCAGTGGAGTTTTGCGCCGTCTTTTTGGCATTTAGCTGCCATAGAGACCAAAAACAGGGCTGCACAGAGAATGTCAATGTTATTTTGACTGTTGTAAATACACGATTATGTTCCCCATATTAAGTTCGTGGTGGGCTAATATGTCACATGTTTAAATTGTGTTGTGCTATAAATGAGTTAATACAGGTTTAAACATGAGGAAATTCCCAATAACCATCTCTTAGATATCATAATGGTTAAATGTTTTCCAGATTTCTTTATAGAAACCCTCTCTGTTTTATTTCCCATTCCCACAAACTGACTTTTTTTTTTAACCCAGGTACCAATACAATAAGTCGGTTTACTTGCAATAGCACAAATATCAATAATCTGAACTCCTTTGAGGAGTGAGACGTAGATAAACACATTTCCCTCAAGGGACCCCTGTTTCTACACTTCTATAAACTGACAACCCCTGACGAAGTGACGTATTTCATGGATATTTATATTCATTATATTCAAAATTGTACAATTAACTCAAACAATGAATTCAGTAATACCAAAAAGTTTGTGTAAAACGAGTGATTTGGATGATCTTTGAGCAGATTATTTCCTGTTTAGGGAACTTTTTATACAATGCTCTGTTTGTATTACGTATATTCTTTACATTTTTACATAATTTTTAGCAATCACACAGACTAAATAGACTTCTTTCTTCATAAATTCAGGGTTGTCTTGTCTCAGACTCTTGGCCATTGCTCTATTAAATAATGTACTGTACATTCTTCACAGAAGTGAACCAAATGCTGAGATATAGGGGGGGTCCTGAACCCCAGGTTGGGAACCACTGTTCTACAGTAGTGGTCATAGTAAAGTTAAGTATTTTGATAATCAGTTATTTGCCTAAGGGACCAGTGTGTATGCCAGAGTCCTGCACAGGTCCCCACCCAAACCTGCAGAGCTAACAGGAACCGACCCGTTACCCACAATTATCTCCAAGTCAAATCCGGACCCCATCCCTTTAATATAAGTCCTGCGACCCGACCTGTGCTAAACACACAGTCATATTTTTGCGCAATTAGAAATGTAACATGTATAAACATAAATTCAAATCCAAATTAACCATTTTCATCTATTTGGCTGAATCAATCACCAACTGTTGCTGATCACTTTGCTGCTGCTGCTGCCACATGACCAGCTGGATGTCAGTGAATCCCTGAACCACACAGTTTAAAAAAATCTGATGTCCTTGTAGAAAAAGCTTTACAGCTAACAACAGCTTGTGTTCTTGTTTTCGCAGTTTGAGAGTTGTGGTCTTATTTTGTCAACTAGCGCAGCGCCTCTGCTCCTGCTGCAGCTGTATGTTTCCTCAGAGAGGAGTACGTAAAAATAAGTGGTTTGATTCATCAAAAGAATAATCAATAAAAAATAACTGATTAATTATCAGTGTTGGGCAGTAGCTCATTACTAGTAATAATATTACTTCCCTTATAATAATAATAATAGTAATAGTAACTAATTACTAATACATTTCAGTAATAATATTAAAGTTACTTCTTCAAAAAATAGTTAGTTACAATTTGAAATCAAACAATCCAATTACATCCTTGGATACATTTTTTTATTTGTGGAGGAAACTAGTTTGGAAACGTTTATATTCAGCAGCTGGAAATATTCACATTACTTTAATTTTAACAAACAAAACTGGATTTTAATCGGCTTAAGTCTGAATTTTGTGTAGAAAGGAAACACAATTACCAATTTTGTTGGGGTAGCAGAAACATAACTAGAAATTTAACTAACTATTGTTGGTAGGGAGTAATAAATAACCTAATAATCTTACTTTTTAAAATAGTAATAAATGACATTTTTTGAGTAAGTAGCCCAAAAACTGTAAAAAAAAAGAATTAATGATAAGCAATTAGTTTCAGTTCCGTCCAACCTCTAACTTCATAAACTCAAGTGTATGCACAGAAGTCGATTAAAATCAGTGAAGTCCCTTTACTGTACAAAAAACAGAAATAATCTTTTTTTTTTTAAAACATAAATAATAAATTAGCTTTAATGCTCGGCTGTCCACTGTGAGCCTGGCACAGGACGACAATGAGTGGGTTTTAAATGGCATCAGTGTTTCTAATGTCATTACCACATTACCACATTACCACCTAATTGAATTTTACCTTCTCATTTGCTTGTGTGCTGTGTGTCCTCAGATGCACAGACCTACACCCACAATCCATTCGTCACCAATGTCAAATAAGTTTGTGAGCAAGCTGTAAATTCACATTATCTCTCTCTCCACTCTCAGTTGGACAAATCCTTCCCCACCTGCCTTTCCTTTATAGTTTTATTATTTGTCATGCGATCATCTTCAATCTCACCTGCCATCGAGAGTCAAATGTAGGTCTGATATGTATACAGTGTGTCTCCCTCCTTTGTCAAACAATTACGTCAATCCGGGGCCGTCCACTTTGGGATGGGTTTCTCATTTCATGCAGTTGACAGAGGTGATTTGTTCTGCCCAGCCCTCCTCGGCTCAAACCAAAGGACAGCATCACAGAGAGGATCTTGTCTTACAGCAGAGACACACACTCGGCAGGACGCTGCTCTTAACACACACACACACACACACACACACACTGTAAAGCTGCAGATATGATGCACGTTGCTTTTCTTCTCCTGGTCGTCTTCACAGGTAAGAGCATGTTTGAGGGGTGTATATGTTTGAACCTCTAATTGTTTTTGAGAGTCAGAGACAGCAAAGTATCAGTGATGATTTTAGTTGCAATATCTTCATACTATAGTAAGTATAGCACAAGTACTATAGTAAAACAAAAAGCACAGAAACAGAGACACACTGTTTATATCTGGTGTATAAACTGAGGAGCCTGTAGATATTGTCACATAGTTATTTCAGCTGCACATTTTAAACCAAAGAATTTAGTAACACTCAAAGTCTTATTTGGTTTATCTGCTGATGTTTTTCCAATTTTTTTGATATGAAAAAAGGAAAACAGTGCTTCATCAAAAGGGAGGGAAAAAATAAATGATGTGGGAAGAAATGGAGCAGAAATCCAGCCCTCCTCTTATTTATAGCATTAAAAAATGTACACACACGATAACTATAATTGCTCTCTGTCAGCCAGCAGGGACATAACAGTGGATGTGTGTTTATTTTTTTATTATTATAAACTTACAAAAGAAAAAATAAAGCAAATTTAAGTATAATAAAATCAGGGCTTTAAAAAATTGGGGTTTTCTTAAAGATTCAGCTGAGGAGTTTAAAATAAATCAAGTTTAATTAACAACAATAACACAGAAAACATATATATAGTGTGTACATTGTGTATAACATATATTGTATAATCTACCACAGCAGATCACACAAAGACAATTTAATAAGTTATAAGTATGTGCCATATCACAAGTTGCAAGTAAATAAAATGATAAAATAATCAAATAGTATGAATGTAATTAAATATATTTTTAAGATAAAACGTCCCTCTCTTTAACGTACAGTAGCTGCGGAGCCCTCTAAGAAAGTGTGCAGCTACCAGGACATTCTGGATTACCTGAACCTGACCACAAATAACAGCGTGTTTAAACTGACCCGACCCGTTCTGGACTACACACACCCAACCACGGTGGAGCTGGACATCATCCTCTTCGCCATCCTGGCTGTGGTAGGTTCGTTACTGTGTTGGTGTATCTGCTGAATGTGGCCATGCAGTTGATTAGTGCTAATGTGTGTGTGTGTGTGTGTGTGTGTGTGTGTGTGTGTGTGTGTGTGTGTGTGTGTCCATTTCCAGATTGAGAAAACACAAACTTTCATTCCTTTCGTCTGGGCAACGATGGTGAGTGAATCTTTATAGTTTTTTTATTCCTTCCATCAGTGTGAAGTTTGCAGAGATGAGTGGTGAGTTTGCCACCAGCTCTCTTAGCTTTAATAAACAAAATAAACTCACAAAATATCAAGAAAGGAAATATTCTGACGTCTATTTTCATTACCAAACACAAAAATACAGACGTAAACCTTCTGCACTCAACTTTCTCTCGTTTACCAAATTAAGAGCAGCTTAATAACCTATTTTCCATATGTGACTCTCCGCTAATGCTCCGGTTGGTCACCTGTTGTTTGTAAATTTATTTTAAAATTTGTCTGCAACTTTGTCTCTTAATTTTCCGGTAGTTCACCTTTATTTTTCTGCAGATGTGGAACAATGAACGCATCTCATGGGACCCTGCTCAGTTTTGTGGAATCCGTCAGATTGCTGTTCCTAGAGACATGCTCTGGAGACCAGACCTCTTCATCTATGAGATGTGAGCCTGCGGCACAATAACACAAATAACTGACTTTAATGGCTGCTGTCTTATCCAGAATTAGATCTGTATGATAAAAGTGAAACCTGTTAGCTAGCTTGGAAAAGTTACCTCTCCCAGCCAAGCAACATTATGGCCTTCAGGAGGAGCATCTACAGTTCAGTTCATGATTGGTGTGACAAAGTGTGTGGTTTAAAGGTTTCACAAACATAACATGAAGATATTTTGTGTGTTGATGTCTCAGGATACAGAAGGACGACTCCCCTCTGAATCCCTACATGCACGTGTCCTATGACGGGATCGTGACTTCTGAGGAGGACATGAGGGTGGTGAGCACCTGTAAGATGGACGTCCACAAGTTCCCCTTCGACACGCAGAGATGCAACATCACCGTCGGCTCTGCAGCACATTGTAGTGAGTGTGTGTGCTGCATGTGACTGCATGAACTGAAGTTTTTAACCATCCTTTCACTCAAACGTTCTCTTCTCGCCACAGTTGATGAAATCCGGCTCTTCCCTTTCTCCAACTCCTCCCGAGCCACGCAGTTTTCCCGCGAGGTGATGAAGACGCAGGGGGAGTGGGAGTTCCTCCAGCTGTCCGTGAACAGCTCCAATTACACCATCCACGATAGACAGTGGGAACTGCTCGTATACACTGTACGCTACACAGCGACAGATACAGATGGGTGACAAATTAGAGGAAAAACCTGAACGTATGAGTGGAGAAACGTAATGAACACAGATACAGAGCAGCAGGGATCTCTGGATGGTTTCGACTATCTTTCTTGGCTCTGATTGGTTGTTTTTTTAGGGCCCGGTGAACTATCTGTCTCATGTACTACTGTCAGGATAAAGTGAAAGTTATTCTTATAAAAATTACCTACTGCAGCTTTAATTCATGCTCTGCAATTAAAAAATGTGTGCAAATTAACAGAACATAACGTTTTATCAAAGTAAAACATACATTTTGAACAACTTCAGTAAATTTCTAAATCCGGAAATGTTGTAATATCTGTTGTCATTTAGTCGTATTAGCCTGACCCTTGAACCTGTTTTCCTAGTTCACCATGAAGAGGAGGCCTCTCCTCCATGTCATCAACTTCCTGTTGCCCATCCTGTTCTTCCTGAGTCTGGACCTTGCCTCCTACTTCATCGCAGACCATCGGGGAGAGAAGTTAGGCTTCAAAGTCACCGTGCTGCTGGCCATCTCCGTACTGCTGCTCATCCTGAATGAAATCCTGCCCTCCATGTCCAACAATACTCCACTCATAGGTACAGGCTGAATGAGATCTAGTTCCCCTTCTTACTACTTGGATGGATTAATGAGTCATAAAAATAATAGATGATTATTCCCTCCTCTCAGCGACCTACTGCATTGTGATCTTTGCTCTGATGCTGCTCAGTCTGCTGGAGACCATCTTGGTTACATATCTGATGGAGAAAGACTCCGCATCCCAGGAGCTCAGCCTGAGGGAAAACTGCAAGGGCAAACAGGAAAAAGTCAAAATCGATGAATGTAACACAGGTGAGATGCAGGTCACAGACAAGAGCTGTGAGCAATGAAGCTCATCAGTATCAGATGTTACATGAATGAAAATGTTTTGGGGAATTTAATCTAAAATTTGAAACAGCTTAAAACTTAATTTTCTCAATCAGTTATTTCCATGCACCACTCAGAATGTAACAGTATAAGAGTTACCAAGGAGCCTCCCTACTATATATACCATGCTTCTTTCCTATTTAGTCACAAAAAATTTGCTTTTTATATGCAGTATTATTGTGAGTCATGTTGTTTGTGCAGTAATCCTTGTGACAAACCTGCTGTGTGCTTTCAGATGAGAACAGAAAAACCTGCTGTTCATGCATCTGTAAAGCGTCTGACAGTGAGAAACAACATGAAATGCTGCCTGTTGCTGAAGAGGTACTGCATTATAGGTTCAGATACAGGATTATTTGCACAAGCCAGATGGATGAAATTGTGTAGTTTCTTGTGTGTGTGTGGCTTTTAAAACAATAAAGTCGTTAAGAGGAGCTGAAAAACCAGGGTACTCGAGTACTGGACGCAACCAAGTGTAAAGCTGGGAGTAGGGAGTCTCACTTCAAAAATAAGTTGAAAATAAATAAGAAATAATTAGAGAGTAATCCAATGACGCGTTTAAAAAAAGAGGACATATTTAACATATTTTCTAATGTACTATACTGTGGGGGATAGATTGGTACGTTCTCAGTATTGGGGTTATATTGTAATTTTTTGCAGTGTCTGTAAAACGGCTTTATTTTACGGAAGCCTTTCTATTAAATTGCTTTGTTTTTAGGGGTTTTGTATGTAATAAATTATGGGAGAAAGTTGCATAAATAGTTGTGATTATAGTTGTAATTCTTTATGTAATTCATAAAAATCGAAAGCAACTTGTTCCAGTGAGAACTAGTGACTATATAAGGTTTTAGTAGATCAGTAGGACATTACAGTGGATTATTTATCACTTTAAGGCATAATGTTACACTATATACCAACGTTTAGGCTTCAGCTTCATTGTTCAACAGTGGTGCGATAACATGGCAAGATTCAATGCATTTACATGCTTTTAACATCTTTCTGTGCCTGATTCAACCTGTTAAGAACCAATAACTTGACCTGTAAAGAATATCCTGTGTGATGACATTCACAAGACACTCGGCTTCTAATACATTATCAGCTTCGGCAGGGAAAACAAACCCACTCTAACATGACTCCTGGTGTGTGCAGGTGAACAACCGCATTCAGTCTGGAGAGTCTCATGTGTTACTGTTGATCCTGGAGGAGCTGCAGGAGCTGCAGAAAGCTCTGAATCTGCACCTCAGCTGCAGAAAGGAAGGAGGAAAGTCCTTCCAATGGGCCCAAAGGATCAACAGAGCCTTCTTCATATTCTACGTCACCACTGTGTCGCTGTTTCTACCCTTCATCTTCATAGAGTGGAACTCTTAAAGGTGTAAAATAAAACCATGTAATACTTCAGTTTCTGTATTGTACCTTTACACGTGCTGTGAAACTGTAAAATTATATCGTGTTGTGATTATAAAAGCAAACTTTGTGTATTTAAAGTATCTCGTTCTAAATCTCTTTTATGTGGTTTACGTGGATTGTGCTGTCGATGAAAGCTTTGTTCATTCAGTTTAATGCATTGTTTTGAATACGATGGTATAAAAATGTGTAATGAAGAATCTATGTTTGTTCACAGCAACAGATGAAAGATAAAGTGAAAAGTTACATGTTGACTTTCAAAAAAAGAAAAAAGACGACATCAATAAAACCTAAAATATAAACCTACTGGAGTCTTTTGACAGCAAATGTGAATTCATGATGAATCTGTAGGCTAAAACAAATAAATTGGACCTCAAAATGTTTTTTAAATGACCGGTGTGTATGATTTGTTGTCGGTTGTTTCACCTTCCCCTTGCAAGTGTGACGACTTTAATGTAACAAAAACATAAATATTCCTATATTCAGGTGATTATAAATGAATGAAAACACACCTAAACGTGAATATTTTAGTCATTTTCTGCTAATATAGCCTCTTGGAGCACTGGAGCTTTAAATGAATAAACACATTTACCAAACACTGGAGAGTTTTAAGAATCCACAGATACATCAATAATTGCATTGACATAAAATGGGGAAAAAAAAGGGAGTCAATTAGGGTTGAGGAGCGTTATGTATGATGTAAATGATGTCTCCCTTTGAGTGATTGAAACTTAGTTAGGCAGTTTGATGGTTGTTTCAATCTACTTGATAAACGTCGTCACATAAAGTTCACCCATTAAGACTATTATTTATACATCTTCACCCCTAACACTAACTTATTTTAGAGACCCTGCACCAGAACTCACGACTCAAACCTCGACCTCAATCGTTTGTGCAACGTGACAAAGAATAGAAACAAATTTTATCCGATGTGATCCGATCAGGACAATCGATTATAAAAGATTAAAGAGGAAACTTCACCGCTTCCAGTTGAAATCCTTCACATTGACAACAGTCTCCAGTGAGTGTGTGAAACACTAACAAGCCCTCAAACTCACTGACCTCCCTGATGTTATATTTTCTTCACTGTAATATTTCACATTATCTCTCCGCTCGGAGGAATACGTCTTCCTCTGCTCTCCTGTTTCAGTCTACTTTCGCCTCACAGCTCATCGGTCACTTTAAACCAATCACGTCCATCCTCAGCAGCCCTGACGTTATAAACATATCATCAAAAAGGAAGCTCATCGATCATTTGGTCAATCATAGCGTGGATCTGGTGTGTGGTGGTAACATGAGGACACAGACACATGTGCACTCATCGCTCAGGCTGCTACAGCGCTATAAAAAGTCCCCTCAGGACTTTCACATGTTTTATAGTTTCACCACATCGAATCACAGAGGATGTTGATTTGATCTGTTTTAGCCATGCTACAGTATCATAGCTCGGCTTTATGGATGGCAATGTCGGTATCTCAACAACTGTTGGATGGATGGAGACATTAATGGTCTCCAGAGGATGAATCACAATAACTTTGGTGATCCCTTAAACGTATACAATATGTAATTTCTGCCTCTAGCGGGGTCTGATGACATCGTAATGGTTGGATCACGGGAGTCGTTGTCTTCACCGCCTTTGCCGTCATTGCAGTCAGCTTCTCTCAGGTTTCTGTTGGGAGTTGAATTATCCGCAGTGGTCTCCTCCTCTATAAAACATAAATCAGTTTCAACTTAAAAATCTATGTTTCTGCTGCGCTGTTTGGTCTGTTAGCTCAGATTATTTCTCTGATAACTTAAGATCCAGATGTCCGATGACTAAAATACTAAAAAAGACCAAGATCTAAAAAAAGTGTGGCTTAAAACAGGATAAAAAGTAAATTCGCATGCACAAAGGGGATATGACGCCATTGCATTCGTTACCTGAGATTTTCTCTGAGTTTGAACATTGTTGGAAACATTTGGGATAATCTAAGTACACAACTCAACAAAATATACAACATACATCTAGTGTTTATAGACATTTTAATGCAGAAGTCTTTCACATTATAAAAGCTTTACTTTGTTCCCAGATAATCCAACACGAGGTCGATACTTGTGGTTTAGAGTTGAGTAGTTTTATCAACAACTATCGGATGGATAGATGGAGAGGAGAGTTGACAGAATGTATTTCAACCATTTTATCCCTGTTTCTGCTGATAATATAATGAAAATAATTATTCATGCTATCATTGTGGCACAAAACACTACCTAGACACATCCTAAGACACCTCCTTTATGTGCCATCATCAAACTGTACATGCTTCTCAATCTCTCATTGCTGACTTAACAGAAAGTTCTCAAAGTTCAACGTGCACCTTCACTGTTATTCAAACAGTGTCTCTGTGCCACCACAAGGTGGTGTGCTCCACTTCTTCCCTCTCTTCTAATGATCACAAAACTGATATAAAGTAATGATTTCACTTTAATGGCAGTTCAGATTATTATTACTTCACGCCCTAATTTCATGCTTTTGTCAATAAAGAATGTGACTGAATTAATCATCAGTTATACATCTCAATACATCTCATCAACATAATTCAAATGATATATTGTAAAACTATGTAATAACGCTGTAATTTCCATATTATATTTATTCTTATGTTATTATTTCTAACTACTTTCAGTTATTTATCTGCACTTATTTCTATTCTTGTGCTGCTGCAACACTTGAATTTCCTCTCTGGGCATCAATAAACGTATTTTATCTTCTTTCTTTCTGTCTTCTTACTCATCCAACTGTTGATTTGTGCGAATAATAGCTGCCATGACCACTTAACAGCCCATCTCTGTCTCATCAAGGCCTCCCCGCCTCTTGCTTCTTCCCCTGAATATTCCCCGAGAGATGCCGTGATGACCACTGAGGGAGTGACCACTCTTCTCCGGATGGCTGCAGGCTAATGAGACTATTAAAAGCAAACATAAATGATAGGTGATCCACCCTGGCCCGGCCCCTCTTCCATTATGAGGCGGAGGTATTATTACTGCAACAGCCTTGGTGACATTTCCAGACAAACACTGAGAGGATGGGGATGCAGATTCTCACAGGTGTTGCAGTGATGATGCTATATATTGGTTTTCTCTCTCTGCTCTTTCTCACAGGTAAGCTTTGACAAGGTGTCATTTATTTCCTGAACACTCTTGTGGCTTGTTAATTGAACTTGAACTTGTCTTTTTAAACACTGTAAACTTTAAGGATGAAAATACTTTTTTTAGTTTTTATCATTTTCATGTTTCTGCTTGGTGTTTGTAGTGAAGGAATTAATGCATGTGAGCCAGAAACGTAATGTTTTCTGTCGGAAATTAAGTGTTTTTTTTGTAAAGAAATAAAGATAAATGTTTCCAGAATTGTAACCAAAATGTTAAAAAAAAAAAAAAAAAAAGCATACTACTATTAAAATGTCCAATATGACATTTTGACATTTTCATAGGTTATTATAGTAAAAATTAAAAAATATAAGGATGAGAAATATTAGATTAATCTAAATGTTGCCACTTTAACTACATGCAGTTGAGCTACAAATAGCAGATGGATCTCAGTTAGACAGCCCCTTGTTTTTAACTTAAATGACAGCAAAAGTGCTCACATTTAGAAATCATTAGTGGACTGATTGCCGTCCTGCCAACGCCCATCTCGTAATGGCCTCTGAGTGACCACAATCAATGGTTATTACTGCAGATATTTGTGAGCTGGTGTTTTTTTTATGACCTAATAATAATAATCTGAGAAAGCGGTAGATGCACAACCAGACAGAACAGAGGCTAATGTTGGTCATTTCTTCTAAATTATAAGTAATTAAGAGCACATAGAGTAACTCTGATGTCCAGACAAAGAGCTCTGCAGTTCTATTGTTGAAGAAAATTGAATAAGAGCAATCAGCAATTTCCTGATTTGTTTCCATTTAATGTGATTTCTGTAAGACAGAATGTGTTTTGATGTGTTTTGATGTGTGTTTTTTTAACCGTAGATGGGGTGTACACTGAGAAAAACTGCAGTTATCACGATGTTTTAAACCACCTAAAGCTGAGCAGAGACAATGAACTGTTCTCAATGACCCGGCCCGTTAAGAACTACAAACGCCCCACACAGGTGTCCCTGGAAGTGCTGCTCTATGCCATACTAGATGTGGTAAGTGATTAAATCTATATTTCTCCAATTTCCTTTGTTGGAAGTGTTGTCTGGGCATAACTCAAATGTGAAATGTTTAAAATCAAATGTTTTTTTTCTTCTAAAATGTTAGAAAATGCCTCACAATAAACAGTAAAAACAAAGAGATTTTTATCATATTAAGTACACACATGCAACAGGCTCCTATCTATATATTCCATGTAAATAAAAGTATGTTTGTAGTGAAAATAATACAAATCCCTCTGTTTTTGCTGCTTATTCTGTTCCGTTTTCTACCATTTTAGGAAAAAACAGTACCCAAAGACTAAATATAGTACGATAAGAAATTGGCTGCGACTACACACAAACAAGTATTTGATATCTATGAACTCATAACAAGTTAAATGTCAAACACATGTGAACAACATACATTCAATTAACACAATAATAGTGGGTTTTTTTTAAATCCTGACTTTGACACATGATAAAAGTGTGATTTTTTCTAAGTTGTACTTTCAGATACTTGCCCAACGTATGTCTATTTTATTTGTCATACTAAATATAGTCTTTGGGCACAAATGGTTTAATTGGTCACCAAATGAATGTAGCAAATAGTCTCTTAAGCATATCACAGTGTTTTACTTATGATGGCGGACAGCGGTAACTACATTAACATTACATTAGTTCAGTTTAAAATATTCCAGCTGGCAAACTCTGTAAAATATAGTTAGATGTGTTTAATGAACTCTTTAGGTTCCTTATTTTAACCCACAAAAAAAATTTCAAACAACAAATTTTACATGTTGGATTCACAGAGGTATAACAGGATGTATTGTAGGATTCTTAAAATATTTGCATCTTTCTATCTCTATGTTTATTATATTGCAGATTGCAGTCTGTGTGGAGGTTTGTGCTCTGGCTGGAAAGATTTTCACACTCATTTCTTTGTTTCCAGGTTGAGAAAGATCAGAAATTCATTCCTTATGTTTGGACTGTCATGGTGAGTTCCTGTCAGTAGATAATAAAGAACTCAGAATTAAAGGTGAAGTTCACTGCCACTAGATGTCGCACTAGAGCACCAGCATGATCCACCAGACCTCCGACAATCACCATCGCTTGTTTAGTAAAATTCACCAAAATCGTCTTTTTTTAGTCTTTTCCAACAATCACCAACTCTGGTTTGCTCAAAATGAATCCTTAATTCATGGATTTAAATGAAAAATGAGGAAGAGCCACTATATTGCTTTCCTCGAAGCAAAATATCAATGTTCTAAATCTATTTTAAATTGTGTTACAGTAATTTGTGTTTGTTGTTCTTTCTCACTTTCCTTTTTATTTCCTGTCTATGTTCCTGTTGTTGACCCCTTCGTTTCTGTAGAGATGGCACAATGAATACATTTCCTGGGATCCAAATCAGTTTTGTGGAATTGATAATGTTTCTCTTCCTACTGAAGTTTTGTGGAAGCCAGATCTCACAATTGAAGAAATGTAAGTGTGAATGTGATTAACACACACACACACACACACACACACACACACACACACACACACACACACACATATGTGGAGTGCATATATAGATTTTATATAAGATAGATTTATATATAGAGGTTTTGTTTTCAGAGTTTCTGTTTTTTTTTTACAGATTCACATAAACTCACAACAGTAATGAACGATGAGAATAACTATATAAGTATGTGGATGCCAGAACACTACTTTTTAAAAGAGACACCTCTTTGTAAGGTGCAACAGTATTTTAAGCAGTGGTACAAGCGCAGAGGAAGGGGCCAGATGTCAAGCTGGTATTGCGTGAGAGAGCGATGTAACTAAGTCAGCTTTCAGGTAGCGGTATGAAAGACTAAGAAGACCATCACCTTCTGAGGGAAGTTTGTCCATCTAACGTTCTTCAGTCACTGATTCATCAACAGAACAGATGAAACTAAAGCATTGTGGAGAATGTGGGCATTTGAGCTAATTCCCCTTGTAGATTTGTTCATTGCCTTGTGTGCCAAGCTGACTTGCGCTCAACTTTGTGTGCTTTGTCAGAATAACGTGTATGGAAGTCACCTTGAAAACACTCCTAGTAGCAGTCAAGTTATGCTCAGTCTGCCATGTAAACAAGCTGCTATAGGTAACATTCAAAATTGACCGGAACAAGATGCTGTTTTTTGTGGTTTCTTTTCATGTCTCCTTTTGAAATTAGCAAATTATGGCCCTGTGGCATAACTTGCTGGATTACACCAAAACAGCCAGTTCCACACACCTGGACACAACCAGGCCAAACAAACGGTGGGTTACGTCACCCAAAAACAAGACTGAATTCACTCTTGGGGTAGACAGCCTGAAGAGAAGTGCGCTTCCCTCCACAGGGCCTCTCGCTCAGTGGCCAGACTGCTGCTGTGTTCTTCAATCATAGAAATCCAAAGAAGGTGGTTTCAAATGAAAGAGTAGGAGCAGTTGGTGGAGGTGAAGAAGAACACTGTTAACACGTTTCTGTATAGTTAAGTTGGTTTTGCAAGAAACATTTTATACTCTTAGACTGTGATATTCATAAATTAATATATTAAATAACCATAAATGCCAAATTTCCATCACATTTTCAACATGGTTTTCTATCATTTCTTCTTCTGCAATACTTTATTGACACCAGACAGGAGAATTTAAGTGTTTATCTTAATGCCCTCAACTCTTAATATTCACATAATTTGCATTAATACACATTTCTGTTGGCAGATTTTCTTGAAATTTGGTTAAAATTTGTGCTACTTGGCTGTTGTTTTTACAGATATATATTAACTTATTTGTAATATTATACTTATTGATTGCATACATATTTTTGTAATGTCTTGAACTGTTTATTAAGAAAATATCAGGCTCTCTAAGTACCACCATCATAACTGATGTCAAAATACAGCATGAGGCAAGTTTATTCCTAATCATATTATTTATGGTTTATTGTTGTTGAATGGAACCAGTTCAAGAACCAGAGCTAGTTTGGTGGAAAAGAGATTTTCCTGGTTCCTGTTTCTCTTCCTAATAGTTCCTGTTTGGGGCCACAGTTGCAGTGTTTTCCATTCACTTTACCTCCACTTACTATCTTACAATCACATTTTAGTGCATTATTGAGATAAAATATTACATCTCATTCATTTTTTTTATAGTATTTTGATAGTATTATGGTTTTCAATTATAAAATGTTTAATTGATTTCTCTCTGTACCACTAGAGGCAGCTCGTGTACCACCAGTGATACATAGTTTTAAGAACCAGTGATACAAGCGCTGGAATTTATTGCATACCTTCATTGTGTGATTTTAGCAGATTTAACAATAAATTAAAGATTACTTGTGTGAAATGTAGTTGCATAACTTATTTTATTGCCACCTATTTAAGCAGATTGGGTATCAGCAATAATGTGACACATTAGATGCATTTTCTTTGTCAGTGTTTTCATAAAATTAACATTGATTACGCCGCAAGTTACCTTAAATAAAAAACAGTGAGATATATAGAGTCTGAATTTGGGGAACATAGAGCACTGGTATTGGGTCTAGCCATCATGTGTGTCTCTGTGTGTTCTCATACAGGACAGAGAAGGACAAAGCTCCTCCGAGTCCTTATCTCACCATCAATGATAAAGGCGATGTTGAGGTCCAGAACGACCAGGTGCTTGTCAGCACCTGCAGGATGCACATTTACAAATTCCCCTTCGACATCCAGAGCTGCAACCTCTCCTTCAAGTCCGTCATACACACCGGTGAGAGCGTGATGAGTTGTGTTTAATGTATAACTGCATTTATAGTGACAGTTGTGTGACACTGAGGTAAACATATCGATATATTTCAACTGTTAACTGTTAAGGTAAAATAATATTTTTGGGGTTTTGCAATAGCGCCCTCTGTCTGTGCAATAACCAACATCACAGTATCCTTCATTCTCTGTCTATGTAGACAGAAAGAAATCTTTTTTATCATGCTTTAAATGTACTTCCCACATTAACTGTTCTTCCATTCATACGAGCGACAGAATATGAGACTATTTTGTGTAGTCGCTGTATTTCTGCTATATTTTTATTTACTATGACAGAGTGGGGGGTCGTGGTGAGCAGAACGTTTGCAGTGGAGATGGTCTTGATTGATGTGTAGATGAGTTTCATGTTATTTTCACAATTAAAAGCCCTGTTGGTGAGCATCTGTAGCCCTAGTCTTTGCATTGTTAGCACTAACCGGCCCTCGTTAGTTGGCTTTTCATGCCAACTGATAATCTTGATTCATATTTGATCAGCGCTGCCTTATTTGATAGTTTTATCTGAGTTTTGCCGTTAACTTCACAAAGCAGCCACACCCTAAAGTATACCTTGCTTTATGCTTGTCTATTTTACTACTAAATTGGACCATGAACATCATGGTATCATGGTATATATAGCAACCAGTTCTTTCACCTCCTATCTCATGCAGCCAGGGATATTCGGCTCCAGGCAAGCGACAACTCTTCAGAGGCCACAGAGTGGTCTCGTGAGGTGATGCGGACCCAGTACGAGTGGCTGTTCATCAACATGACAGTTACCACCAACAATGCCAGCGATTTGTTCGGCCAGGACATCATCATTTACACTGTACGTATAACTAGCCACAGATGTACAAAGGTAAAAGTAAATGTATCAATTTATTCAGTGCCTGAATTGGACCAAAAAAGGTCCCCTAACCACAACATACCCCTAAACCTAATTCTTTTGTTGTTTTGTATCCATTTTAATAAGGACTTTTTCAGTCCTTGTTAAAATGGACTAAGTGTTTACACAGGGACATAGTTATGCGGGCATTGGCCTACTTTTTGAACCACCTGTATTCCTCCCCTACTCGTCCTCTGATTGGTTCTGACCCTAACATTTTCAGGCAGAGTAGGGTTGGTTTTCGTGGAATATTACTAATATCTGCATTTTCTGCCTTTCTTTATTTCCTTATTTTTTGTACTTCTTACCCTCTTTTTTCCTTCTTTTACTTCATAACTGATCTGAAAATATAAAAAGCCACCAGCAGCTCCTCTTTTACTCATGAAAACATCTTTTTACTTCACTCTGTGAGTGTAGGATTAATGCAATATAATAATGATTATGTTGCTTGTTTTAACACAGCAGAACATGAGCAGATTGTTGCAGATTATGTTGTTACAGGCTGCGTACTACGTAGTATTTCCAGTTGCCTTTCTCAGACGTGCAGGAATAACAACATCAACCACCTCAACCTTTAACATCATGTCACAGATCACCATGAGGAGGCGGTCTCTCCTCTACATTGTCAACTTCTTGCTGCCTGTCCTGTTCTTCTTGTGTCTGGACTTGGCCTCCTTCCTGATCTCAGACAGCGGGGGCGAGAAGCTCAGCTTCAAGGTCACCGTGCTGCTGGCCGTCACCGTGTTACAACTTATTCTGAACGAAATTCTGCCTTCCTCGTCAAACAGGATTCCACTTATAGGTAAAGAAAAGCAGGAACAGCACATACTGACTCAAAGAGTTGTTATTTGTCTGCATTAATGATGCTGCCTGCCTCTCTCAGCGGTCTACTGTATTGGGATTTTTGCTCTGATGATGCTGAGCCTCCTGGAGACGATTTTGGTAATGCATCTGATAGAGAAAGACTCCACTGCATCCCAAAACAACGTGGCAAACAGAAACCAAAGTTGGAGAGATGACTGTGACAAACAGGGCAAAGCCAACTTCCACAACAGTCATGGAGGTGAGACCAGGAGCCAATTTGCTGTTCAAAATTAGTCTAGTTACATATAACCTTAGTGTCCTAAGGAATTACTAGTCCTTATATAGATAAAGAGATTTAGACATTTTATTTTATTTTATTCTATATATGAAATCATATGTGTGTAGCATGAAGGGACCTTGTGTTGTATAATGATAAATACATTTCCTTCATCCGAGTTACAAAACATTTTTATGCCTAATAACTGTCTAATCTAAGAGCTGTAGAGTGCATTTACTCGTTTACTAATATCGAACAGAATAAGAGGTATCTAACATTGAACATGGTCGTCAATCTGACCTGTTGCTTGATCAAAAAAGGCCTCCCAAGATATGCCCAGGCCTACAAATCTTTCTCCAGATTATTCTACATATAATCATGATTTTAATAGTTGCATGATGTTGCATCGGTGTATTGTGCATCAAAAAGCTGCTTAATAAAAACGTAAACATTGTTTGTGCATCAAACTTTTAGATTAATAAAGAATCAGTGTTTGTAGGTACACATAAACTTGGTGCAGCCCAATCCATTAGTTATTTTTCTAATTAATATGTGTTTGTTAATTGTATTATTTTGAAACTGTCTTTGTTTCCCTTCAGAGGTGCCCAAATTGACTCAGTGCATCTATGATGTGTCTACTGGTGAAACTCCATCTGAACTGCTGCTGGTAGCAAAAGAGGTCAGAATTGGGTTTAAATCCTCATCACGATGGGTATGAAGTGCTGAAATGTCTTACCTAATAATGTTACAATAAATAATTGTATATACCCCTCTACTCAACCACTTTTGCAGGACGACAGCAGCAAACCGATGGAGGAGTGTCATGCTTTGGAAAAGATCTCAGGCGAGCTGAGGGAGATTGAGAAAACACTGTCTCTGCTCCTGCTGAGGAGGAGGGAGGAGGAGAGCCCCGACTACTGGACCGGAGTGGCTAAAAGAGTCCACAAATGTTTTTTTATTTCCTATGTAACAGTGGTCACTCTATTTTTAGTTATTATCTTTTTAAAATGGAATGCCTGATGACATGATTAGGGGAGACTCGTGGGTACCCGTAGATCCTGTATTCATTAAAATATCTTGAAGTCAAAGGTCATGGGAACCTTTCCCCTTCCTCTACCCTCCTTGGTTGGTACCAGTTGATGTGTTAGGTCTTCTAGTTTTATATGATACCAGTATCTCCACTCTAGCTTTAAAACAGAGCCCATTACAGCCTCTGAAAGTGAGAGGAATAGGTAAGGATAATGGGTTGGCCAATCAGATTTCAAGGGGTCCCCTTTAGGAGGAGATATTGGGGTGGATGATGGAACTGTCACACAGACGAGGGTTTGCGTCCACACTCCTCCGAGGTTAGCAAAGAGTGATTTTGGTTGATGTTCTAGTCACTATGTGTGGATGAGATTGCCTATTTTGGTGGAAATTTGGTCCGTATTACATGATATGCTCTCATAATGATGAGGAAATGTATTTGACTGATCAGATATAGTCCATCAGTATATTACAACTACTGAAGGACTGTTATTTGCATGTTCTACACGGTACTAAATCTACATCTAACGCATATGAACATATGACATGGATCTGTTTGTACTGTAAAATGTCTCTAGCATATAATATGCACAATCTTTATGTATTGTACATGCTCTCACAGGTTGTGCATATTCTTGGAGGACACATGAAAAAATCTTTTAATATTTATATCAAGTTGTCTTCATAGGAAATGCAGTTCAAGTGTTTAATGCTGTGTGGTTTAGTCTACAGTTGTATATACATATAGTGCTGGCTTTGAAACATGTATGAAACTCTTTGAATATTGGCACAAATAAACAGCAAAATAATAACATTTTCTTCTTATACAAAAAAACACACAAGCATGTTCTTGTTTTTGTCACTTGTGGGGACTATAGTTTTTTTTGTCACTTGTGGGGACCATGTATTTTGTATTGACTCACAGCTGAATTTCACTGTGTAAATGTTATTTTAATCTCCTTTGTCATCTCTATATGTTTTTTTTAAGGTCCAGTGTGTATCCAGTCAAATCTGAGATTAGTTGCATTTATTGTAAATGAATGAAAACTGTAGTTTGTTAGCTCATGCTTGACACAAGATACAGCTCCTACATTGAACCATTTTACTTGGAAACTAGTGAGAACTCTTTTGGTTTGATAGCAAAATTGATCTGCCCACAAGCAATCAAGAGGGTGTTGGCATTTCCTGGCAGCTTTGTTTTTGTTTCTATCATTGGACTAATGACATTAAAAAGAAGGAGAAAAGCATTAGTCAATTAAGTTGCCCAGCCCTCTTCCATTACAGGGAGGTGGTATTGCTGCAACAAAAATTTAAAGAGGGCACGGAGAGGGCAGAGTGTGCAGTCACAGTCATGATGCTTACAGGTTTCCTCTCTCTCCTCCTACTCACAGGTAAGCTGGGATTCAATTCTCTATGATGCATGCCGTTGAGAAATGTTATCCAGTTTGTCTAAAATCATCGTCTGATGATTATTCTTGCTGCTTATTAATTTAATCAAACAAACAGTTTATTAATAGGCTTCCAGGGTTTTCAGAGTTACAATAGTAAAAAAAAAAAAAAAAAAACAATAGATATTGAAAAACATTTGAAGTTTAGACAATTATAAAAAAAACTTTAGCTATATCTAGCAATGCAGTTAATTTTGGTTTTGTTTGTATGAAATTTCTGTTGCCATCTCAATCTTATGGATGATATTTTGTTTCAGCATGAAAAAAAAAATTAAAATAATAATGATAATACCAGCATATATATAAAGTAAACAACTAATTTAAGTAGTTTTAGTTTACTGAATAAAAGATTCTCTTTTATTTTTCTCAAAAATCTTTCTTACAGTTACATGTGTTTGGTCGTACCCTTATCTACACTCATATATTGACTATAAAAGCCTTGTATACTTTTTTTCTGTCAGGTGGAAGTACTTACAATTATACAGAACTTCTTCATGATCAACACAAGTCCAATCGGACCTGTAAATGCATGAAACAAACACTGTGCATGAGTGTAAATGGATACTGATTCCTGCAGCCTTAATTATGGAAATCTTGACACAGAACACACTTGTTTACTGTTAACTGGGTGTTTCTGAGGCAGTTTTTGTGTGTAGTAATACATTTATGTTATTAGTATAAACAGTAAACAAAAGTATTTATGGTCTGTTGTAAATCCATGAGGACTGACTTTAAGGTTCCTGACTTTAATTATGATCCTTGTCCGACCTTTGGTTTAGTTGAATAGAAATTTGTGCAGCTGGCCTTAATTTGAACAATAATGTAAAAAATGTATCTCAAATGGAGAAACCCCATGTACATTTAAAAGACTGTGAAAATGCTCACATTTAAAAATCATTATTGGACTGATAAGATAAAACCCTGCAGTCCTGCCAGTGCACATCCCATAATGGCCTTTCAGTGACCACAATCCCTGGATATTACTGCAGATATTTGTGAGCTGGTGTTTTTCGAGGTTTAACAATCAATTCAGAGGCAGTATCCACTTACCGTACCCACAGAGACTCATGTTTATCATTTGTTTCATATTATTCATTATTAAGGGCGCATCCAGTAAATGTCCAGACAAACATAAGAGCTCAAAAAATCACTATATTGGTGAATGTTTCCCTTTTAATACCGGTATCATTCTCAAAAATCCCATATCAGTCTGTCTCTAATTTAAAGCATTGCAATCTGTACATTTCAGTATTTCTTTCTGTTGAAGATAATCAACTTTTTGAGATCTCTCTCATAGTGAATGTGTCTTGATGTTTTTAGCTGTGGCTGGGGAGTACGAATCTGAGAAAGTGTGCAGTTATCAAGATGTTTTAAACCACCTTATGAATGTTGACTAAAAAAATACAAGGAGCTGATTCTCCAGTAAGGGGCCCGGCGCTGATTACAAGACGTTTTAAACCACTGAAATCCACTAAAAACAATGAGCTGTTCTCCGTGCCGCCTGTTAAAATACAAGAGCCAAATGTATCCGTGGATGTATGCTAGAATGAATGGTAAGTGGGCAAGCTTTAACATTTGTGTTAGTTTTGGTTTTAAGTACCCTTTATGTGTTGCCAAGACATTTTAAATGTAATTTGGTGGGGAAATTGAGAACTAACAAGTGAACTAGTTCCAGTGGTTAGCGCTGCAATATGGTCCTTTATTAAGCTCACAGTAATACTGTATTAGTTAGATATGCATGTGATATACTGCAGAGTGGTGTAGAGCATTAACCACTGTGCAAACCGACTTTTAATCCATGCTCTTGGTCTTTTAATGTCTCTGTTTAGTTCAACGCTTTGTGTGCACAGATTTACACATCATGATTATGGTGAAAATTTATTGTGCAGCCTTCTGGAGGTAACGTTATGTATATCTGTTTTAGATTTGACATTAGTTAAAGTGCTGTTTGTACATTTATATGAAAGTTATTAAAAATGTGTTTCAGTAATTTGAAGTTTTATTGAAAGTTTTCTGTGTGATGGGTCAGCTTTGTTGGTCATTTTCTTCATCTGGAAATATTTTCACATGTATTTATTTGCTTGTTTATAGAGAGAACTTGACCAGACATTCATTCCTAATATTTGGATTTACATGGTGAGTTCTCTCTCAGAAAATAGTAGTTCAATTAATCACTTTTTTTGGAAACTCAAATTTCTTTCCTTTAAATGACATCTTTCTGTTCTTATCCAAACTATTATTTTCTGATCATTTCTCCTGATCTCCCCCTTGTTTCACTCTGCAGATGTGGAAAAATGAACACATTCAGTGGGAACCTGAAGACTTTTGTGGAATTGACGAGGTTTCAATTCCTAGTGAAGTTTTGTGGAAGCCAGATATAACTATTGAAGAAATGTAAGTGAAATGAGAGTGCGTTCATACAAACACTCAAAAATCCACATATAACTCTGACTTTAGTCCAGACTCAAGACGCTATCAAACTTCTTAACGAAAGAAGTTAACATAAATCAATCCTCCAAAGAAATTAGAGTCACTGACGTGAATTAAATGCAACTCAAAAATTATATTGTTTCGAGTGTACCTAAATGTGTGCAGTTAGTTTAAGTATTGGCCATTTAATTCTGGTTCTTTTCACCGTACTGTGGCAGTTAACAGAAACATTAAAAATTACTATATACAGACACAAATTCTTGAAAATGACAAATACTTTTTGGAATTAGTTTCAGAGAGATAATTATCTTCTGTCTGTCTATAGTGCTGTTAGATGCAGTATTACGCACTCCCTGAATGTTGGTGTTTAGTTTGGCAGATAGCTCAACAGTTCTCTAAATGTGAGAGTTTATTTGTTGCCTCCCATATGAAAGTACTGTGAAACTAAAATACACACACAAAAACCACATATTAAATCACATGTACAACCAATCAGACTTTATTTGCATAGCACTTTTCATACATGCTGCACACTGCACACTGTCTACAGCAACACCAAAGGGTCAAAACTCAAACTCAAAATTCCCAGTTTATTAAAGATCTAGCTACCACTAGGGGGAGACATTGCATATGAATAAGGGCATCATTACACAATTACTTTCTATGCCTTTCTATTGCAGTGTATAATGTGTGCATGTATGTCTTATGTACGTATCTCTGTGTTATCATACAGAATAGAAAAGGACAAAGCCACTCCAAGTCCTCATCTCACCATCTTAAGTGACGGTAGAGTCTTTGTTAAGAATGACCAGGTGCTGGTCACCATGTGCCGGATGCAGGTTTTCAAATTCCCCTTTGACATTCAGACGTGCACCCTCACGTTCAAGTCTGTCGTGTATTCTGGTGAGCCCGCACCCTGTTATTTTATGAGATTTTATAAGTTCTATATAAGTTCATGTGTTCCTGTGTCTTTGTTCATTACCTGAACACACACCACCAGATAACACCACATACCTTTCTTTCTTCGCTGACCTGCAAGGAAACCTCACACTCTGTTTTTTATCTCCCACACCGGACAAGCAAATAAAGCTTATAACCAATAACCAAGCTAATTCAGGCTTTTCATGGTATTCCATGGCGATGCGGACTAAATTCGAGTGGCTGTTAATCAGCGATGACAGTACACGCAGAACCTGCTACTAGTTTTGACTTCACACAAGACCAGGTGATTTTTATTGTAAGTATTATAGACACACTATTTACTCAAGTACTTAACTTAAAGAGTGATTTAACACCAGGCTGAAACTGTGCTTTTAATCCCTTAATTATTACACAAATGTCTATAGTTTTTACCTCATTTGATGTAACAGATAAAGAGTTTGCTTTCCATTTTCAAAAAAACCAAGAGACATTGACTTTACTGTTTGTCGGATCCTGGGAAAAAGAAAAAAAAAAAAAAAAAAAAAAAAAACAATAAAAATCTTCACCACAAAATTCATGCACTGACAGGTAGCCACAAACTTACTGGCCCCGACAGTGTTGCTTGTCAGTCTTGAATTAGTCTTGTGTGTGCGGCCAGGTGAATTTTGCCTTGAATGTTACTTCATTTACATAAGTTGCAATTTTCAACTCCTGCCTGTTTTCATATGCTGGTCACCTGGAATCCCCAGCAAACATGTTATAAGTTCATTTCTAATTGTTGTATTTAAGCATGAAAATGTGTACGGTCATGAACAATTGCTCTTTAAGCACTAATTTTAGGTTCATGCAATTTAATTATCTCCAACTTGTATTTTTCCTTAAAGAATCATTTTACACTTAGTATTCAATTAGGTTTCTTTCCATTTTCACCAGAGATACACGATTGTCACCCAAGGCACCCAATGACTGATGTAGATTACGTTGTTGCTGCAAGTTGTGTATTATATGGCTGCTGTACTTTAGCCTTTCTCAGATGTGCAGGAGTATGAACATCAACATCATCATTTAAAAAACAAAAATCATTTCACAGATCAGCATGAAGAGGCGATCTGCCCTCGGCATTATCAACTTCTTGCTACCCATTCTGCTCTTCTTCAGTCTGGACTTGGCCTCCTTCCTGATCTCAGACAGTGGAGGCGAGAAGCTCAGCTTCAAGGTCACAATGCTGCTCGCTGTCACCGTGATGCAGCTTGTTCTGAATGAAATTCTGCCTTCCTCTTCAGAAAGGATTCCACTTATAGGTAACGACTCTCTACAGCCGTTGTAGCCACTCTGTGAGGCTGTACTGAATTAAATGCTAACATCAGCATGCTCACAGTTACAATGCCAACACGCTCATGTTAAGCAGGTTTAATGCTTATTCACTATCGTTTGTTAATTGGCACTAAACACAAGTACATCTGAGGCGGGACAATGCAAGGAACGTATTAATGCATCGTCTGACGCTGCCTTCCCCCTTTAGTTGTCTTCTGTATCGGGATCTTTACTCTGATGATGCTGAGCCTGCTGGAGACGATTTTGGTGATGTATCTGACTGATAAAGACTCTGCATCCCAAGACAGCAAGACAGACCAAAGCCAGAGTGACGGTAACAAACAAGGTGAGATTCGTTATAATATCCATGTGTGGGACCTTGTCCTCGTCTTCCTCTACAAGAGACGCTTTATCCGTCTCTTAATTCAACAATCATCATATTATTTTGATTATGTTCCACCAGGAGAGTTTTCAAGGCCTCCTCTTTCCCTTTGACCTTTTTGACCCAGGAGGGGAGGTGAGACTGTGGCGCCGACAGTCTCCTGCACAGAGAGCCTGGTTCTTTTCAGATTCTCAGATGGGATCTCTAGGTGTCAATTTGCTTTATCCTCTTTAACAGAACACTGACTTCTCCACAGATCAGAACGACACCCTACACCTAAAGTGGATCGTGTGTGATAATTAAGTGCCTTTTTGATTGTAAATCAGGGTTAGATATCCCTGAAATTTGTTTACATCTCTTTTAGTCTGACAGGTCCATCTCCAGAGAGAAACTCCTCTGGAATCCACATCTGGCATTCTGACACCCCTTCCTCTAAAGTGTGAATTACGATGTTTTCTTTTGATAGTGGACATTCCAATCTAGGAAGCAGTAACAACAGTTGCACGGATATAGATTTAGTTCTGTTGGAGTATTAAGGTAAAATTTCATCTTCTCCTAATTAACAGATTGCCATCCAGCATGAGAAGATCGCAAATGTAATGTTTGTCTGATGTTTCTGTCTTCAGATTGGACTAAGTTACAAAATCATGTGTAAAATGTCTGAATGTTTGATGGAGCCACAGTACCACCTTTTGGTAAGATTCTGGTATAGTTGTAAAGGTACTTTTTAGAACGAACTTTGTTTCATAATTGTGTATTATTCCAAATAGTAAATGCCTGACACATAATTTTTGTAACAAGGATTAAGCTAGCACTATATGAAATATGTACAGTCCCTCAATGCTGCTTTATATGCGTGTTTAATGATTATTATTTAATGATTTTAATCAGTTCTACTTTTCCTTTACATCCAGTAATTTCGGTTATGTTATGTTAAAACATGTGAACTATGTATAAAGTCATGGTGGGTTCTGTGAATGGTGAATTAGGATTTCGAAACTTTAAAACACGATAGAAGTAAGTTAATAAAGTTACGAATATCGAAATATCGCTAAAGGAAGTGACGCGATTAGCCTTTCTGGATACGCCTCCAGAATAAAACATATATAATATAGACTCCGGTCACTCCCTCTCTCTCTCACTCTTCTGATCCTGTCTTCCTTCTAAGAGTGTTGGATCCACTCGTTATTTATTCTCGCTCTTACTTTTAATTTCCGTTTTAATTTCGCTCTTACTTTTAATTTCCTTACTTTTAATTTTATTTTACTTCGTTTTGCGACACATGTTGAATAACTTGCTGTGCTGAAGTACTTTCCTATGTACTTTTATTTTGAAAGCTCAAGACACAAACAAATTTCTTCTTTTATATTTTTGTAGTCTTATCGTCAAGTATTGTCGCCTGATTCACAGAAAGTGAATTTAATCTAATTCTTGGACTTCCTTGGAGAATTCGCCAGGCCAGCGTTTCATCCTCCAGTTATTTTCAAACAAGAAGCTGAATGAGTTTACAATCAAAGCTTAAGACCAACCACTCTAAGACATTCATCATCAGCCAGAAGGACGTCGCAGTAGTTGACTGCTCAAGAAGACGTATAAACGTTTCCAGCCGGACAAAGACATTATTCTCCAGCCACCTTGCCCCCCAACGCTCACTAGCGCACACGCCGCGCTGGGCCTTTTGGAGAGATTGCCACTGAAACCAGGGACGAGACGCAACTTCCCTCAGCCTGTTGGACCAGTGACGCAAAGCCGCAGTTGAGCTAAAAGCCAAGGACCTGAAATCCTTCCAAGTTCCATCTACAAACAAAGTAGGCTGACTCTCCGGTACACGGCCGGATTCACACACATGAAAGAGAGCTGGTGTCTGTCTGTAAGCTTTTATTCCCATCTTTTACGTTTAAGAGAATTTTTGATTAGGGCCTCTCAGTTCTAAAACACTATTATTCCTCGGGCTTAATAAAATTATTATTCTTCCGTACGTTTTTCGGCACGCTACTCCTCCCGCAGTTTTGGTCGCACGTACACAAAAAAGGTATCAAAACGTGCGGCTCGGTGAGGACATTAGTGCTATGACTTTTCTAAGCATTTCGCCAAACAGTTTGCCGGTAAATCGCCAAAAACCGGTCCAAAAAATGAATGGGTGTGTATTGCGAGAATGTTCAACTGCTAGAGTGCGTGACATCATCACTAGAGTGTAGGGAGAGAGAAAAAATTGTCTAAAAATTATTTTGTAAACTGCTCTCAAGGCCACAAATGTCACTCTACAGAAATAATTCATAGATAGAAAGGTAGGTCAATTTGTTGGGGTCGTAGTGATACCACTGCTGAAGCTGTCAGACAAACAGTTTTGGCAGGAGACGCACTGATGCGCAGGCAACACCCTCTCACTGCCCCATCTACTCCCATGTTAATTGGAGATTAGAAATTTTGAAAGGAGCTTGTTGAACCTCTTCTCTCTCAATCTCCCAAGGTCTCATTTTTTAACTTTAGCCACTGAAACTCGGCAGTCTTATAGTCAACAAGATGACAATGCTCACGGTCTTTTCGGTTTTCATTTCGGTCGTTCCTGGCCATGGGTTCGAGGGGATTCATTTTAAATGTTTCTGTCTCTCTCAAGAGTCTCAAGTGCTGTGGTCTCCCCTGGTTTCCATGACAACCAAAGCCTGCCTTTCACACACACACATAGCTAGCTACAGAGGCTGACAAAGCATTAACACTAGAACTACCAAGGCAGTCATTTTGACCGTTTTTAAATTTTACAGTGTAATAACTTTGTTAAAATAAAATCAATGTGGCTGTAGGACTCTGACTTTTCCTAAATATGTGTATATTTTATTCTGACACTGTTATTTTATTAAAATCACAAAACACAAAACAGTTCTGACTATTTCTACCTAGAATGACCATGGCGGTCATTTTGACCGCACGCATTATAGATATCATATTTAAGTCCGCTACATTTCCCGCCATTGGTAATGAACGTCCCCGTTGCATAGCAACGATCTGTCCTTCTTTGTTTACGCTATTCCAACACTATAAGTTATACATTTGAGCTAACAAAATGTCATCAAAAAGAACAATGACAGCCACAGAGGCTTTAGCCATGCTTCGGAGGCTCGACGATGAGGAGTCTGATGGAGGAGCAGGTACGGATCGGGACAGCGATGTCTCTTGGTCCCTGGACAGTTCATCCAGCTCTGAGAGTGATTCAGATAATGAATTCATTCCCCGTCGAAAAAAGAGCCGTCTGGACATCTCCGATCCTGGAACTGACCTTGTTCCATCGGATAATATTCCAGGTATGTTTCTCTTGATACTTTGTGAGGCAGACTAGCCAGGCTATTATCAATAATAATTGTACGTCAAAGTAAAGTTATCCATCTCTAACTATCTAAGGTAGGCTATACCGATCAGATCTGCTATCGAAAGCGGTTGTCATATTATTTTTCCCCTCACACACCCACCGCTGTTATAGACGCACCTTTCCTGGCGACCGATTCATTCATTCACATTTTTACGTCAGGCACACACCTTTTCATTATTATTATTCTATTGCTATTATTAGTAGGCCTATTATACTATATTGTCAGGCTAAAAACTAAAAAAGTAATTAGTCTGTTCTTTTTTTTTTTTTTTGGCAATAGTGCAAAATCCTGATCCATCAAATGTGCCTGCTTTGCCAAGACAACTCAGTCCGCCACGAGATGAGGAAGCTGGCCCAATAAACCCACTTTCAGCCGAGAGGCGTGAAACGGCGAAAGAAGACACAGTGTGGACCTTTATAGAGTCGGGTGAAGACAGAGGAAGGCGACAATGTCAAAACGTAATAACAGAAGCTGCAGGCTCCACAGCGCACGCCAAGCGCAATATTGAAGATGCCCTTACAGCCTTTTTGTGTTTAGTGGATGATGGCATGCTGAAACACATCAGGGACTGCACCGTGGCTGAGGCCCACCGAGTCAAGGAGGACAAAATATGGGACATGTCAGTTGAAGAGCTAAAAGCCTTCATTGGTCTAATTTACATTTGTGGCGCGTAAGGTGGAAAAGGGATGGATTTAGCGAGCTTTTGGTCAGCCGAGTGGGGCTGCGCTTTTTCAGAGACCATGTCCCGAAACAGGTTTCAGGAAATCATGAGATTCCTGCGTTTCGACAGAAGGGAAACCCGACGCACACGCCTGTGAGACAACAAGTTTGCTCTGATGAGTGATGTTTGGGACAGATTTGTCCAAAACCTGCTACAAGCCTGTTACAAGCCCGGTGCCGACATCACTGTGGATGAGCAGCTATTCCCGACAAAGTAAAGGTGCAAAAGACGAGACGAGGAGGCCAGGTCAACGACTTGGAGACAGTGTGGTGCTGAAAATGGTCGACCCATACATGGGGAAGGGAAGAAACGTCACCACCGATAATTTCTTTACTTCCTGTGAACTGGCCAAGGCACTTCAGGCCAAGAAAACCAGCTTGGTTGGCACGGTAAACAAGAGCAGACAAGAGCTCCCCCTGTGCGTAAAGGCGCAAAGGCCGCTGTTCAGCACAGAGGTGCAACACTGACCGTGTATCAGTGCAAAAAAAAAAAGAATGTCTGCATCCTCAGCACAGTCCACACAGCTGTTGGCATCACAAGTGGCCACAAAAGCAAGCCAGAGACAGTCACATACTATAACAAGACCAAGGTAGGAGTAGACGTTCTAGATCAAATGGCTAGAAAATACTCTGTGAAAGCACCCTCCCGTAGATGGCCAGTAGCTGTTTTTTATAACATCCTCGACCTGGCTGCAATCAACGCGCACATCTTGTTCAAGAAGTGCACAAATGAGAAAGTTTCGCGGAGGGACTTCATCACGCGACTTGCGAGTGAACTTCGCTCCGACCACATCAGCTCAAAAGCCACACAACTGGTGGTGCGAGAGCCAGGACCCGGGCAGGAGCAGCAGCAGATGGAGAGAAGAAGGCAGTGCCAAGTAAGTAGGAACTACAAAAAAAATAAAACCAAGGAGACATGTGCCAAATGTCACAAAGTAGTGTGTGGGAGCTGCACACGAAAGGTGGTGTTTACCTGTGTGGACTGTGCGTAAGCGTCAGTGAATGATGCGGGGTGTTTGCGCCGTTCAAATGAGCCCACTTGGAGGAAAACTTGTTAATCTGAATTTGTTCGGTAAAATTTTTTTGTTCACTGAAACTAATCGTTCTAAAGCAGTTTGTTTTCTTGTTTAGCTAATGTTCTGAGCCTGTTTTTGTGTGTACTGGATTGTGTTGCATACGTGTCCCTAAAAGTTTTTACAATGTATTCAAATGTTTTTGTTATTGTATATATGTTAGAAGTTTATGTATCATAAGATTTGTTTTTTATTGTACGAAGAAAATAAGAAAATATTTATCAATTAGGCTGGAAAATACATTTTCACATTCATTTGAATTTAAATGTTGTGTCCTGATCTTTATTATTACCTATCATAACATTGTAGATCCATTTATTTTTAGATTTTGTATTGATTATTGAACTTATTTACAAACAGGGCTGCACTAAACGGTATGAAGCTTTGACGTTTCCTAACTTTTTTGCATGGCTATTCACGTGGTGAGTGCGGTGAAAAAAATATTTTTGATGCAAAACTTTCCTCACACAGAGAGGCAGCACCTGTCGGGAAAATCTTTCTTTTATGCTCTTTAAGGGCGATGACGTCATAACATGACAACAGGAATTAAAAATTTCATTGGAAAACTTAAAGAGAAGGTTCAAATGTAGATATGATATGACGAAAATGACGTTCAGTACGGCCATATGAGCGTCAAAGTATGAACGGTCAGAATGACCGCTATGGTCGTTCTAGTGTCAATAAGCTAGCGCTAGCTAGATGGCTAGCTAAAGAGAATTACATGGTATTAATATGCTGGCCCTAGTGTGCTAGAGAGCAAGACATGGTATTAACATACGGGCCAGAGCAAGGCACAATCAAAATTTCTTTAGGAATTTTCTAGTTTAAACTTACTGCCGCATCGCAAAATCCACCATCGCTCCTGAATCACCTAATAGTAATAATTCATATATTGTTCACATATTCTGTTACTTGTTGTCATTTGATTGTTTATCATTTCATACTATTTACTCTGCATTAGTTTAGTTAATAAACATATATAACCGTATGTCCTTGTCGGTGCCGGTTTGATTTGATGCGGGGAAATCGATGAATCGTGTAAAAGAAATCACTACTTCAGAAATATGAGATTAAATATAGATTTTGAAATTTAATAAATTGATTTGAAATTGATTTGATTAGATCTGTGGAATAATTTCCTCCGGATTATTCCAGTAGCTAAACAACGGAGGTGGTGCCCCATTTACGAGTGTATTATTAATCTTCAGTGATTAATTACCTTTCTAATTACATAGTAGTGTAACCCCTACACATGTATGAGTGGAGATCCCAGAGGTATGTGCAGCCACCACAGCCACAACCTGTTCAGCCTGCTGCCATCGGGGTAGAGGTACAGAAGCTGCTGCTGCCGTATCACCAGCTTCTTCCCTCAGGCTGCTAAATTCATCTTCAGCACTACATTATACAAATTAGTAATGACTCTAACTCTCCATCTCTGTGTTGTAAATGACTATAAAATAACCTTGAATAATATAATGTTCAATATACTACCACAATCTTGTGTGTTATATGTTCTTCCAGACAAGAAGAAGTGGACTTCGTGCCTCTGTGACCTGTCTGCTGATGAAACACCAACTGAGCTGCTGAAGGTTGGGAATTGTACTTTAAAGGTCTAGTGTTTCACATTTAGGAGGATCTATTGGCAAGAAATATAATATAACGTTGATAACTTTGTTTTCATTAGTGTATAATCACCTGAAAAAAGGAATCGTTATGTTTTTCTTACCTCAGGATGAGCCGTTTTTGTCTACAGACGCCACGAGTAGCCCAGAATGGTCAGACCGAACACTGGCTTTAGATAGGGACGTTTGCATTTCCCATGTGTTTTGTGGCCACTGTAGTTCCTCCTTTGTGTTAGGACGGGGAGGTTCAAGTGATGGAGTGTCTATCTGCAAATACACTGTGTAGGATTTAGTGGCATCTAGCCATTGGTCTTTTTAAAAACAGCTGGTTCAGCCAAAATTACAGACGACCACCCAACGTTTTGTCACATTAGAGCTCTGTGCACTTGTCAAGGATTTGTATCTTAGAAATTTCACCCCAATCTTACAGTGACAGTAGTAGTAATTAAATTTTTTAAACAACTAGCCCAACACTGTTCAGCTCCTGCGTAAAACAAATACAAAAATGTTTCAAATCAAAAACACCTAAACTGCATTAATAACACAGAGGAAGTTTCCAGGATATTTAACCTCTCATCACTCTGAATATACTGTATTCATTTATGTGGTTCATAATCAGGCTATTTAACCACCAACTTTGAAACCACCCGTGCAGGGCAGCAGCAGCCAACTGATGGAGGAGGCTCAAGTTGGTGAGAGCAGGAAGGAAGAAGAGAAGCCCGGCTACTGGACCAGAATGACCAAAACAATTAACAAAGTCTTCTTTATTTTCTATGTCGTAGCTGCCAGTCTGTTTTTAATCTATATGCTTTTACTTTTGACTTTTGCTACATAATGACATTGCAACCTACAGTGGGAAACAGATAGATAGATAGATAGATAGATAGATAGACTTTATTAATCCCCAAAGGGAAATTGGGTCGTCATAGCAGCCAGGTACAATAAAATACAATAGGATAAAATACAATAATAGAATAAAATACTAAGATAGAAAAGATAAAAAAAGATAAATAGGTAGGTAAGGTGCAAAGAGTTGTAGTTGCAAGATGGTGGTAATAGTACTGATGACATGATGGTACTGTTATTGTTAATAACAGTATATGATGATAATATTAATAATAATATGTATATATAATATGATGAATGAACAGATATACATGTATACACATAGATATTATACATTAATATTGAACAAACACAAACTTACGTGTAGTCTGTAGTCTTGTCCTGTTCCTGCATAAACACAACTGTTCTGTCCTTCAGTAGTTTAGTTTCTACACACTGCTACATACTCGGTATAAGCCTGTTATAGAAGTTGTGTTGTGTTATGCCGACTATATACCTTTCAAATGTAATATGCACATTACTAATATTCAATGAATCCACCGCATGCTTATAATAATGTATTGAATGTATTAACACAGTGTTGTATCATACTCTCTCTCTATCAGTATAATGTGATTAAGGTCTGCTGTCCATTAAAGGTATAAGGCTGCGCAGACTACATGTAGTACATATAGTAAAGATCAGTCTTGGACCAATTCTATTTGAGTGTTTATTTCACCCTGAACACAAATGTTTATTTTATGTATTTTATGCTTTTATTGAAGAATCAAACCAGAGACTTTGCAATCACACGTGGTAAGAGCTTAAACCACTACACCACCAGAACAACCCCATTTATTTCTTCACCAAATAATAATCTATTTTTATTGAATTAAGTGAGCTCTGAACTCTTCCCACTTACTCCATTACAACTGTAGAAGTAAACCCTGGGGTACATCTGGTTGGAAATGACTGTGTTAGACTACTGAGATGAAAAAACAACTAAACAATGGGTTGGTCAGTTCAGTTCGCCCAGCCCTCTTCTAGTGTGAGGAGGATAAGTACTTCAAGACAGCACAGAGTTGACATTGATGCACATCTGCTGCACAGACCTCTCATAGACTTTGGATTGTCTCTGGTCCTGCACTCATGATGCTTGCTGGCTTCCTCTTTCTGCTCTTCATCACAGGTAAGGTTTCTCTCATCCTCAGCATCTCGTTGCTCTGGATAATACACAGACCTTCACTCTGAACAGATTTTGTTTGAAATAATTTCAAAGTGAAGTCTGTGGCTAATCAACAGCAACAGTTTCTGAAAAGATGCATTGCTGTTGAACCCACTTCCTTTGTTTTGGGAAAGAGGCAGAAATCTTAGACATAAATCTCAAAACCCGAACAAATAAACTAAAAACTATCTGCTATTTACCAGTAGAAGTTGTTTTGTTTTACTCAATTCCTGTATGTCTATGGCATCATGACTATGTAATTGTTTCCCATATACAGGGGCAGATCTAGAGAAATATTAATGGGGTTAAATGGAGACTTTAAGGGTGGCAGAAATATTTGCTGATTTAATTGCAAACAATCAAATATATCAATATTTGATTGGAAAAGCCCCCAACAGCAGATATTTGAACTTTAAAACAGTAAATTATTGTGACACATTAGTAAGGTAATATATATATATCTAAAGGTGGCATTAAAATGAATAAATTGTTGTATTTTAAAAAATTTTCATTGAACTTAAACCATCACTTAGTCTAAAAAATGGACATAACAGATTATTAACATGTTATTTTTTAACATTAATCTCTATTAATGTGTTAAATCTGACTTCATTTGACTATAACGGGGGTGATAGCAGCTGCCACATCAGTCCCTGCCCAAATACACTCAACAGTTGAGCCAATATAGACTAATATTGCTGTTGTGATTAAAAAAAAGTGTCCTTAAGCTGTTTCCGTGCTAATGTAAGAACTTATTTTTTCACTTCCATTTCCTTCCAGACCCACTCCCCACTTTGAAAACCTCTGATAAATTATTCTGAGACAGCTTTTTAAATTGCTGCAACTAAATCCCAATTTCCGTTCTGAGTGCTGCTTCCCGGGATTTTATTAACATGCATTTAGTGTTAGATGGATCTCAAATGTAGAGCCTTTTTAGACTCAGTGTACTGTAAACATGCCCACATTTTAAAATCATTTAGTGGCCACGTAGAGTGAGTCACATGTCTGTTAACGCCCATCTCAAAATGGCTTTTGTGTGACCACAGTTGCTGCATGTAACTGCAGATATTTGTGAGATTGATTGATGATATATTGTTATTGTTATATTGTTGATATATCAAGTAGCACTAAACATATAAAGTACCATATAAAGGCAGTTAGGAACATCATTAGTACTGGACAAATTAACTTAAATGAACTTTTCTACTGTAATGTAGAATTATTGTGTGTTGTAATGTGTTGACCTTTCCATTTTATGCAGATTTAATGAACAATTAAGTAATCTGAATGTAAAATTTTGACCTGATTTTGGCATTAGAGGAAAACTTAAGAAATGATTTAAGAAAGTTATTACAGTATATTACAGAGTCTGGTCACAGACAGTCGCTAACGTTATCAATCCATCGTTATACTTGAACCTTCAGTACCAGCCCTCATTACTCTGTAGCAGTCCATAGTAAAACATGAACTTCATCCACGCAGGTCTTCAGTCTTCTGAGGCTGGAGACTGATGTGGAGGTTTTCACTGGTTATTTGACATTGTGTGAGTTCGTTTGGAGCTTAGTTAATGTTCAGTTATGTACATTCAATAAGATATAAGTAACTGAGAGAACGTTAATGTGTCTTGATGTCTTTGCAGTAGATGGGGAGTCCTCTGAGGGTAACTGCAGTTATCAGGATGTTTTAAACCACCTGAACTTCACTAAAAACAAAGAGCTGTTCTCAATGCTCCGGCCTGTTAAACACTACAAGACGCCTACAAATGTATCCGTGGATGTGCTGCTGCGTGCCATTCTAGATGTGGTAAGTGGGTAAGCTTTAACATTTGTGTTAGTTTTGGTTTTAAGTACCCTTTATGTGTTGCCAAGACATCTTAAACAAAATTTGGGGGGAAAATTGAAAACTAACAAGTGAACTAGTTCCAGTGGTTAGCGCTGCAACATGGTCATTTATTAAGCTCACAGTAATACTGTATTAGTTAGATATGCATGTGATATACTGCAGAGTGGTGTAGAGCATTAACCACTGTGCAAACCGACTTTTAATCCATGCTCTTGGTCTTTTAATGTCTCTGTTTAGTTCAACGCTTTGTGTGCACAGATTTACACATCATGATTATGGTGAAAATGTATTGTGCAGCCTTCTGGAGGTAACGTTATGTATATCTGTTTTAGATTTGACATTAGCTAAAGTGCTGTTTGTACATTTATATGAAAGTTATTAAAAATGTGTTTCAGTAATTTGAAGTTTTATTGAAAGTTTTCTGTGTGATGGGTCAGCTGTGTTGGTCATTTTCTTCATCTGGAAATATTTTCACACGTATTTATTTGCTTGTTTATAGAGAGAACTTGACCAGACATTCGTTCCTTATATTTGGATTTACATGGTGAGTTCTCTCTTAGAAAATAGTAGTTCAATTAATCACTTTTTTTGGAAACTCAAATTTCTTTCCTTTAAATGACATCTTTCTGTTCTTATCCAAACTATTATTTTCTGATCATTTCTCCTGATCTCCCCCTTGTTTCACTCTGCAGATGTGGGAAAATGAACACATTCAGTGGGAACCTGAAGACTTTTGTGGAATTAAGGAGGTCTCAATTCCTAGTGAAGTTTTGTGGAAGCCAGATATAACTATTGAAGAAATGTAAGTGAAATGAGAGTGCGTTCATGCAAACACTCAAAAATCCACATATAACTCTGACTTTAGTCCAGACTCAAGACGCTATCAAACCTCTTAATGAAAGAAGTTAACATAAATCAATCCTCCAAAGAAATTAGAGTCACTGACGTGAATTAAATGCAACTCAAAAATTCTATTGTTTCGAGTGTACCTAAATGAGTGCAGTTATTTTAAGTATTGGCCGTTTAATTCTGGTTCTTTTCACCGTACTGTGGCAGTTAACAGAAACATTAAAAATTACTATATATGGACACAAATTCTTGAAAATGACAAATACTTTTTGGAATTAGTTTCAGAGAGATAATTATCTTCTGTCTGTCTATAGTGCAGTTAGATGCAGTATTACGCACTCCCTGAATGTTGGTGTTTAGTTTGGCAGATAGATCAACAGTTCTCTAAATGTGAGAGTTTATTTGTTGCCTCCCATATGAAAGTACTGTGAAACTAAAATACACACACAAAAACCACATATTAAATCACATGTACAACCAATCAGACTTTATTTGCATAGCACTTTTCATACATGCTGCTTCAGCACTGCACACTGTCTACAGCAACACCAAAGGGTCAAAGCTCAAACTCAAAATTCCCAGTTTATTAAAGATCTAGCTACCACTAGGGGGAGACATTGCATGTGAATAAGGGCATCATTACACAATTACTTTCTATGCCTTTCTATTGCAGTGTATAATGTGTGCATGTATGTCTTATGTACGTATCTCTGTGTTATCATACAGAATAGAAAAGGACAAAGCCAGTCCAAGTCCTCATCTCATCATCTTCAGTGACGGTATAGTCTTTGTTAAGAATGACCAGGTGCTGGTCACCATGTGCCGGATGCAGGTTTTCAAATTCCCCTTTGACATTCAGACGTGCACCCTCACGTTCAAGTCTGTCGTGTATTCTGGTGAGCCCGCACCCTGTTATTTTATGAGATTTTATAAGTTCTATATAAGTTCATGTGTTCCTGTGTCTTTGTTCATTACCTGAACACACACCACCAGATAACACCACATACCTTTCTTTCTTCGCTGACCTGCAAGGAAACCTCACACTCTGTTTTTTATCTCCCACACCAGACGAGCAAATAAAGCTTATAACCAATACCGAGAATTCAGACTTTTCATGGTATTCCATGGCGATGCGGACTGAATTCGAGTGGCTGTTAATCAAGATGACAGTACACGCAGAACCTGTCACTAGTTTTGACTTCACACAAGACCAGGTGATTTTTATTGTAAGTATTATAGACACACTATTTACTCAAGTACTTAACTTAAAGAGTAATTTAACACCAGACTGAAACTGTGCTTTTAATCCCTTAATTATTACACAAATGTCTGTAATTAGGTTTCTTTCCATTTTCACCAGAGATACACGATTGTCACCCAAAAATGACTGATGTAGATTACGTTGTTGCTGCAAGTTGTGTATTATATGGCTGCTGTACTTTAGCCTTTCTCAGATGTGCAGGAGTATGAACATCAACATCATCATTTAAAAAACAAAAATCATTTCACAGATCAGCATGAAGAGGCGATCTGCCATCTACATTATCAACTTCTTGCTACCCATTCTGCTCTTCTTGAGTCTGGACTTGGCCTCCTTCCTGATCTCAGACAGTGGAGGCGAGAAGCTCAGCTTCAAGGTCACAATGCTGCTCGCTGTCACCGTGATGCAGCTTATTCTGAATGAAATTCTGCCTTCCTCTTCAGAAAGGATTCCACTTATAGGTAACGACTCTCTACAGCCGTTGTAGCCACTCTGTGAGGCTGTACTGAATTAAATGCTAACATCAGCATGCTCACAGTTACAATGCTAACACGCTCATGTTAAGCAGGTTTTCACCATCGTTTGTTAATTGGCACTAAACACAAGTACATCTGAGGCGGGACAATGCGAGGAACGTATTAATGCATCGTCTGACGCTGCCTTCCCACTTTAGTTGTCTTCTGTATCGGGATCTTTACTCTGATGATGCTGAGCCTGCTGGAGACGATTTTGGTGATGTATCTGACTGATAAAGACTCTGCATCCCAAGACAGCAAGACAGACCAAAGCCAGAGTGACGGTAACAAACAAGGTGAGATTCGTTATAATATCCATGTATGAGTGGAGATCCCAGAGGTATGTGCAGCCACCACAGCCACAACCTGTTCAGCCTGCTGCCATCGGGGTAGAGGTACAGAAGCTGCTGCTGCCGTATCACCAGCTTCTTCCCTCAGGCTGCTAAATTCATCTTCAGCACTACATTATACAAATTAGTAATGACTCTAACTCTCCATCTCTGTGTTGTAAATGACTATAAAATAACCTTGAATAATATAATGTTCAATATACTACCACAATCTTGTGTGTTATATGTTCTTCCAGACAAGAAGAAGTGGACTTCGTGCCTCTGTGACCTGTCTGCTGATGAAACACCAATTGAGCTGCTGAAGGTTGGGAATTGTACTTTAAAGGTCCAGTGTTTCACATTTAGGAGGATCTATTGGCAAGAAATATAATATAATGTTGATAACTTTGTTTTCATTAGTGTATAATCACCTGAAAAAAGGAATCGTTATGTTTTTCTTACCTCAAAATGAATCATTTTTGTCTACAGACGCCGCAAGTAGCCCAGAATGGTCAGACCGAACACTGGCTTTAGATAGGGACGTTTGCATTTCCCATGTGTTTTGTGGCCACTGTAGTTCCTCCTTTGTGTAAGGACGGGGAGGTTGAAGTGATGGAGTGTCTATCTGCAAATACACTGTGTAGGATTTAGTGGCATCTAGCCATTGGTCTTTTTAAAAACAGCTGGTTCAGCCAAAATTACAGACGACCACCGAACGTTTTGTCACATTAGAGCTCTGAGCACTTGTCAAGGATTTGTATCTTAGAAATTTCACCCCAATACTACAGTGACAGTAGTAGTAATTACATTTTTTAAACAACTAGCCCAACACTGTTCAGCTCCTACGTAAAACAAATACAAAAATTTTTCAAATCAAAAACACCTGAACTGCATTAATAACACAGAGGAAGTTTCCAGGATATTTAACCTCTCATCACTCTGAATATACTGTATTCATTTATGTGGTTCATAATCAGGCTATTTAACCACCAACTTTGAAACCACCCGTGCAGGGCAGCAGCAGCCAACTGATGGAGGAGGCTCAAGTCGGTGAGGGGTTCTCCGATGAGCTGAGGGAGGTGCTGAAAACTCTGGTTCTGATTCTCAACAGCAGGAAGGAAGAAGAGAAGCCCGGCTACTGGACCAGAATGACTAAAACCATCAACAAAGTCTTCTTTATTTTCTATGTCGTAGCTGCCAGTCTGTTTTTAATCTGTATGCTTTTAGTTTGGACTTTTGCTACATAATGACATTGCAACCTACAGTGGGAAACCGATAGATAGATAGATAGATAGATAGATAGATAGATAGATAGATAGATAGATAGATAGATAGATAGATAGATAGATAGATAGATAGATAGATAGATAGATAGATAGATAGATAGATAGATAGATAGATAGATAGATAGATAGACTTTATTAATTCCCGAAGGGAAATTGGGTCGTCATAGCAGCCAGGTACAATAAAATACAGTAGAATAAAATACAACAATAGAATAAAATACTAAGATAGAAAAGATAAAAAAAGATAAATAGGTAGGTAAGGTGCAAAGAGTTGTAGTTGCAAGATGGTGGTGATAGTACTGATGACATGATGGTACTGTTATTGTTAATAACAGTATATAATGATAATAATAATATTTATAATAATATAATAATATGTATATATAATATGATGAATGAACAGATATACATGTATACACATAGATATTATACATTAATATTGAACAAACACAAACTTACGTGTAGTCTGTAGTCTTGTCCTGTTCCTGCATAAACACAACTGTTCTGTCCTTCAGTAGTTTAGTTTCTACACACTGCTACATACTCGGTATAAGCCTGTTATAGAAGTTGTGTTGTGTTATGCCGACTATATACCTTTCAAATGTAATATGCACATTACTAATATTCAATGAATCCACCGCATGCTTATAATAATGTATTGAATGTATTAACACAGTGTTGTATCATACTCTCTCTCTAACAGTATAATGTGATTAAGGTCTGCTGTCCATTAAAGGTATAAGGCTGCGCAGACTACATGCAAATTTATATAAAGCATGTAAATGTGTGTGTGTGGTTGTTATATCACACATATGATTGAGTGATTTCATGTTGTCTGTGTTGTGGTTTGGGGTTTTTCTTTAGTTATGACCTGTTTTATTTTGTGTGTTACTCTTCCTCTTGTGTCTTTACTTTACTTCTTGTCTGATTATTTCCACCTGTTTCTAGTTATCTTCCCCCTCATCTGTGTTTCATTGGTTTATTAATTCTCTGTGTATTTATGTGTTTTCTTTCATTTGATCTGTTTCTCTGTGTTCTTTTTATAACCTTTTGGATTTCTGGATTTGTTATTTTCTTGGTTTACTCTCATTTGGACTATTTTGTGTTGCCCTGCCTGTTATTAAAATTACCTTTTGGTTAATTCTCTGGTCTCATGTGTATCTGCATCTGCATTTAATGAACTAACAGTCCTCTTATCTGGTTCTGAAAACATGTATCAGTCTCTGCAAAGCTGAAATAAACAATAAAAACAAAACTTTTTTGTCCTCTCTTTTTAGTATTAGTTTTAAGAGGTTAATATTGTCCTTTGTTCTCCACCACATTTGTATGTTTAGTTGTATGTTTAGTTACAATTCTATTTCTTCAGCTTAATAAACTGTTTAAAAACCCTCTTGGATTGCTTTAAAATGCATCGTCACAAAGCTGAAAACAGGCTGTTTTTCTGAGAGCATGAAAAGCTTTTAGAGATCTGTGGTTCCCAAAGGACGGTGATACTGCAAACATATGATGATCTTATAAAATATGATGCATTGGTGTATATTAAACCACCCAACAGTATACTTAAACATCTACAGCAGTGAAATATAACCCGCATTAATGCAGCAGTATTATTATTATATTATATTGACTATTAACAATATAAAATGTATTATTATTATTTTATAAAAGGATTATAACTTGAAGCTGTTACTGTTGACTCAGGTTACAGGTACAGTAGTTCTATCAGAGTTTATTGATTATTGTGACAATTAATATAGTAAAGATCCGTCTTGGACCAATTCTATTTGAGTGTTTATTTCACCCTGAACACAAATGTTTATTTTATGTATTTTATGCTTTTATTGAAGAATCAAACCAGAGACTTTGCAATCACACGTGGTAAGAGCTTAAACCACTACACCACCAGAACAACCCCATTTATTTCTTCACCAAATAATAATCTATTTTTATTGAATTAAGTGAGCTCTGAACTCTTCCCACTTACTCCATTACAACTGTAGAAGTAAACCCTGGGGTACATCTGGTTGGAAATGACTGTGTTAGACTACTGAGATGAAAAAAACAACTAAACAATGGGTTGGTCAGTTCAGTTCGCCCAGCCCTCTTCTAGTGTGAGGAGGATAAGTACTTCAAGACAGCACAGAGTTGACATTGATGCACATCTGCTGCACAGACCTCTCATAGACTTTGGATTGTCTCTGGTCCTGCACTCATGATGCTTGCTGGCTTCCTCTTTCTGCTCTTCATCACAGGTAAGGTTTCTCTCATCCTCAGCATCTCGTTGCTCTGGATAATACACAGACCTTCACTCTGAACAGATTTTGTTTGAAATAATTTCAAAGTGAAGTCTGTGGCTAATCAACAGCAACAGTTTCTGAAAAGATGCATTGCTGTTGAACCCACTTCCTTTGTTTTGGGAAAGAGGCAGAAATCTTAATTACATAGTCATGATGCCATAGACATACAGGAATTGAGTAAAACAAAACAACTTCTACTGGTAAATAGCAGATAGTTTTTAGTTTATTTGTTCGGGTTTTGAGATTTATGTCTGTTTCCCATATACAGGGGCGGATCTAGAGAAATATTAATGGGGTTAAATGGAGACTTTAAGGGTGGCAGAAATATTTGCTGATTTAATTGCAAACAATCAAATATATCAATATTTGATTGGAAAAGCCCCCAACAGCAGATATTTGAACTTTAAAACAGTAAATTATTGTGACACATTAGTAAGGTAATATATATATATATCTAAAGGTGGCATTAAAATGAATAAATTGTTGTATTTTAAAAATTTTTCATTGAACTTATACCATCACTTAGTCTAAAAAATGGACATAACAGATTATTAACATGTTATTTTTTAACATTAATCTCTATTAATGTGTTAAATCTGACTTCATTTGACTATAACGGGGGTGATAGCAGCTGCCACATCAGTCCCTGCCCAAATACACTCAACAGTTGAGCCAATATAGACTAATATTGCTGTTGTGATTAAAAAAAAGTGTCCTTAAGCTGTTTCCGTGCTAATGTAAGAACTTATTTTTTCACTTCCATTTCCTTCGAGACCCACTCCCCACTTTGAAAACCTCTGATATATTATTCTGAGACAGCTTTTTAAATTGCTGCAACTAAATCCCATTTTCCTTTCTGAGTGCTGCTTGCTGGGATTTTATTAACATGCATTTAGTGGTAGATGGATCTCAAATGTAGAGCCTTTTCAGACTCAGTGTACTGTAAACATGCCCACATTTGAAAATCATTTAGTGGTCACGTAGAGTGAGTCACATGTCTGTTAACGCCCATCTCAAAATGGCCTTTGTGTGACCACAGTTGCTGCATGTAACTGCAGATATTTGTGAGATTGATTGATGATATATTATTAATGTTCGAAAACAAGACTGCTAATGCAATCACACTCACAGTGGGAATGCTAACATACTGGTGCTAATTATGTTTATTATTTACTATGTTCACATCTTAGTTTAGCCTGTTAGTCACTCATATCAAGTAGCACTAAACATATAAAGTACCATATAAAGGCAGTTGGGAACATCATTAGTACTGGACAAATTAACTTAAATGAACTTTTCTACTGTAATGTAGAATTATTGTGTGTTGTAATGTGTTGACCTTTCCATTTTATGCAGATTTAATGAACAATTAAATAATCTGAATGTAAAATTTTGACCTGATTTTGGCATTAGAGGAAAACTTAAGAAATGATTTAAGAAAGTTATTACAGTATATTACAGAGTCTGGTCACAGACAGCCGCTAACGTTATCGATCCATCGTTATACTTGAACCTTCAGTACCAGCCCTCGTTACTCTGTAGCAGTCCATAGTAAAACATGAACTTCATCCACGCAGGTCTCCACATCAGGCTGGAGACTGATGTGGAGGTTTTCACTGGTTATTTGACATTGTGTGAGTTCGTTTGGAGCTTAGTTAATGTTCAGTAATGTACATTCAATAAGATATAAGTAACTGAGAGAACGTTAATGTGTCTTGATGTCTTTGCAGTAGATGGGGAGTCCTCTGAGGGTAACTGCAGTTATCAGGATGTCTTAAACCACCTGAACTTCACTAAAAACAAAGAGCTGTTCTCAATGATCCGGCCTGTTAAACACTACAAGACGCCTACGAATGTAACCCTGGATGTACTTCTCTATGCCATTCTAGATGTGGTAAGTGGTTTCTTACGATCGTAAATTGCAATTGTTGTTTCTTCTGTGTTGAGGAAATTATAGTGGTTCCATTTCTGCGTTTGTCTCTCATGTAACAACATCTTATAGTATCTGCTAGACCATAGGCCAACATCACCATGTTTGCTGACATGTTTTTTGTCTCCTACAGCTGTTTATATTCCCTACAGTTTGCCTCTAATTGGTTGCCAAACTTATGGCACTATTCCTAGTAGCAGATCCTAGTAGTAGTTATTTAAAGCGAATAGTTGACTAGTCGACTTCATTTAATTATTTAAATATATATTTTATCAGCCACCCGTTAAATGTGAACAGACAAAGCGGTAATGAACCTGAGTGTGTCAGAACAACCAGGAAGAAGCCCGAACATTTAGTTCATTTACAAGATATATTAGTGTATTAGTACAGTCACTCAGATCTAGGAATGAACATTTAAGGAAAATAGTTGGCAAACCCCAAAAGCCCTTGACTCAACTTTTTATAGAAAGGAAGGAGCTCTTCACAAATCTCCACAAAACACTCTTCAAATCTCTTCACGCAGTTTGAGCTTTTGAGCTCCGGGAGGCGCTATAGAGTCCCTCTGTACTGAGTACCATTACAGTTTTTCTTGATTGTTTTGATGCAGCAGTCAACTCAAACTCCACATTTTCAAAACAGTTAACACACAGGCCGAAACAGTGGCACTCATGGTCAAAATGACACATTTTGTTTGCAAAAGGCTCTAACCGTGCCAAAACATTTAAAAAAATTTGCCTTCAAACAACACAACTTGCAAACAAGTGTATGAGCTCTTCCAATCAACCATTACACAGTGGACAACAAAATACAAAATACAGCAATCAGTGCACCATTGCTTGTCATTATAGCCTATTACTGTACGTAGCTTTCATGCCAGTACCATTTGTTGTCAAATTTGCCTTCTTGCAAAGAATTGGATCCAGAATCAGAAATGCTTTGACGCAAATTTTATTGATTCCATTGATTCTTTTTTTCAAACTGTGGATGAAAACTGAAATACTGTAAATATTACACAAAATACATGTAAACCAAAATAAAATCCATTAGAGTATAAGAAATTAAGAAAATAAAAATAAAATCTATTACAGTAAAGTATAAAAATCAATTACTGTAGAGTATAAGAAATAGCCACTGTTGATACTCAGTCTCTTCTGTCTTGACGATGGGGCCACATGGCCTCATCCACATCACATTCAATATCCTCTCTTGCAATGCACCGAGGGAATAATCTTCTTGCACGCCTTATCCAACCTTGACATTCCTCTGCACCTATGTCTTGGGCAGCAGCAGTCATTGCATTCAGCAAGGGCATCTGCTCATAGGGACGGTGATCATAAACCTTCCACCTCCAAGCACTGAAGAACTCCTCTATGGGATTCAAAAATGGGGAATATGCTGGAAGGAATTGCATCATCATTCGAGGGTGTACTGCAAACCACTCATTGACAAGGCGAGAGTGGTGGAATGCCACATTGTCCCAGATAATGACGAAGAGTAGAATGCCAGGCCTCAACAGCCCTCTCTCCTCAGGTGGGATCAGCTGTCATGTGCATTCAGGAATGTTATGAGATGCTCGGTGTTGTATGGGCCAATAGTGTGGATATGGCATAGGACACCATCATTGTACCCAATGAGGTTCCTTCCACGTCTCCTCACTTTACAGAGATTGAAGCTGGCTTCATCAACATAAATGAAAACATGATGTGCCCCCTCAGGCAAAATGACAATGAAAAGTGACTCCAGTTGACTAACTGCATGATATGACAAGGCATTACAGTATACTGTAGTACTGCTTCCTTACCTCCACATATTGGCATCTGGCCTCCTTCACAATGTCGGAGTTCCTTTGAAATGAAAGTGTATAGAGCTGCTTCATGGCCATATGGTTCCTTCTTAGGATGCGGTCAATGGTGGTCAAGCTCACTGATGTTCCTAAACATGCCCTGATCTGCGATCATTGCTGCCCTGATTTCACGCAGCTTTATGGCATTGTTTGCCACAACCATGTTCACAACGGCTGCCTCCTGCTCAGCACTAAAAATTCTCCCTCTACCACCAGAGAATGGTAGCCTTTGGATTCTTTAAAGAATACATGTAATAGGAATGAGGAAACAATTACATAAAATATATGACTTAAGATATTTCTGTATATACTGTACAGCAACATTACCTGTTTTCCTGTCGAAAATTCTGACAATGGATGCAACAGTGTTTCTGTTTAGAACAGGTTAGGGTAACTATACCTCCACCTCACACTCGGACTCCTCTTCCTCGGACCCCTCTACCTCTTACTCTCACTCTCATCTGCCTTAGACCTCTTCCATCCATGTTGGCAAAGAACAACACAGACGCTGCACCTTTTAAGGCCTGCAGACTGATTGCTAATTGAAGATTTGTGTGAAGGAGTGTCAAACAGGTGCTTCAGTGATTTCATACTGATGTAGGTAGTTTCTAATAGCTAGGAACAGATGGTTTCTGTTTGGTTACCATAGGTAAAACAATGGAGTTTGGACTGCTTGAATGACATCTGTGTTAACTGTTCTGCAAAAGGGTGGGGAAAATGTGTCAATCCAATGAGAAAGGGTTAACACATTTGCAAGAGGTGTCTTGTGCTCTGCTGAGACAGTGATGATGAAAACCGAGTGGATCCCAGTTTCTTTAAGCAGGTCAAAGCAATCAAGAAAAACTAATATTATTAAATCTGCAAAATGTAAAGTAACCTTGTCTATGTGCCTGTTTTACCGACTGGTGTTTTTTTTTTTTTATGTTTCATTTTTTGACAGCCCTCTTGACTTCCTGTTTGAGCTGTCTTTCCCTGGTGGATTGTCTCAGTAATCGGATGTTACTGATTTATATGCTTTATATTGTCATTGTTTAACTTATATTTTGTTAAATACATTTTTAGGTAAAGGTCATGTGTTATCCTCTCCTCTCTGTCCTTCCCTTGAGCCCTTAATCCTGTTTTGGTCCACCCCGGTGGACAATAAAAATCTTATTCTGTTACTTTTTTTACTTTTTAAAATAAATTAGGCACACCTGTGTGACAGCACTGTTCATTCATTGCACTTTACTTAGCTTAATACTACTTGTACTTTATCATCTTTTTACATATTTTATGTTTTTTATTATATTTTGTCTTATTCTATAAACCTTAGCGCTGAAAACAATATTTAATTTCCCTGTATACTGAATTTCGAACTCATGATTCATTTGAAATTGTGCACAGTTCATATTTGTACTTAACCCTGATATTCCCGGGCAGATAATATTCCTCAAAAATCCTGCCTGCTGTCAGCCATTTAGCCTGATTGTCTTAATTACGCTGATTAGTGTCAGATCTAAATGCATAATAAAGAATAACACATATAAATACATTTTGATCAGCCTTGGTTGTTGCTTTTACTTACTAGTTTAGATTTGACGCATGTTATAATACCTGTCTTACAAACTGATGTTTTGCAAACTTCTTAACACTGAATTTGGAAATATTTCACACATATTTCTTTGTTTATAGAACGAGAAGGACCAGCAACTGGTTCCTTACATTTGGCTTGATATGGTGAGTTGTTTCTGAGGAAGTAAGCACTTCATGACTCTGTTGAGAAACCTAAATTTATGTTGCTTAAATGCATTTTTCTCCTTGTTTTCCTCTGTAGTGGTGGAATAATGAATTCATTTCCTGGGATCCAGCTAAATTCTGTGGTATTCAAAATTTTTCTCTTCCTTCTGACTTGTTGTGGAAACCAGATATAACTATTGTAGAAATGTAAGTTTGAATTATACGACGTTCTCACACTCTCAAAACCACATAAACTCATATTAGTGACTGATGATAGAGCACTGTGTTACTGTTAAGAAATGATACAGAAGAAATAAGATGCCAACATTTTAGGTGAATTATGTTATTATGTGTGTTCTCATACAGGACAGAGAAGGATAAAGCTCCACCGAGTCCTTATCTCGTTGTTACAAGCGACGGTGTTATCGAAATTACGAACGACCAGGTGCTGGTCAGCACCTGCAGGATGCACGTATACAAATTCCCCTTCGACATCCAGAGCTGCAACCTCTCCTTCAAGTCTGTCGTACACTCTGGTGAGCACTGTTGTGTTTAAAAGTTTAATCAGTTCTTTCTGTGTTCTCAAATCTGTTTTCAGTTTGAATGCATGTATGTGCTTTTATGACTTTTACAACCGGGTCTAACACGTAAATATTGCAGCTTGGTCAGTAGCCCTCCGCATCAAAATATGGCGCTGTAGGTATCCCTTTAGTGTCATTTCTGGACAATACCACAGTTTAAGTCAAGTGACAAAGAACATGAAAGTCTGCATATGGAGGTAATGGATGGATCGATGGCTAAAAACCAACCATATCTGTTAAGTAACGTACATAAGTTATGTCGGGTGCATAACAGAACTTACGTTCCTTTACTGAACATAACCAAAGTAGTTTTTGTGTCTAAACGTAACCAAAACACATCGGTTTCAAAACACTGACCACGCATTAGAGAGTGCATCTCTCCTTTCTAAGATTTGTTGTGCTACAGATCTAACAAATGGTGAAACTTTTATCCAACTTTCCTTCCTTCTCATAGAATCCAAATGTCTTACAAAGTTTAGATTTTAGATTTGATTGACACAGACATGTTTGTTTATGTACTGACAAACCACACTGCTGTTACTCTCATTGCTCCTGTCCCAAGACCCTCGTGTTGACCTTTCACAAGAGTAGAGATGCTGTCGGCAGCTAAGCTTTTGTCAACTGATTTGTTACTTTAGAAATGTACAGTTGACCAGTTTAAGAAAACTATTTCTGACTGGTATCGGTAAATCTTTACACCCCTACAACGCAAGCTTTATTTTTAGTCTAACCAGTCATTGCATATTCGTATCTTGCTAACTTGACCGACCTGTGTGTCCAAAACTGACACGAGTGGTACCTACAGCGACATATTTTGAAACCGGGCCACTGACCAAGTGTCAGTATTTGATGAATTAGGAGTGAGAATGTGATGACTTCTACAGCATGTCACCTGAAGACACATACCATACATTCCTTCTTTCTTAATCTGCAAAGAAACCACTCAATTGTATTTCTATCTCCCACCTCAGTTGAGGAAATAGAGCTTGAACAATATCTCAACTCTTCAAAGATAACAGAGGGGTCTAACGAGTTGATGCGGACCCAGTACGAGTGGCTGTTCATCAACATGAAAGTCAAAAGCCTGACTGACAACTATTTTGGCTTCTACCAAAGCACGATTATTTACACTGTAAGTATTTCTGACACAAAGAGGTCCCTAGAGCCACATGAGTCAAACCGTGCCCCACTGGTTTGCATTTCCAATACGAGTTTGAATCATGCCTGAGATGGACCATCTCCGGAGTTGGGTAAAAGTGCAAGTATTTATTTGGCTGCAAGTATTTAGTTTGCTCTTGTGACAAGATTAACAAATTGCCTTTGTGCCAGAAAAAGAACTAGAAGTCCATTCTCAGTGCAGCTTTTCACCAAAATACCATTGACTGACTTTACATTTGAAACCATCTGACACAGCCAACATGTATATGTGGGCCCCGTTATGCTGGTCTACATGGTAACCAAAATGGACATCTTATCTGGGGCCCACTTGGGCAAACCCATGTGGGCTCTATGTGGGTCCTAGGTGGGTCACTAATGGGAAATGAAAGTATGGGCTCGGAGTTGGAAACAGAAATGGGGTCCATTTGGGTTGCCGAGTGCCCACCTACCTAACACCCAGTGAAACCCTGCCGACATGGGTAACTGACATGAGCCATTGTGGAACCTGTGGACAATCTCATATTGGGCCCATGTTTCAGCCCATCTAATATGTTGGCTGGGTAACTGTGTGGTGTGTGCGCTGTGGACGAAATGACCACAGATGAGCAGAGCAAATTTCAAGGTCAAGAAAACAACAAATTATTTTTCTTTCTATCTGTATTTTGCTATTTTTCAGCAAATAATCTGAACATAGACTTTCTACCCTTCCTCTTTCATTACTACTTTTACCAAAGTAAGAGATTTAAGTGCTTCTTGCACCAGTGTATGAGCAGTTTAGGTCAGATTATCTTGTTGTGTAATACATATCTGTAACACCTGTAGTTGCTTCAGTTAAGCCTTTGTCCAATGTAAAGGTCAACCAACTGACCTTTTAATTTCACAGGTCACCATGAAGAGAAGGTCTGCCCTCTACATTATCAACTTCATGCTGCCCGTCCTGTTCTTCTTGTGTCTGGACTTGGCCTCCTTCCTGATCTCAGACAGCGGGGGTGAGAAGCTCAGCTTCAAAGTCACTGTGCTGCTTGCCGTCACCGTACTGCAGCTTATTCTGAATGAAATTCTTCCAACCTCATCAAACAGAGTTCCACTTATAGGTAAAGAAGCTCAGAGTCCTGCCATTATTGGACTGCACTGTAACAACAAATATACTGATTCAATGTGTAGTTATTTGTCCACATTAATAATGCTGCCATCTCCCTTCAGCGGTCTACTGCATTGGGACTTTTGGTTTGATGATGCTGAGCCTCCTGGAGACGATCGTGGTGATGAATCTGAGGGGAAGAGACTCTGCATTAAAAAACAACGAGGCACATAAAGACCAAAGCCTGAGTGAGGACTGTGGGGACAAACGAGACAGCTTCCAGAACTCTTTTAAAGGTGAGATGCACTACAACAAATAGACACTCAATTTGTGAAGCAGCATAGATGTTACACCAGATATTTGCCTTTAGTTACTTTATGGATTCACTGAAACAAACACGTAAAAGTTTTACTACAAAATGGTTATTTTGAATATGCACTAACCATGTTTTGTGTCTTTTCAGACGTTAATAAATTGATTCCTTGTGGATATCTCTGTGACATGTCTAATGGTGAACTTCCATCTGAAGAGCTGCGGTTGGCCGAAAAGGTTAAAACTGAGCTGCACTTTTCAAAATCTAGAAATGTTATATTTAATTTTAATCTAAAAGATTTTTTTTGTTTTTGTTTGTTTGTTTTTGACCACAAGAAACAAAACTCCATTCACTCTCATTATACAATGGCCAACAACTATATTTTATGACGTGGACAGGTTTACAGCAAACACGACCAAAAAGAAAGAAAAGAGTGTAAAGAAATAGAGAACGAGAGGCTCTATATGTTATAAATATATGTCCATCTGATCTATCTGATCCAGAACTGGTGTGACTTAACTTTAACCTGCTATGCACAAACTTTACCTTGTAATAATTGCACATGTACAGTTTAAAATATTAATGCACACCATATTTCTTACTGCACACTGCAGATAGTGTATATATTTTCATTATAGTCTTTATATTTTCTATTATATCTTTATCATATTTTTATTTCATTATTCTTTATTGTATTTTGACGCTGTACTTTTTGCACTACATTTCCCCTCTACTGCTGTAATTTCTCCCACAGTAGATCAATAAAGGAACATTGTTGTATATTAAGTAGCGATGATGCGAAGATGTATTGAAGAGAAGTCCGCTGACACCATCTTGATTGTATATAAAAGTTTATTACAAAAAGTTCAGCATCAATACAAGCACCGCAGGAGCTTGGAGAGCATCCAGCCAAATGAACAACTCTGTCTATTTTGCATCGAACATAGGTTTTTATAGGTCTGTTGTTTACTCCAAAAGATAATATAGAAACATTTGGTTCTTATACAGATATGTGAGGTAAAAAGAGGGACATGGGGGTTTTCAAGGTAGAGGTCAGAGGCCATTGAGAGGCCCCTAACCTAAACAGTTTCAGAGTAAGAATTACGTTGTTGAACCTCCTGAACTGTTAACACTGCATATGATGACAAAATATCATTTGAACTTATAACAGAATGTAATTTAAATGTATAAGCCTTCAGATACCACATATTTCCCCCCTTCGAGACTATGCAGAGTCTCAAAAACAGGAGTAAAACATACATGATTAAAATTATGACAAAAATAATAATTCCTTCTACATGCTCCTTGCAGCATAACCTTAACAATACAGCTACTTTATGGAGTGCGAGAGTGAAAAACCTGTCCGGCAGCTTTATTCCCAAAGTATCCATCAAACAATCTAGACAGGAATATTCTCTCACAGCCCCTCTGCCTCAGGCGACCACACATATGATGACAAAATATAATTTGAATTTATAACAGAATGTAATTTAAATTTGTAAGCCTTCAGATACCACAACATCTTATTATCTTATCTTAAAGGTTGAGGGTGCAGCATCTTGTAGCATAACACATTTTTTCTCAGGTGAGATGATGCATAAGAACATAATGAACAACTCCGGGCACGTCTGTGTGAAAGAGCGTGTCTGCAGCCCGGACATCGAGCTCGTCGCCGTCGGACTTCGTCCGCGTTATCTGCCACGGGAACTTTCCAGTGTTATCATCATCACTGTCTATATTCCTCACAGTGGTCTTCATAATCATCACTGTTTACATTCATGATGTCTTATTTATTCTCCTGTACAGCACTTTGGTCAACTTTGGTTGTTTTTAAAGTGCTTAACAAATAAAGTTGGATTGGATTGGATGGATAAGATCCCTAATCCATAGATTGAAAGCATAGAGGAAATCATGTTTCAGTATTAAATCATTCAGTTTCCTCTTGAAACAATGAACATTTTCCACCCATTACTTTTGCGATTTGTGCATTTTAAGGCACACAAAAATAACAACTGACTATTTGCATAATCAAATTTTTTAACCACATTGTATTAAACTACTTTTTCAGGGTAGCAGCAACCAACAGATGGAGGAGTCACGTGACTTTGAAAAGCTCTCAGATGAGCTGAGGGAGCTGGTGAAAACCCTGACTCTGCTCCTCAACAGCAGTAAGGAAGAAGAGAAACCCGGCTACTGGTACAAAAAGACTAAAACTATCAACAAAGTCTTCTTCATTTGCTATGTCATAGCTGCCACTCTGTTTTTAGTCCTGATGTTTTTTAGCTGGAATTCTGAAGAAGAAGAATAATAGTAGAGAATAAAGAATAATGAACAATGATTTGAGTTCCCAGAAGTTGTAAACGCAAAGTCACAAGATGCTGCAGGTAATGACTTCACTGTTGTTAATCTTTCCTGAATCATCAGCACTTTATGTATTCTGATGACTTACAACAAGTTAGTTCAATTTGTGCAGAAGCAAAGCTGTTGTGATTGTGTCACTAACCACACACCTTACACTTACTCCCCCCTGTCCTCGATACATAATCTGTACAATCAGTTTCTGTTTCACATCTTCTGCTGCTGCTTCAGTAAAGTTGACGAGTAATGGTGTACTTGGCATTTAACACACCTCTGACACTTGCATGTTTCACATAGTGGTTCACACATGTATTATTCTAGTACACTAATTGTACCACGAAGCGGTCGACTCATGTCTCTGCTATACAACAAGCATAGTCTGTATGTATAAGAAATCCACCAATACAAACAATTAAGCATGCAGGTGTTTTTCTACATAAATATATATTTACTATGTAATAAGGGCAAACCTTATAATCCACCTTAAAACAAAATAAAATAAAAAAATGAAATATTAATTAAAGTACAAACAAATTCATATCTTACATGTTCTGGCAGTTTTGTTTGGTTCCTGCATGAATCTTATCTATATATATTATATGTTAACTGACAACCTTGATTAAAAGCCACAGACGTCATTCTACAACTGTATTAAAGGTTGAGTACGGGGGCCGCTTTCTATGAAAACTCACTGTAATGCTGAAACACATCTATAATATTATGAGGATATAAAATGTGCTTTTCTTATTAATATCTGTATGTGCTGTTCTTTCACATCTCTGCATTAATCTGGTTAATATGCTCTAATGAGATCTATGAGACTCCGGCATACATGTGGAAATAAACAATAAAAACTAAAACAAATTCTCTGTTTGTTTGTTTTTTGTCTGTGTGCTTGAGCATTTAAAATTTGAACTTGAAACTTATAGAAAGAAATTGTGGGTTTGAACCATCTTCACAGTTCACACAGGAAAAGGACATCCAGGTGTGTTTATATATTTATATATTATATATAAAGGCTAAAAAATGGGACTCAATCCGTAACCCACGTGGTTCTCTACCACTAAGAACCAAATCCGTAAATGTAAGCTATTGTCTTGTTGCACTGTAACATTTGGAAGTGAAGCTGTAATCAATGAGGTAAATTCACATTGGATTACATATATGTATCTCATTTCCTGTAAATTGCTTGTGCGTATGAAGACTTTCCAGTCACAGTACACGGTTTGCTTATGAGCCTAAACCACTAAGTCACCAGAAAATCCCCTTTTATTCTTTCTGTTTAATAAAATATAATTTATTTTGCCAAATTAACTGAGCGACCCCTTTATTTTGTCCACATACTCTGCTGCAACTGCAGAAGTACGCCCTTTACAGTACAAACACATCTGGTAATGAAATACTTCTGAGATAAAAAACAACAACAACAAACCAATGGGTGTGTCATTCAGTTTGTCCACCCCTCTTCCAGTGTGAGGATAAAGTGTGCGGTGATATTTGCAGACAGCACAGAGTTGACACTGATGCACATTCGCAGCACAGACCATTCACAGACTTTGGATTCTCTCTGGTCCTGCATTCATGATGCTTGCTGGCTTCCTCTTCCTGCTCCTTGTCACAGGTAAGGTTTTCTCTCTTCTTCACAGTGTCCCTGTTGCTCTGAATGATGCACAGACCTCCCTGTTATTATAGTTTTGTAATAGTTTTTATTTTGTATTTAATTTGAAATATTTGTGAGGCAGTTAACTCTGAGCATGTCTACCCATTCCAGTTATAATAAACAAAGACACCGGTGCCTCCTCATGTTTGTGTTGACAAATTCGACCAAATTGACAAAAAGATGAGAGATATTTCCTGTATGTTTTTATTTTCAGACACAGCTCTGAGTGCTTCTGACCATGCATTTGGTGGTAGATGGATTTTTAATGAAGACTCTTTCAATGCTAATGGTCAAGTAGAGCTCATCCATATGTCTCCTAACCCCCATCTCATGATGGCTTTCATGTGCGTGACCACAGTCAGCTCATATTACTGCCGATATTTGTGAGCTTGATTGATTATATATTAATAACGTTGGAGAACTTTCATCATGCTAACATGCTCACAGTGGCAATGCTAACATATTGATGCTGATCAGGTTTAACATTAACCATGTTAAATACATCTTAGTTTAGCCTGTTAGCATGCTAACTTTTACTAATTAGCACTAAACATATAAAGTACAAGAATGTCATTAGTTTTGCAGAAGTATTGGAGAAATTAAAAATTAGACCTACTGATGACGCTAAAGAACAACACTGGAAATCACCAAAGTTATTATAATTCATCCTTTGGGTTAGATGAATGTCTGAATCAAATTTCATGGCAATCAATCTAGAAGTTGTGGAGGTATTCCATGTCTAAAAGCTAAAAATCATCAAATTCATATGATAAAACCGGGATAAATACATATTATAAGATACAAGTATATACTGTAACTCAAACACAGGCACTCAGTTGTAATTTAAAGGTAAAATTCAGAGCCTGGTAATCAGCATCACATTTCCTGATTTATTTTCTTCTAAGAGTCAACTCTCTCTCATAGATAATGTGTCTTGTTGTTTTCGCTGTAGATGTGGAGTCCTCTGAGCGTAACTGCAGTTATCAGGATGTTTTAAACCACTTGAACTTCACCAGAAACAAAGAGCTGTTCTCAGCGATCCGGCCTGTTAAAAACTATAAACAGCCTGTGGAGGTAACTCTGGATGTACTACTCTATGCCATTCTGGGTGTGGTAAGTGGTTGTAGTATATGTACAGTTCATATTTGTACTAAACCCGAAAATTCCCAGACAGAAAATATTCTTTAAAGATCATGGATCATATCATGCTGATTGCTGTCAGATATAAACACAGTTCGAGAACTTGTTTAAACTGTGATATGAAGTCTGATGTTTGCAAACTTAATTAACACTTATTAACTCTGAATTTGGAAAGATTTTCATGCATATTTCTTTGCTCTTAGAGAGAAAAGGACCAGCAATTTGTTTCTTACATTTGGCTTGATATGGTGAGTTATTCCTGAAGAAGTCAGCACTTCAGATTGAATGAATTCCTACCTCTCATTCTGTTGGAAAACTCAAATTTCTGTTGTTTAAAAGCATTTTTCTCCTTGTTTTCCTCTGTAGTGGTGGCAGAATGAGTTACTTTCCTGGAATCCAGAGGATTTCTGTGGTATTAAGCAATTTTCTCTTCCTACTGAAGTATTGTGGAAACCAGATATAACGATTGAAGAGATGTAAGTTTAAATTATATATATGATCTCACACTCAGAATAGCAACTGGTTAAGCAACAGGATTTAAACATGTTTTGTTTACTTAAAATAATATTTATTGCATATAGGTATTGTATTTTTACCCATAAAACATAAATAATTTAAATAGCTGGTAACACTTATATACACAATTATACAGACAATAAATTACAGAAATTATAATTATTTTATATACACAAGTTATCTGAGTGGGCTTCATTTACAAAATTGAGGTTACTAGAGGGCAGGAGGGAGGGGCAGGGTCTGAAATGACGAGAGACTTTGGGCCAAGGTTTGCGTTTCTGTTCGGTTTTATACATTTGATCTTTAGTGTGCTTGCTTAAGACTAACTAGTGCTAATACGTGAGCAGCTATTGCTCTTAATCGGTTTATAAATGGGCACACGTGGATGCATCTGACATCAAAATGTTGTCAATTCAATTCAACTCCTCTCTCTCATTCTTTCAGAAAATCATTTAAAAATGTTGCAATTGTCGAGAGTTTTTTTCACCAACTCTTTATAAAGTCATCCGATCAAATATCAATAAAACATTTTTAAACATTTGATTTACAACAGTTTAAAGCATATTTATGTGTGTTTTCATACAGGACAGAGAGGGATGAGGCCCCTCCGAGTCCTTATCTAATTGTTCAAAGCAACGGTTTCATCAAAGTTACGAACGACCAGGTGCTGGTGAGCTCCTGCAGGATGAGAGTTCACAAATTCCCCTTCGACATCCAAAGCTGCAACCTCTCGTTCAAGTCTGTCGTACACTCTGGTGAGCGCTGTTGTATCTAAAAGTTTGAGTTCCTGTAAGTTGTTCTTACGTATGGTTGAGTTTGAATGCACCAGAGTTATTATAGTTTTGTATTTTTCATTAGTTTTTAGTTTTAAATTCAGTTTAAATGTTTAAAATGTTTAGTTTGAGTTTTTTAGATTATAACATGTAATATAACATATTTGTCAGAGGTGAGAGTTAAGACGGTATTACAATACAAACACAATACTTTGTGTATGGACATTCCAGACTCAATAAACATGCACCAATGCCTCCGCCTTATTTTATTTTAGTTAGTTTTCATTTTGTGTGAAGTCTGTTTTTTATTTGTAAGATTTTCTTTCACGCCAATTTACTTTTGTTTAGTTTTAGTTACCTGCTAGTAACCCTCACAGTTCTGTTCTCTCTCACGTCAGTCAATGAAATACAGCTTGTTCAGTATCTGAACTCTTCAAAGATCACAGAGTGGTCTCGCAAGCTGATGCGGACCCAGTACGAGTGGCTGTTCGTCAACATGACTCTCTCCAACGAGACTGTCGACCTTTTTGGCTTCATCCAAAGCAGGATCGTTTACACTGTAAGTATTTCTGAAAACAGACATACAGAGGTGGAAAATATGATATGTACAAAGAGGTGGCATGTACTGTGTAACCTAAGAAAGATGAAATTAAGATAAACCACACAACCTGGATAAATCCCTATCCCTGAACAGACGTTAACATACCTGTCTCATTATCATAAACGCTCATCTCTGGAGATTCATATGCATCGGTGGCAAAGCCCTGGAAGCCCCAGACATGAGTGTAAATACCCCAAATAATAGCATCAAGTTCCCAGAGCCCTCCACTCAAATACCATACCAGCAGTGTGCAACTACACCACGGCTTTCACGGCTTTCTATTCTCTGATCTGAAGTTAATAATTTTGGGCTGTCAAGCTTCAGTGCTGATGCTGATTTTTTTTAAGAGAATTAAGAGTATTACACGAGTCGGGCATAAATCGAACACTGATAGTAAGTTTACACATAATCCAAAGGTGGCAAATATAGCATACTGTAGTCCCTCCAGGAAGTTGCAACCACAACAATTAATGCAAATTCAACCAATTCCTGTCTCAGTGAAACAAGATGCCTTCAGTCTTTATTGAATTATTTCACTTTCTCTTGCATATTTTTGCAAAAAAAAAAAAAAAAAAAAATCTCCACGTGTCGCAATTTTCTTGAAAGAAAGAAAACAGACAGTTTATGCAGCAACGATTCTAAACAATGGGATTTTGTCTTTAGGAGGGGCTGATATTTTCAGTATTTTAGAGACCCCCCAAAATGTTTCATGTTTTCAGGCTCACCTGTAGTTCGAACCCTGCAAACATTGCACTGTGAGGCTGAGGGGTTCATGAGTCTCCCCACACCTGCCCAGCTCCTTTCAGCCTGAACATGGACAGAAAAGATTCTAGCACCAAACCAGGATATTGGTTGCAGATGCTCCTGCAGATTACTCCCACGTTTGTTTTCTTGACCAAAAATCTGAACATAGACTTTCTACCCTTCCTCTTTCAATACTACATCTAAGTAAGTGATTTGAGTGCTTCTTGCAACAGTGTTTGAGCAGTTTATATCAGATTATCTTGTTGTGTAATACGTATCTGTAACACCTGTAGTTGCTTCAGTTTAACCTATGTCAAATATAAAGGACAACCACAGCTATTAACATAATTTCACAGGTCACCATGAAGAGAAGGTCTGCCCTCTACATTATCAACTTCATGCTGCCCATCCTGTTCTTCTTGTGTCTGGACTTGACCTCCTTCCTGATCTCAGACAGCGGGGGCGAGAAGCTCAGCTTCAAAGTCACTGTGCTGCTTGCCGTCACCTTGTTACAACTTATTCTGAATGAAATTCTTCCAGCCTCATCAAACAGAGTTCCACTTATAGGTAAAGAAGCTCAGAGTCTTGCCATTATTGGACTGCACTATGAGCAAGAAGAGCACATACTGACTCATTGTGTAGTTATTTGTGCACATTAATGATTCTGCCGTCTCCCTTCAGCGGTCTACTGCATTGGGACTTTTGGGTTGATGATGCTGAGCCTCCTGGAGACGACCGTGGTGATGAATCTGAGAGGAAGAGACTCTGTATCCCAAAACAACGAGGCAGAGAAAAACCACAGCCGGAATGAGGACTGTGAAGACAAACGAGGCAAAGTCAGCTTCCGTAACTCTTTTAGAGGTGAGATTCACTATAACAAATGGACACGTTTGTTTATATTCATGATCTCAATCAGACATCTGGTCAATTTGCGAAGCAGCATCAATGTTACACCAGATGTTTGTTAGTTTATGCATTCACCAAAACAGACACATGTAAAAGTTATAATACAAAATGGTCAGTTGTGTTATTTTGGAATATGCACTAACTATGTTTTGTGTCTTTTCAGACGTTAATAAATTGATTCCCAGTGCATCTATCTGTGACGTGTCTAATGGTGAAATTCCATCTGAACAGCTGCCAGCAGCCAAAGAGGTTAGATAAGACACTGGTGTTTCAAAATAAATGCTGCAATATTAAACTATTAAAGTAAAAGACTGCAACAGTTTGGAGCTACCGGAGTTCACAGAGTGTTATTCGTCACGATAACTTGTAGAGGTGAATTTGTATTTGACACTCATCCTTGCATTTCCAAAACTTTCTTTAAACAACAGACCACCTTTTATAGACATGCTGACACAGGTAGTAACGTTAAAAAGTAATGTTTCTGCTTTTTAACTGCTGCCACTGAAAACACTTTTGTATATTTGTAACATTTTTTTGACAAAAAAAAAAACAACAACCGAAACAAAAACAGTAAAATGCAGCTGCTGAATTACCATAATCCCAGTTTTTAACCACAGTTTATTAAACCGCTTTTTCAGGGGAGCAGCAACCAACTGATGGAGGACTTTGAAAAGCTCTCGGATGAGCTGAGGGAGCTGGTGAAAACACTGACTCTGTTCCTCAACCTCAGGAAGGAAGACGAGAAACCTGGCTACTGGAACAGAAAGACTAAAACTATCAACAAAGTCTTCTTAATTTTCTATGTCATAGCTGCCACTCTGTTTTTAGTCTTTATGTTTTTCAGTTGGAATTCTGAAGACTAATAATGGTAGAGATAATGAATAACGATAGAGTTCCCAGAAGTTGTAAACACAAAGTCTTTATGTTTTTAAGTTGGAACTAGAAGAGTGCACGCAGTAAGGTGCAGATTTATGCATATGTATGCATAAATCACTGATCCAATTTTAAGATGTGCAAGAAAAACTTTTAAAGAATACGCACAGTTGGCTTATATCTGAGCATTTGGGTAATTTCTGTGCAGAAAAGTAAATCGTCAGGGACAAGAAAACACTGAATTTGGAAAAAGTTTTTATCATTCTGAAAAAATTATAAAAAAACACAAAAATTAAAATCCAGACCGAAAATTGTGATGTAGGAGAGTTTTCTTTAACGATTAAAGAGGCTTCTTTCAGTTAAAAAAAAATCATTTAGGTGTTAACAAAATTGCATGTTGTCCTACATAAATATCTTTTTAGGGACAATCCTTATAATCCAACCCAAAATCATTAAAGTATTAAAAGATTTAAATGTAAAATATTTTAAAAAAGAAGCATGCATTAAGTGTAAATTCATATCAAATTGCTCCAAATTGGTAAAACACATCTATAATATTCTGAAGATATTAAAATGGATCAATAATATCATGTTGTCTTTCTGTGTTGTTCTTTCCCGTCTCTATCTGAATTACTCTGTTTATGTATTTATAATCAATTAACTGTCTGATATCTGCTCTGAAGAGATCTATCAGACTCTTTGTAATGCAGAAAAAAACAATAAAAACAAAATATATAATCTCTGTTTTCTTTTGTATGTGTGTGTGACGATGCTGAGAGTGAACCAATAATAATAATAATAAAACATTTATTATATATATAGTACGTATTCAAAGACACTTTACATGGTCACAAAAGAAAAATAACAGCAACAGCAAAGGCAATAACAGTATAAAAACAACGACAATTACAACTATAAACAAAAGAAGGTGGAGCAATAAAAAGGAGGGAAGTGAGAATACAGATTAAAAGCAGATTTAAATAGATGGTTGCAGATGAGTGCAGTTTTAAAGGATGTGAGTTTTAGTTCCAGAGGGAGTAGGACGTAATGGAGGTCACCCAGGTCCGGGGCTTGGAGCGGGTGAGAGGGGTGAGGAGGTTGGCGTCCGAGGATCTGAGGTTGCAGGTAGGTTTATTTATTCAGTACATCCAGGGGACGGCTGAACTCTTGCACCTTTACCTGTCTGCTATATTATTTATTTTAAGCTTTTAATCAATGCGGTAAAATTTACACTGGATTACATGCATGCATCTCGTTTCCAGTATGTCCCTCAACCACCAGAACAGCCCCTTTTATCCTCCATTCACCAAATTATACTGTATTTTTCCACTTTAACTGAGCTATGCTTTCAGTTACAGAAGTAAGCCCTTGGGTACAACTACATTTGGTTACCACTGAGATAAAACCCAACAACAATAAACCAATGGGTGTGTCATTCAGTTTGTCCAGCCCTCTTCCAGTGTGAGATTAAAGTGCAGTGATGTTTCTAGACAGCACAGAGTTGACATCGATGCACAGACCTCTCACAGACTTTGGATTCTCTCTGGTCCTGCACTCATGATGCTTTCTGGCTTCCTCTTTCTGCTCCTCATGACGGGTAAGGTTTCTTTCATCCTCACAGCGTCTCGTTGCTCTGGATAATTCACAGACCTCACTCTGAACAGATTTCATTTTAATTAATATCTACTGAGGAAACAGTCTCATTGAATACTGTTCAGAGTGGAATCTGTGGCTAATAAACAGCAACATGAAAAGCTTCTGAAAAGAGGTGTTGCTGTTTTTTAAATGTTGTGCTTCATGTTGTGAGTGTTTTTTTAAAAGTGGTCCAAGGAAGGAAAAGAACCTAAAAGAGGGTCATGGGGGGAGTGAAGGCTGGCCTGTGTGGTCTGATCCAACAGACGAGCTACTGTAGCTCAAACTGCTGAAACAATTAATGCTGGTTCTGATAGAAAGGAGTCAGAACACACAGTGCATCCCAGTTTGTTGTGTATGAGGCTGCTGCTGTGTTATGGCTGATCGTAAAGAATATGGTGACAGAGGCATGTGGTTGTTTTTCTTGAGAAGCCATTATATTTGTATAGTTTGTGTTTTATTGTTATTATATTGGATATGTTATGATTTTGTACAGCTGCTACCTTGGCCAGTTATCTCTTGTAAAAGAGATTTTTGATCTCAATGGGACTTCCTGGTAAAATAAAGGTAAAATAAAATAAATAAAATAAAATTGATGTATACACTGAAAAAAACAACTTGTAAGATTTACTTACTAAAACTTCTTTCAAATAAATTTTACTGCTCTAACATCAAGTACAACTTACTTTCCAGTATCAAATAAAATGTTATATAATGTAATATTACGAAGTGAATAAGTAGATTTTATAATTTGTTTTCAATTTAAACATGTTCAATGACCTTGTATTACGTTATGTTCCTCAATATAATTATTTAAATATTGCAAATTGTCTTTTGATAAATGTAAAAACCAAATAAATGTAATCATTTTCTCTATGCATATAATATACTTATATTACAAATTACTCAACTAAAATACAATTAAACAATTCTTTAAAGGTCCAGTTTGTAACATTTAGGAGGCTCTATTGGCAGAAATTGTATGTAATATTAATTAAATAATTTTCCCAGAGTCCAAAGTGACATCTTCAGATGTCTTTTTCTGTTTAACCAATAGTCCAAAACCTGAAGATTCTTCATTTACCATCACAAACTATAAGAAAATCAGAAAAATCCTCACATCAAGTAAATAAATGAACCAAACTCTTAAAGTGGATCAATAACTGGACCAACAGATAGAGACTTTTTGTGTTCATATTGTCATTTGAAAGTGGACTCAGCAGCTGGTTTTTTCATACATACATACAATTGTGATGTAATTTGACTAAAAACTTTGCATTTTCACATAATTTTAGGCAATTATCACTATAATATTTATCCAGCTTGTAGTATTTCACACTAGAATTATACATTAGCAAGAAGAATTTCCTGAACTGGTTTAAAACATTTGAATATATTAAATATAACTAAATAATGTAAAGTTTACATCAGCAAAGTCACTACATAAACTCAATAATATCTCAATGGAACAAATCTAAAACGTCAGTGAAGTAAACAATATTCCTGAAATGATTCCTTCCTCCTGTCCTCTATAATGACACACAGAAAGCCTGATTCATTATTAGATTAAGCAGCACGCTGTAGTTGGAACAACAACAACTAAACTAACACTTAAAAATCATTTAGTGGTCGAGTCAAGCTGATCCATACGCCTGCCAACACCCATCTCATGATGGCCTTTGTGTGACCACAGTCACTGCAGATAATTGTCAGCTGAATTAATATTTAATGATTAAACAACAAAGCTAAGAGTCGACAACAATACAAAACAGGTCTGTGAGGCTGCACAAACACTAACAACATCATACTAACATGTACAGTGACAAGTTTAGCTTACTAGCATGCTATCACTTGCAGTTTTAACCTGATGATGGTGAAAGATCAAGTGAAGTTATTCGCCTACAATTCATCCTTTTGGGTGATATGAATGTCTGAATTAAATTGAATGGTAATAGTTGTTGAGGTATTTCATGCCTGAGCCAAACTTTTCCTGATTTCTTTTTCTTTTAAAGAGTAAACTCTCTCTCTCATAGATAATGTGTCTTGATGTTTTCGCTGTAGATGGAGAGTCTTCTGAGCGTAACTGCACTTATCAGGATGTTTTAAACCACCTGAACTTCACCAAAAACAAAGAGTTGTTCTCCATGATCCGGCCTGTTAAAAACTATAAACAGCCCACAGATGTATACGTGACTGTACTACCCTATGCCATTCTAGATGTGGTAAGTGGTTTATATTACAATTATAAACTGTTATTTCTTGAAGTGTTTACAGCACCACCGAGTTCTGCTCTGTGCCATTCAGAAATACTTATTGATCCACATGGGGGAATTAGTTTTGATAGAGCTTTCAAGTTAATGAATTAACAGTAATTATTACAGTATTCACTCTGCCAAAGAGGGTATGTTTTCTTTTGGCTGACAATTAGCAAGATATCTCAGAGAGATTTAGTGTATAGCGATGCCATAAGCCAACATCACTATATGTCCTTTTATAAGGCTTTGTTTGTAATGGTTGAGAACTGTCCTGTGCAACCAGGCCGGAAACACACTGACAAAGGAGATCAGAGTAGCAGAGGCCCTATTTAAGGGGATGCATCGCTCAGACAACATTCAGAGGTGGAAGGATACGTCTTGACTGATAAAATCCAATAAGTCATCATTTCCAAAAGTCTCAGTTTTTTGCCCGTCCAGATTAAAACTTTTTTTTTTTTTAAACTGAAACAGGGCAAGCAGCATTCCTAAATGTCTAGTTCAGGGGCTTGAAAACGCCAAAAAATAGTGTGCACGCTAGTTGTAAATGTAGTTAAACATGCGTATACGTGTGCGAAACAAAAACATAGTAGTGTCGATGTTGCCTTGGATACATTTACTCCCGAACTGCTTTTATTGTTGCTACTGCAATACTTCACTTTTTAGACTCACTTATATTTATATTTTTTATTTTTATATATAGTATAGTTGTCTTGCGTAATATTTGATTTAGCTTTGTTGGTTGGTACTTAAAGAATAACGTATGGAAGCTTTATATTTGTATGGTGACAGAGTGTGTGTTGTGATTGGTAGCTCTATGTGTGTTAATTAAGGTGCTGTTTGTTGACGCATAATATCTGACATTGTCATTGAACCACCGAATTTATGCTTAGTTTTAACACATTTCTTTGCTCATAGAACGAGAAGGACCAGAAATTTGTTCCCTACGTTTGGACTTGGATGGTGAGTTCTCTCTGCAATGAAAGCACATTTTGATTGAATGAATTCCCACCTCTCGCTCCGCTGAGAAACTGTCATTTCTTTAGTTTAAATGTATTTCTTCTCCTTGTTTTCCTCTGTAGGTCTGGCAGAATGAGTTTATTTCCTGGAATCCACAGGACTTATGTGGTATTGAGAAGTTTACTCTTCCTACTGACGTACTGTGGAAGCCAGATCTAACTATTGAAGAGATGTAAGTTTAAATGTTTGTGCATGTGTTCACACGCATAAATCCACAAACACTCATAACACACATGTACGTGTGTTCTCTTACAGGACAGAAAGGGATAAAGCCCCTCCAAGTCCTTATCTCACTGTTTATAGTAATGGTCACATCCAAGTTGAGAACGACCAGGTTCTGGTCAGCGCCTGCAGGATGAGAGTTCACAAATTTCCCTTTGACATCCAGAGGTGCAACCTGTCTATAAAGTCTGTCATACACTCTGGTGAGTCCGTAACCTGTTGTGTTTGAAAGTTTTATAAGTTCCTATAAGTTGTTTATGTTCTCATGTCTGTTTGAGTGTGAATTACAGTACACACATACCTTACATTCCTACATACATCTCACTCTTATATTTTTATCTCCCACTTCAGAAAAGGAAATGCAGCTTTTTGAGACTTTCAACTCGTCCACGTCCACAAAGTGGTCTCAGGAGTTGATGCGGATCCAGTACGAGTGGCTCTTCATCGGCATGACAGTCTGCAACGAAACTGTCGACAATTTTGGCTTCATCCAAAAGAGGGTTGTTTACACTGTAAGTGTTTCTGAATACAGACACACAGGTGGAAAGTAAACAAGTATTTACATTTTATTTCATCTTAAGGGAGGGAAGAACTAACACGAAGAGGCAGCTCTTTGGCATACGGATTATGTAAGCTAAGAAAATGAACATTCAGAATAGATACACACCCTGGACCAATCTCTGCTAACTTTTACTAAGAGAAGACAAATGAGAGAAGCCCAGACAACAGTCAGAGCCCTACATGTACCCAACATCCAGCCCTGCAGGTGGTGGGCTCATAAGGCAGGGACCCCATGTCAAACCTTCAGGCTCAGCCCAACTCCCGTCCCAGGCCTGGCACCAGGAGAGGGCCCTGGTGTCCTGTAGCTGCTTCTGTTCAGCTGTGTCAACTGCGAAGGTCAATAACCTCAACCCTTTCAAAATCATTTCACAGATAACCATTAAGAGGCGGTCAATCCTCTACATCATCAACTTCTTGCTGCCCGTCCTGTTCTTCTTGTGTCTGGACTTGGCCTCCTTCCTGATCTCAGACAGCGGGGGCGAGAAACTCGGCTTCAAGATCACCGTGCTGCTTGCCGTCACCGTAATGCAGCTTATTCTGAATGAAATTCTTCCAACCTCTTCAGACCGAGTTCCACTTATAGGTAATGAAACTCAGAGTTAGAGATGTTCTGCTAAAACTTTAGCTGATGTGATATGTGTGCACTAAAAATTATGCTGCCTGCTCCCTTCAGCGGTCTACTGCATTGGGTCTTTTGGTTTGATGATGCTGAGCCTCCTGGAGACGATCGTGGTGATGAATCTGAGGGGAAGAGACTCTGCATCCAAAAACAATGAGGCAGAGAAAAACCAAAGCCTGAGTGAGGACTGTGGGGACAAACGAGACAAAGGCAAATAAAATTCGCTACAATTAATTGGGATGTTTGAATATATTTATGAGCTAAAAAATGAAAATCAGACATCTGGTCAGTTTGTGAAGAAGTTACTGAAACAGGCACATGTAAGATATTTAATACCAAATTTGTTATTTTGAATATGCACTAAACATGTCTCATGCATTTTTTCAGACAATAATAAATTGATCTACTGTGCGTCTCTCTGTGACGTGTCTTCTGGTGAAACACCATCTGAACAGCTGCCAGTGGCCAAAAAGGTGAAGACTGAGTTGTTTCTTAACCCAACCCGATTAAACCCAAGTCACAGTGACTGCTTTCTCCTGCAGAAATAGTCCCTATAACAAGTGCTGACATTGTGTTCTAGATTATCCAGAGTGATGAGGAAACTGGTTGCAGAGTCTCTACAGGTTTCTTTTTACAAATACAAAAGCAGCTGGATAGAAATACAGCAACGATAGCTTTGTATTTAGAAATAAAGCAACTTTCAGAAAACTGTGGCATATGTAGTATTCTGAACCATGTCAAGTATTTTTATTTATCACTTTTGGTTGCCAGTGAGTGAATGGGTTGTAACGCAACTTAAAACTTAAAAATTAGACTTTGACTGACTTTCTCGGGTGCCTGCGGGATGGTTTTTTATGCATTTTTACGTATTTTCTGTAAAATAGCAGCGTCAGATAATGTTTTGCAGCTCGCTGATTAACCGAATGCAAATGTCAGCTGGCTAACGTTAGTTTGGAAAATTACTTCCCTAGCTAACGTGATCTATGATACCAACTTGTGTATTATGACAAACGGTGTTGATTTTAGCAAACAATAAATTATGTAACGAAGGTAAACTAAGGTACAAAGCAAATGATTGCTTTCTAGTAGCCAAGAGTGATGAGAGGCAGATAAATCCTTAACTAGCCAAAGTTAAGCCGGGGTTGGTCGGCTGGCTGCGAGGTGTCGATTTAAATTGGTTGCTTTGTGATTTGTAAACGGCAAGCTAGTTAGTAGCATGGTGTCTATGTCTAAATATAGGAACACTGACAGCAACAATATTTTAAACATGATTATAGTTTATTTTCCAACAGAACACTGATTGCAGTCCACTGAACTGCCGCTGGTGTCTGTAGTACAGCAGTGATAATGTTAACACAGACTACACAAAACACTGATCACAGTGCCTGACAGCGGTCTTTCCTTAAAACTAATGTCCTCCTGCAGTTTCTGTGCAAAACCATCCAGTTCCCTCATGGAATAATGAACATTTTCCACCCATTATTTTTGTGATATGTCCCGTTCAAGGCCCAAAACTAACAGTTGACACAAAAATGTGACTGTCAAATGTGGGAGCTGTATTTGCATAATCACATTTTTTAACCACATTGTATTAAACCACTTTTTCAGGGTAGCAGCAACCAACTGATGGAGGACTTTGAAAATCTCTCAGATGAGCTGAAGGAGTTGGTGAAAACACTGACTCTCTTCCTCAACCTCAGGAAGGAAGAAGAGAAACCCGGCTACTGGAACAGAAAGACTAAAATTATTAACAAAGTTTTCTTTATTTTCTATGTCATAGCTGCCACTCTGTTTTTAGTCTTTATGATTTTCTCTTGGAATTCTGAAACTTAATAATAGTGCTGAATAATGAAATATAATGTTTTCATTTCACATCTGCTGCTGCTGCTTTAGTAAAGCTGACGAGTAATGGTATACTTGGTATTTAAGGTAGTATTTAATCCTTCACTGCTACTCACATCTGATTGATTTGCATGTGTAATATAGTGTGTAATGTACCATATAGACTTATGTCTTTACTTTACAATAAGCATTGTCTGTATGTATGAAAAATTCACCAATACAAACAATTAAACATGCAGGTGTTTGGTTTTTGCAGGTTTTCCTGCATAATATAAAACAAAATGTCTGTTCCCACAGGAATCTTATTTAAGCTCTATTAACTGACATTTCGATCCCTTGATCAAAGGCACGAACAAGTTTTTTCACGTTTTCTGCTACAAAGTTTTGTCTTCTTTGGAGCCACATAAGTTACTCTTCAACTGTTTTAAAAGGCTGCTTAGGGGACTGCGTCCTGTCAGAAGTAAATTGACTTTGACGAGTACAACAGTGCTCAACAGTGGCGTTTCCTATAATTTTCAAGCTGGAGGATTTTGATTACTAGCCCCAATGTGGTAAACATCCAAGCTAGATTTATCGTGAGCTATGAGATTGTGAAACGATAGAAGCCACAAGTCTGTGCTTTCTTGTTTTAAGAAAGGGAAAGGTACAGTACCCACAACCCTAAAGTGTAACAGCAACGTCTTTGAATGGATGAGTTAGAGCTAGTATTTACACACAGTGAGGTACTGCTACCACTGAGCTCTATGGTGGTTTACATTACTTTTACCACAGAGCAACCATGATTTATCTTTCTGATATACTGTCAGTTTATAATAATAACAATGAGAATTAATTCGCAGTGGTTTATGGGCTTCGCTCTTAAAATAATTATGCACCACGTCTACCTGCACTACACTGATGTCTGTATGGGTTCAGTTGTTGTCTTTCTGTGGTTTTCTTTCAGATCTCCATCTGCTTTACTCTGCTTTATGTATTCATAATCAAACAACAGTCCTGATATCTGCTCTGATGAGAAGTATGAGACTCTCTGTAATGCAAAAAAAATAAACAATTAAAACCAAACCTACTCTCAGTTTTTCTTTGTACGCGAGTGTGCGAGGGTGCACTTATGATTTGAACTTCAACGTAATATATATTTATATGTTTATATGTATGGTATGTACACGCCATGGAAAATAAACGTATTATGTATTAATATACATATAGCTTACATACACCCAGGAAATAATTCTTTTTGATTGTGAACAGCAGCAATATGGATAATATGGTTTCATCTCCACATTAATAGTCATGAAATTTGAGAAAGCATAGCAACGTCATACTTCCTGTTTACATCTCCCAAACCTTAGATTAAGGATAAAATGGTAATGGTAATCAATTAGCTAAAATGTCCATTGTATTACATGCCTGCATCATGTTTCCTGTTAATTGCTTCTGTGTGTGTTGATGATGGAATTAAACCAGGGACTTCATGTTACAGTCACATTGTATGGTACAGTATGTGCCACCAGGCCCTTTTATTTTCCACCAAATTATAATTTACTTTCCCAAATAAATAAATAAATAAATCTTCCACTTCTACAGTGCTCCCTTGCAACTGCAGATGTACAGCCTGGTTAGGAAGATAAAAAAACAAAAACAAACCAATGGGTGGGTCATTCAGTTTGTCCAGCCCTCTTCCAGTGGGAGGATAAAGTGCTGTGATGTTTCTAGAAAGCACAGAGGTGACATTGATGCACAGACCTCTCACAGGCTTTGGATTCTCTCTGGTCCTCCACTCATGATGTTTGTTGGCTTCCTCTTCCTGCTCCTCCTCGTGGGTAAGGTTTCTCTCATCCTCACAGCGTCTCATTGCTCTGGATAATGCTAATAGTAATTTCTACCAAGGGTATGAATACTGTCTGAGTCTGTGGCTAATCAACAGCAACGTGGACACAGTTTATGAAAAGAGGTGTTTTTTAAATGTTGTGCTTCATTTTGTGAGTGTCACAAAAGAAATTCTATCCACATCCACAGAGAAATATCAAAACCTGAACAAATAAACCATCTGCTACTAGAGGTGGAGGGAGACTTGAGAATAGAATAGTTAATTGGGTACACATAGCTAAAACAGTCCTGCAATAGATCCAACCTTCAGGAAGGTTGAAGTTGTTTTAGAGAGGTGTTGATAAAGACTTTATGATCATTTTGAAGGATGTAGTTTGTGGTGCTGTTACAATATGGGAGATGTTTCTAATATCTATCCTACTAACTGATAGAAACATGGAAAAAATATTAGAAACACTTCACAGTATAATGCAACAGCACAAAAGGTAGTCCTTCAGGTAGCAATCACTGCAGGGATGTATTAGATTGTGCTCCTTTAAGCTAGGTGTACCTAAACAATGTATATATATATATATATATATATATATATATATATATATATATATATATATATATATACAGTGACTCAGTATTCATACAGTCCTCAATAGGGCTGTGTATTAGCAAGAATCTGGTGATACGATACATATCACACTGCAGTGGTTACGATTCAATATGGCGATAAATTGCGATACTACAAATAATACCTGTTGATATAATTGATGTATTTTTCATTCAGTATTATTGCAAACAACATTTTACGTTTTAAAGAAAATTAAAGAAGCTACTTTTGCTGCTAGTTCAGGTATTCAACCCATACGCAGTAGTACTTGGTAGAGCCACCTTTTGCTGCAACAGCTTTAACTCTTTTGTAGTAAGTATTTACCAGCTTTGTATATTGTTTGGGAGTGATTTTTTCCCACATTCCATTGAAGTCTTGACTTTTATTTGGCCACTGCAGAAAATTCACCTGTTTGTTGATCAACCACTCCTGTGTTGCTTTGGCCTCGTTCTTGGTGTCATTGCTTTGTCCATTCTTCCTTAAATTCTAAGTCCCTGCTGAGTAAAAGCATCCACCACACCATGATGTTGCCACCACACTTCACTTTGGAGAGGATGTTTGTGAGGTTTACGACGATTCTGACAAAACTTCTGTTAACAGCTTTCTAAAAGGCTGCATGCACACTTTTGAGCGCTGCTGGCCATTATCTTTTATCAACAAGCATCGGGTTGTAGCTGGGAGATGGATCTTAAATGGAGAGTCTATTTAGCCATCTGTAACAGTGACCACAATTAAAATGTATTAAGTGGTTGAGTAGAGTCCATATGCCTGCCAGCGTCCATCTAATGATGGCCACAATGTGGCCATAATAACTTGTGAGGTGGATTAGAGTTTCCGGTATATATACATATATATATATTCACATACAGCGATCAGCTATAACATTATGACCACCTGGGCACCCTGCCAGCATGAACCTTTTCAACATTAACTTTTTCAGCATTAACTTCTTCCTTCCTTGGACCCCTTTTGAGAGGTACTGACCACTGCAGACCGAGAACACCCCACAAGAGCTGCAGTTTTGGAGATGCTCTGACCCAGTTGTGTAGCTATCATTGTTGTATGGCCTGGCTCAGATTAAACCCTTTGTCAGAGTCAGAGTAGGGCTATCTTGGTGAATGAGACGCTGCTGGAAAGTAGCAGGGTCCAATTTTGGGGCTAATAAATCATGTGAATTAAATCATCAAATTCATATGAATTCAGAAGCAGTGGATACAAACAATGTTTTCTTTTTAATGACAAGCTGAGAGAACATAATTCAAACACAAGTGCTCCCAAACTCTAATTTAAAGGCACAATTCAGAGCCTGGTAATCAACATCACATTTCCTGATTTATTTTCTTTTAAGAGTAAACTCTCTCTCATAGATAATGTGTCTTGATGTTTTAGCTGTAGATGGGGAGTCCTCTGAGCAAATCTGCAGTTATCAGGATGTTTTAAACCACCTGAACTTCACCCAAAACAAAGACCTGTTCTCAATGATCCGGCCTGTTAAAGACTACAAGACGCCCACGAACGTAACCCTGGACGTACAACTCTATGCCATTCTAGATGTGGTAAGTAGGTTGCTTATGATCTTAAACAACAATTATTAAATAAAAAATAAAGCAGGGTATGCTTTAGGGCGGGGCTACCTTGTGATTGACAGGTAATTCTCGGTGAGTCCATCCAGCTCAACGCACTAAACTCAACTGATCAAACTGTCAAACAAGGCAGTGCTGATCAAACATGAATCAGGATTCTGTTACTGCGTTGCCTATTTGGGCTCAAGATGCACTGAGATCCGATCACTCACACCACATTCGACCATTTAGCCCAAATGTCTGTAATCATGCAGATGAAGTTTAAGGACGTCTAAACATGGCCAGTTAATAAAATAACAAATACTAATTTTTTTATGTTTTTTAAATATATTTTGTGGTTTAGATTTGATGCATTGTAACTGAAGGGCTGTTCGCTGTTTGTTTCCTCATAATAATACCTGTTCAAAACTGTATCATATGAACTCGGAACTTAAAGTAACTTGTATTAACACCGAATTTGTGTTTTCTGACATTTTCCATGATTTTCACAAATATTTCTTTGCTCATAGAACGAGAAGGACCAGCAATTTGTGTCCTATATGTGGATTGTAATGGTGAGTTCTCTCTGGGGAAGAAAGCACATTTTGATTGAATGAATTCCCACCCTTTCACTCTGTTGGAAAACAAATTTTTTCTTTGTTTTCCTCTGTAGCTCTGGAAAAATGAGTTCATTTCTTGGAATCCAGATGAATTCTGCGGTATCGAGTATCTTTTTCTTCCTACTGAGCTATTGTGGAAGCCAGATCTCACTATTATAGAGATGTAAGTTTGAATGTATATGCAGGCTAGTAGAACATTATGTTACTGCCAAAAGCAACATTTATGATTACATTACTTATGATCATCATCAACCAAGTGCAACAACACAAGAAAAAGAGACAGGGGGCGACATGGAAAACAATCTGCGGTACAATATGCTTGCTAAAAACATAGTAGTATTTTAGTACCCCTCTGTATCAGAGAGGTCCAGTGAAATACTGTATCCACAGCTGTCTTCTTAAACTCTGTTATTTTTATTATTATTATTATTATTATTATTTATATTATTATTATTAGTGCATCCCACCACTAGGCCTATCATGATAACATTTATTGGATGATATATTGTCCGAGAAATAATTACATTAAACTATATTGTTATTTTAATACTATGCCACTGACACAATGATGATGGAAGTACACCCTTGCAAAGATCAATGGACATTTATTTTTTATGAGCATTCAGATACTGGGATTGGAATTTAATTTGGCACAGGCTATAGAGTGTATATATGTCTATAAAGTAAACGGTTGTCTATCAGATAGACAGTGGTCAAAGAGCTGAAGTGTATCTTTGTTTTTGAAGGTTGTTGGTAGAGAATTTGTTCTTTATTTGATAGTGATAGTGGAGATTCAGACAGGAAATGCAACATACGTCCATAGCCAGCCAGAGATATCGTGGTTATATGGTAACTGTCATAGTTCATTGCATACTATTTTATTTTACATTAAGTTATGTTGTATAGGTGAGTAGATTATACATGATGTCAAATTCAGTTTAAAGCATGTGTGTGTGTGTGTGTGTGTGTGTGTGTGTGTGTGTTCTCGTACAGGACAGAGAAGGATAAAGCCCCTCCAACTCCTTATCTCTGGGTTTCAAACGACGGTTTTATTGAAGTTACAAATGACCAGGTGATCATCAGCACCTGCAGGATGCACGTTTACAAATTTCCCTTCGACATTCAGAGCTGCAACATCTCTGTGAAGTCTGTCATACACTCTGGTGAGCCTGTAACCTGTTGACAAGAGTTTGAATGCATGTTGTGCTTTAATGACTTTTTGTCACCTGAACACATACATACCATACATTTGTTCTTTGTTAACCTACAAGCTAACCTCAGTTTCATTTTTTTTTTATCTCAGACAAGGAAATAGAGCTTTTTGTGTTTAACAATAAGTCCAAGATTGCAGACTTGAGGCAAGATTTCATCCAGTACGAGTGGCTGTTTGTCAACATGACAGTCTCCACAATAAAAGATGACAGCCCTGGCTACACCCAAAGCAGGATTGTTTACACTGTAAGTATTTCTGAATACATACACACACACACACACACACACACACACACACACACACACACACACACACACACACACACACACGTGGAAAGTAAATATTTCCTATTTCCATACCTCATCAAACCAATTGAAACCAACATGATACCGAATGACATCAGCACCTGCAAATGTGTCTACTGCTGCTGACTCTTCCTTTACCTGGTCCATGCTTGTAAAATCCACCATATCTCCGCCAGAGAGCGTCTGTGTCTGTGTTCCTCCGCAGAGGATGCACGATTGTCACTAGACTCTACAGGAGTGCCCCGTCAGGTCCGGAAGAATTAAATCCCTGGTACCTATGGTACTGTAGAAAAATTAATACCATCACATTTGCTGACCTGTGGCATCAAGTTGGTACCAAAGTACTGGTTCTCATGACATCCCTAGTTTCCACCCATCACTGGGTAAATGTAGTTTGTTTCTTCTACCCTTGCCTAGTGTTTTTTGCATCACCGTTGACGTGGGCAACCTGCGTGCAGCAGTATAACTGTAATAGCTGTAGTTGCTTCCGTTTAGCCTGTGTCAACTGTGAAGGTCAACTACCTCAACCCTTTAACATCATTTCACAGATCAACATGAAGAGGCGGTCAATCCTCTACATCATCAATTTCTTGCTGCCCATCCTGTTCTTCTTGTTTCTGGACTTGACCTCCTTCCTGATCTCAGACATCGGGGGCGAGAAGCTCAGCTTCAAGATCACCGTGCTGCTTGCTGTCACCGTGATGCAACTTATTCTGAATGACATTCTGCCTTCCTCTTCAGACCGAGTTCCACTTATAGGTAATGAGACACGATATCGGTATCAGGTATCAGAACAATTCTACTCTGGTCTTTACTGTGCTGTGCTTCATGAGCAGGAACGGCAAATATACTGACTTATTGTGTAGTTATTCGTCCACATTAATACTGCTGCCGTCTCCCTTCAGCACTCTACTGTACTGGCATCTTTGGTTTGATGATGCTGAGCCTCGTGGAGACGATCGTGGTGATGAATCTGAGGGGGAGAGACTCTGCCTCCCAAGACAACGAGGCAGATAAAGACCAAAGCCTGAGTGAGGACTGTGGAGACAAACGAGGCAAAGTCAGCTTCCAGAACTGTTTTAGAGGTGAGATTCACTACAACTTTTTTTATATTTTGTTTGTTTATATTTACAATCTCAAAAGATAAAATCAGACATCTGGTCAATTTGCAAAGCAGCATCAAAGTTACTGCAGATGATCACCTTTTTGAACATTAATATGCACATTAATAAATCAAATATCCACATTTTGTGTCTAATGTATCTTTTCAGACATCTGTGATGTGTCTCCTGGTGAAACGCCATCTGAACCACTGCCGATGGCCAAAGAGGTTAGTTACCTTTTTAAGATTTAATCCAAATGACAGTAACTGCTTTCTCCTGCAGAAATAGTCCTTATCAAATAGTGTTTTAGATTATCCAGATGATGGGGAAACTGTATTCTAAACTCCACTCACCCTTATTATACAGAACAAATTAAATTCTTAATTTTGATTGTAAGGTGTGGATCAACTTTTAGTAACCGGACACATATGACACAGATCTTTGTTTGCAATTCTATTTTGCAGGTATTAAACAGAAGGTAAAGACTGCCACAGTTGGGGCTAGAGTTCATAGAGCTAGAGTTATTTGTGTAACTAACAACCAATCTCCTCTGAGCACGGTCCTGGACAGTGCAGCTAACAGCAGCTACATTTTGCTAAACTTTGTAAATCACAGACAGTTACGGTGGAGAACATCAGAGGAAAACCATAAAACCAAAGAACTGATCACAGAACCTGACAGACATAAACACACAGTAAACATGTGAGCGATCTTACCTGCAAAATCATCCATTTCCCTCATGGAATAATTAACATTTTCCACCCATTACTTACAGGCACAAAAATAACAAATGTGACCGAAAAGTGTAGCAGCTGTATTTGCATACAACATTAACATCAAACCACTTTTTTAGGGTAGCAGCATCCAGCTGATGGAGGAGTCCCAAGACTCTGAAAAGCTGTTGAAAACACTGGTTGTGCTTCTCAGCTCCAGGAAGGAAGAAGAGAAACCCGGCTACTGGACCAGAAAGACCAAAACTATCAACAAAGTCTTCTTCATTTTCTATGTGATAGCTGCCACTCTGTTTTTAGTCTTTATGTTTTTCAGTTGGAATTCAGAAGACCAATATTAGTGCTGAATAATGAAACATAACATACGTTACTTCCCAGAGGTCGTATACACAAAGTCACACCATGCTGCAGGTCATGTGTTCATTTCTTGGTGACTTTCCTGAATCATTGGCAGAAAGTCAGTCAATTCAAGTGCAGTTCAAGGTGAAGTTGTGGTGATTAGAAAGTCACAAACCACACACCTTACAACAACAAGTATAGTCTGTATGTATAATAATACATACAGACTAATATAATTGCATGTTTTCCTACATAAATATATCTTATGTAATAAGGGCAAACCTTATAATCCACCTTAAGACATATTAAAATATTTAAAATATTAAGCACGCAATTAAGTACAAGACGATAGAATATTCTGACGATATAAAATGTTTTCTATATAATATGTCTTTAAATGTAGCTATATGCTTTCATTATCAATTAATAGCCTGATATCTGCTCTGAAGAGATGTTTCAGACTCTTTGTAATGCGGAAATAAACAATAAAAACAAAACCTGTTGTCTGTTTTTATGTGTGAATCAAAACAGTGAGCTGAAAGACACTAAAATTGCTTCAGAGTTGAGGTGAGCTGCAGAGTCGGGTGATAATTACTGGGTTCATAACTGAGAGCAATTTCACATAAGTAGTTACAAGATCAATTGTTAATTTTACCATATTGACTTGAGCCACTTTAAATAATCCTCAGTGGAGAATGTGGAGCTGATCCAAAAAGCTCTGATCACTTTGTGGTTTCAGAGTGACGGATGATCAATTTATGTCAAAAAGATCTCAGGAACATATTTTCTACACCTTTCATCTCACAGCGGGATGTTGAGACTTCACTAAGAAGACAAGGACATGATCATCTCACCACAATATCTGTCTGTTTACTGTCCCAGAACTCAGGAATCTGTAACTGTGTTAGAGTGATGCTCCAACAGGGATAAAACCATACTGCTTCTTCCAGTCGGGGCTCTTTCGGACTTTCATATACGACAGCGTGTGACGGTTTCGTGAGACCATTCATGGATGACTTGAATAAAACCTTACAGAAAGACAAGATCATACTTTGTATGCTTTATTAAACAAATTGCCACCACATTTTGGCGTTGTCGGCAAGATCACTCATGTGACAGGACTTCAGACACTCAGGGCTGAAGGTAAAGACCATGCACGGCTAGAGTCTGGGACTGTGACTTCAACCTCCCCGCCAAACAAGGGTAGAGAAGTGAGGGCCTGACGCCTGAGAACCGAGACTCGCTCACCGCTGTGATCCAAAGAACCAGGTGGCCTAGACGACTCTGTCTTTCTGGTAAGTGCATTCAGGGGGGCCAGAGGAATTGATTCTCGCCACCTGGAATGTGAGCTGTGACAGACGAGTCAGCAGGGCAGGGAAAGACCACGGCAGTGTCGCCAGAGCTCCAGGTTAAAGCGCTATAGCCAAGAGACTTGAGTCCGGGACTCATCTGGTAATGCATGCAGGTGTGAATGGGAGAAATGAAAGAATTGTACGTGTTAAAGAGCTGTAGCCAAGAAACTTGAGTCCGGTAGATGCATGTGTGTGAAAGAATTTTCACACACATGAGCTCTACAATGGTTTACATTAGGTTTACCACAGAGCAACCATGATTTATCTCTTTGATATGCTTTGTTTTTTTTTGGCTTTTGCTATTTTTTTTGCCAGTTTATAATAATGACAGCGTTCGAGTTCATTCGCAGTGGTTTAAAGGAAGGGTAGTTCCTTCACTCTTAAAAGAGTTTATTAATATACATATAGCTTACATACACCCAGGGAATAATTACTTTTGAACGTGAACGGCAGCATTATGGATAATATGGTTTCATCTTCACATTAATAGTCATGAAATTTGAGAAACCATAGCAACGTCATACTTCCTATTTACATCTCCCAAACCTTAGATTAAGGATAAAATGGTAATGGTAATCAATTAGCTAAAATGTCCATTGTATTACATGCCTGCATCATGTTTCCTGTTAATTGCTTCTGTGTGTGTTGATGATGGAATTAAACCAGGGACTTCATGTTACAGTCACATTGTATGGTACAGTATGTGCCACCAGGCCCTTTTATTTTCCACCAAATTATAATTTACTTTCCCAAATAAATAAATAAATAAATAAATAAATAAATAAATCTTCCACTTCTACAGTGCTCCCTTGCAACTGCAGATGTACAGCCTGGTTAGGAAGATAAAAAAACAAAAACAAACCAATGGGTGGGTCATTCAGTTTGTCCAGCCCTCTTCCAGTGGGAGGATAAAGTGCTGTGATGTTTCTAGAAAGCACAGAGGTGACATTGATGCACAGACCTCTCACAGGCTTTGGATTCTCTCTGGTCCTCCATTCATGATGTTTGTTGGCTTCCTCTTCCTGCTCCTCCTCGTAGGTAAGGTTTCTCTCGTCCTCACAGCGTCTCATTGCTCTGGATAATGCTAATAGTAATTTCTACCAAGGGTATGAATACTGTCAAAGTCTGTGTCACAAAATAAATTCTATCCACATCCACAGAGAAATCTCAAAACCTGAACAAATAAACCATCTGCTACTAGAGGTGGAGGGAGACTTGAGAATAGAATAGTTAATTGGGTACACATAGCTAAAACAGTCCTGCAATAGATCCAACCTTCAGGAAGGTTGAAGTTGTTTTAGAGAGGTGTTGATAAAGACTTTATGATCATGTTGGATGATGTAGTTTGTGGTGATGTTACAATATGGGAGATGTTTCTAATATCTATCCTACTAACTGATATAAACATGGAAAAAATATTAGAAACACTTCACAGTATAATGCAACAGCACAAAAGGTAGTCCTTCAGGTACCAATCACTGCAGGGATGTATTAGATGGTGCTTCTTTAAGCTAGGTGTACCCAAACAAAATATATATATATATATATATATATACAGGGACTCAGTATTCATACAGTCCTCAATAGGGCTGTGTATTAGCAAGAATCTGGTGATACGATATATATCACACTGCAGCGGTTACAATTTTTTTAGTTTTTGGAGGTTAGTGGCCCAATAGTACAACTGCATATTGGGAAGTACAAGGCCCCCATCTTGTCTGGGCCTCTGGAAAATTGATATTTGAATCCTGGGGGGCTTGCCTGCCATGATGTAAGAAAGTATACTGGTATTAAGTGATTTAAAAAAAGATTTGGGGAGTAAGATAGGAAAAGTCTGAAAAAGAAATAGGATTTGAGGTAATACATTAATTTTAATTGTTTAGATTCAACCCAAAAGTGAAAGAGGTAACTTCATCCAATTCAATCCGTGCAATTTAATCTTCTCAGTCAATTCCACAAAGTTATTCTTGTGAAGTGAACTAAAGGAGTGAGAGATGTTTACACCTAAATATTTAAAGCCACTGGGAGATAAGTGAAAAGGTAGTGCATCAGGAGGGATGGATTTGGCTGACTGGTTTACAGGAAAACATACAGTCTTTGCAATATTCAGATTTGTAACCTGAAAGTACTCAGAAGGTCTCTAACAAATTTACTATTCCGTCAACACAATTTACTGGGTCTTGTACGTATAATAATAAATCATCAGCATATAATGCTACCCTGTGTTCAAATCCCCTGTTTATGCCTGAGAATAGCTATAGACAGAGGCTATTCCCCCTGGAATTACAGAGGCATTTGTTATTTATGATACACAAGACAGATAAGACTGAGCATAAAACCAGTAATTTGGGACCCAGAGGGAAAGAGAAAAGGGGAACGAAAGAGAAAGAAACACAAAAACAAACCAACAGACAAACAACGAGAAAAAGAAAAAAAACCCACCGCAGGACAAATCACACAGTCCCCCCTAAAGTGCCCACCCTGTATATGCCCCTGATTCCCACATAGCTTACATCAGTTGAAGAATACAGTAATGGATGTTTGATGCTCGCTCGTTTAAAAACAACTAGCTGCCAGAACCAGTGTACACAAAGTCCTGATTTTGATTTTAATAATTTCAATAACCCCCTTGCCCCCTTTTTAAAAAATGGTTTGATCCACGATTCGTTCTTCCTCATGGGAAGAGGGGGCGCAGGGGCTGGAGTATACGTTAGCTGTCATCGGGCAACACTCTGGACAAGTCGCCAGTTCATTGTAGAGCAACGATTCCTAGTGTAGCTAACTGAACGTTACTAATTTGGAGGCTATCTACAACAGACTGTGTGTTTCACACATATTATCACTGTCGGACAGTACTCCAGTAAGCACCCACTCACTTAAGAGGCTGCATTGAATTGTATTATGACGCATACAAGTTCTACTCAGTAATTATGAGTATTAGGCGAAGGTCAATTAAGTTATCATGATGTGTTCAAATGTGGTCTTGTAAAATGTTGTTATTGGTGGGACATTTGAATAACCTAAATACAAAAATAGTTAAATGTTCAAAGATTTTTTGGTGTTTTTTTCACAGCAATGTAAAATAAAAGACACCATAATAGCCGAGAATAACAAAGTGAAAGGACAATTTAGAATTTTGGACAGTTTACACTGACTTTGGGATGGTTTAAAATATTTTTTTGCCTGACAAGGGTCACATTACTAAAAAGAGCTTGCCCTCCACATACAATGGCAAAGTGAAGCTGTCTGCCTAGAGCTATGGTACTGAGAAGCCCATTTAGAAGACTAGGTAAGTTCTTTTTTGTTTACAAAAAGCAATATATAATGTGAGTTTGACCCAACAGCAGACCCTGAGCCCCAGCAGTTCAATGATGCCTATGATGGTGAGTGAGTGATGTAGACACTGGTTGGCTGATTAGGTTTATTAGTGAACTGCTGTACCACTGGCAATTACTAAGACATTAATTAACCCCATGGCTATTTAATTATAACTCAATTTAAGTCACTGTTGCTGTTGACAGAGCCAGCTACTTCAATTAACAACTAATTACTAATTAATATTTTAATACATAATTTAATTGATTTTGATTCTGTGGCCGTTGTAAGAAGAGTTGTTGTAGAACAGCCTGTTTCTCCATTTAGTGATGAAACGTGACAACAACAGGTCGTGGAGGTTCATCCGGGCGAGCTTTCGTCTGCAGGCTGCGGTGGGCGCGGTCCAACTCAGGTGGCCCAGAGAGTAGGTTCCCCAGCAGGTCGGCAAACAACTTGGCCATAAAGACCCTGGCATCTTTTCCCTCCAAATTCTCCGGGAGTCCCAGCACTCGGACATTTTGGCTCTTTGAATGGGACCCGCACACGTCAAACTCCAATTGCGTAATCCTGTCGCTGTGGTCGGACAGGCTATTTTCCATCTCCCGGATAGTAGACATTTGTTTCGCCAAGCTCATCTGAAACTAATCGACAGATGACCGGATAGGCTCCAAGGAGCTTTTTAAGTTACTTAAAAGCGCCCGTCTGCTATGTTGCTACCAACTGACCTTTCTTTGTTTTTTCTTGCTTTGTTCATTCTGACTCCCGAATTTCGTTGTAAGGCAAAGTAACTTTCTGGATAAAGCACTGTTCAAAAGCGTGCGGTTTGAAGAAAATTTTAAAAACTACTTATGCTGCTAGCTTAGGTATTCAAACCTTACACAGTAGTACTTGGTAGAGCCACCTTGTGCTAAAGTATCTATCAGCTTTGTATATTGTTTGGGAGGGATTTCCTCCTGGCAGATTTGCTCCAGGTTGTTCAGTCTCTGAAAAGCATCAACCACACCATGATGTTGCAACCACCACACTTCACTTTGGGGAGGATGTTTGTGAGGTTTACGATGATTCTGACAAAACTTCTGTTAACAGCTTTCTAAAAGGCTCCATGCACACTTTTAAGCGCTGCTGGCCATTATGTTTTATCAACAAGCATTTGGTTGTACCTGGGAGATGGATCTTAAATGGAGAGTCTATTAATATGCCGTCTAGCTACCATTGTTGTATGGCCTGGCTCAGGTTAAACCCTTTGTCAAAGTCAGAGTAGGGCTATCTTGGCGAATATGAATTCAGAAGCACTGGACACAAACAATGTTTTCTTTTTAATGATATGCTGAGAGAACATAATTCAAACACAGGTGATCTCAAGTTCTAATTTAAAGGCACAATTCAGAGCCTCGTAATCAACATCACATTTCCTGATTTATTTTCTTTTAAGATTAAACTCTCTCTCTCATAGATAATGTGTCTTGATGTTTTGGCTGTAGATGGGGAGTCCTCTGAGCAAATCTGCAGTTATCAGGATGTTTTAGACCACCTGAACTTCACCCAAAACAAAGACCTGTTCTCAATGATCCGGCCTGTTAAAAACTACAGGAAGCCCACAAACGTAACCCTGGATGTACAACTCTATGCCATTCTAGATGTGGTAAGTAGGTTGCTTGTGATCGTAAATTACAATTATTATTTCTTCTGTCAAGGAGTTCATGTCGGGTCCATTTCACTGTTTGTAACAGTATCAACAGTTTCACATAGTATCTGGGGTAAAGTAAAAGCAAAGGTATGGCAATGTAACATGATGTCGAGGACCTACTATAAATATATAGATACCTCTCTTTCACAATCACAGAGCCTAATGTTTGCATGTAATATATGTCTTAGAGACTTTCATCATATCTATTCTGGCCATGCACAGAGAGCAGAGCTCTAACTATCATCAGTCGTTTGTTTAACCTTCACAGAAAATAAAGAAATGCACTGAATTACATCTCTAGCAGTATTAATTTGACTCTAGTAGGGGTGTTCAAAACGCAGCAAAAGAAACGGCCAATTTTTTTCCCAAGATTTGCAAATTTATTGTTGTTTCTAAGTTATAAGACCCAACCATGCAAGATCATTTCAGTCATTACTGAAATAAAACACCTACAATCACAGACACAGTTAAGATTTGATGCATGTTAACGGATGTTTGCTGTTTGTTTCCTCATAATAATGTCTGCCTGAGTCATATGACTTAGGGTTGTTGTCAGGGACCAGTCAAGCAATGAGGAAAACAGGTGTTTGTTGAAAAATAGAGTTTTTTTTTTTTTATTTACCCAAAAATACCAAACAATTCAAACCAAGAATTTAACATCTAGGCCTATAAAAGAGGTCAACAAAATATAACTATACCAAAAACAGCATACAACAAACAGAATATAAACTGAACAAACTAACCTCCCTGAATGAGACACACAAGGGAACATATATAGTGGCTTGATCAAACCAATTTACACAGAAGGGGAAAACAAAATTGACACCAACTACAACTACTACAAGTAAAACAAACTAAACCCAAAATCCCCCTCCAACATGGCAGCACATGGTACAGCTTGATTGGCAGGCCACGGGATATAACCATCCTCCACACTTGGCCATGCCTTTCTTCCACCAGGACAGACCTCTTCCACATGGTAACACAAGAAACAAAGATCAATATAACAGAAAATATTCACTTAACCCTGCAACGTGAAAATGTTTGCACTCCATTTAAACAGTGTATGGCCAAAAGCAAATAAATGTATACTATAACTCAAATAAACTATGTAATTTGAAATTATGAATTGTTTGAGGTGTGGCTAACTGCAAAAAGAACCTAACCTGTGTACTTAACAAAACATGGTAGCCTTGTGTACTGTATTACCATTGCTGGCTGTTATCCTGTGTGACTTGGGCCATCAAATTTGTATTAACACTGAACTTTTGTTTTCTGACAATTTCCATGATTTTCACAAATATTTCTTTGCTCATAGAACGAGAAGAACCAGCAATTTGTGTCCTATATATGGATTGTAATGGTGAGTTCTCTCTGGGAAAGAAAGCACATTTTGATTGAATTCCCACCCTTTCACTCTGTTGGAAAACTGTTTCTCTGTTTTCCTCTGTAGTTCTGGGAAAATGAGTTCATGTCTTGGAATCCAAAGGAATTCTGCGGTATCTACTGTCTTATTCTTCCTTCTGAGCTACTGTGGAAGCCAGATCTCACTATTATAGAGATGTAAGTTTGAATGTATATGCAGGCTGGTAGAGCAGTCATTCCCAAACTGTGGTCCGTGGAAAAGCAAAATAAAATATAAAATAATTTTTTAACCTTCATTTTAATAAATGTGATACTAGCTTTCCACTTGAACTAAGCCCACTAGGCTTATATATACTATATATGTATATATACTATTTTTATATACTTTGAACTTATTCTCTCTCTCTCTCTCTCTCTCTCTCTCTCTCTCTCTCTCTCTCTCTCTCTCTCTCTCTCTCTCTCTCTCTCTCTCTCTCTCTCTCCCTCCCCCTCTCGCTCTCAGGCAGAAAGACAGAGAATGTTCTTATTACTGTAACTTTATAGATTTAACAATACTACATTGTTAAGGAAATAAGTTGTTAAAATGAACCTGATTATGCCATCGGGCGCTTGAGTAAATAAATAAATTAAATGTTTTCTTTACAAACCAAGACGGCGGATTCCTAAAATGCAAGCACCCACCAGCCCAGCACCAAACTCGGTAAACAAAATCCGATTTTTCAGGCTGTAAAAGCTCCCATTAAGAACCAACCCGGATTTTGTTCAAATCTACACACAAAAGGCTACTGAAAAATTTAAGGTTCATTCATCAAATGTTTTGAAGTATTAAACATTTTTGTTTTCGAATTTTCGAACGAAAGGGGCAAATATTGGTGTTTTTTTTACGACACTGATGCGATGACCAGTTATAGTTTTAGTGCTAGTAGGCCTATTAATAGGTGCAGATTAATTCAGGTAGGACTGTGTGTAGACATTTTATTATGTGTATTATGAGGTGGTCTGCGAAAATTTGATTACAAATAGTGGTCCACACACAAAGTTAAAAACCCCTGTGGTAGAGCATTGTTACTGCCAAAAGCAGCGTTTTATGATTACATTACTTATGATCATCATCAACCAAGTGCAAAAACACAAGAAAGAGACAGGGGGCAACATGGAAAACAATCTGCGGTACAATATGCTTGCTAAAAACCTAGTAGTATTTTAGTACCCCTATGTATCAGAGAGGTCCAGTGAAATACTGTATCCACAGCTGTCTTCTTAAACTCTGTTATTATTATTATTATTATTATTGCTTCCCACCACTAGGCCTATCATGATAACAACATTTATTGGATATATCTTGGCCCAGAAATAATTACATTAAATTATATTGTTATTTTAACACTATGCCACTGACGTAATGATGATGGTACATCTTTGCAAAGATCAATGGACATTTAAGCATATAGATATTGGGATTGGAATTTCATTTGGCACAGGCTATAGAGTGTAGCCTGTATATGTCTATAAAGTAAACTGTTTATCATAGACTGGTGAATGGGCTTTGGCCTTTATTTGAACGTGATAGTGGAGATTCAGACAGGAAATGCAACATACGTCCATAGCCAGCCAGAGATATCGTGGTTATATGGTAACTGTCATAGTTCATTGCATACTTTTTAGTATGTGTGTGTGTGTGTGTGTGTGTAGGACAGAGAAGGATAAAGCCCCTCCGACTCCTTATCTCCATATTACAGCCAATGGTTTTGTCGAATCTATAAACAACCAGGTGATCATCAGCACCTGCAGGATGCAGGTTTACAAATTCCCCTTCGACATTCAGAGCTGCAACATCTCTGTGAAGTCTGTCATACACTCTGGTGAGCCTGTAACCTGTTGACAAGAGTTTGAATGCATGTTGTGCTTTAATGACTTTTTGTCACCTGAACACACACACACCATACATTTGTTCTTTGTTAACCTGCAAGCTAACCTCAGTTTCATTTTTTACCTCAGACTGGGAAATGGATCTTTTGGTGTTTAACAATAAGTCCAAGATTGCAGACTTGAGGCATGATTTCATCCAGTACGAGTGGCTGTTTGTCAACATGACAGTCTCCAAAATGAAAGACGACAGCACTGTCTGCGGCCAAAGCAGGATTGTTTACACTGTAAGTATTTCTGAATACACACACACACACACACACACACACACACACACACACACACACACACAGAAACGTGGTACCGGATGACATCGGCATCTGCCAATGTGTTTACTGCTGTTGACTCTTCCTTTACCTGGTCCATGCTTACCTTGGTCTTGGTCCCCGTAGAGGATGCACGATTGTCACAGACTCTACACGGGTCCGGAAGAATTTAATCCCTGTGTAGAAAAATTAGTACCATCATATTTGCCGACCTGTGGCATCAAGTTGGTACCAAAATACCGGTTCTCATGACATCCCTAGTTTCCACCCATCACTAGGTAAATGTAGTTTGTTTCTTCTACCCTTGCCTAGTGTTTTTTGCATCACCGTTGACGTGGGCAACCTGCGTGCAGCAGTATAACTGTAATAGCTGTAGTTGCTGTTTAGCCTGTGTCAACTGTGAAGGTCAACTACCTCAACCCTTTAACATCATTTCACAGATCAACATGAAGAGGCGGTCAATCCTCTACATCATCAATTTCTTGCTGCCCGTCTTTTTCTTCTTGTGTCTGGACATTGCCTCCTTCCTGATCTCAGACATCGGGGGCGAGAAGCTCAGCTTCAAGGTCACCGTGCTGCTTGCCGTCACCGTGATGCAACTTATTCTGAATGAAATTCTGCCTTCCTCTTCAGACCGAGCTCCACTTATAGGTAATGACACACGATACTAGATTTAAAGCAGCATTCAATGCTGGTAAGGTATCAAAACAATTCCACTCTGGTCTTTTCTGTGCTGTGCTTCATGAGCAGGAACGGCAAATATACTGACTCAACGTGTAGTAATTCGTCCACATTAATATTGCTGCCGTCTCCCTTCAGCACTCTACTGTATTGGCATCTTTGGTTTGATGATGCTGAGCCTCGTGGAGACGATCGTGGTGATGAGTCTAAGGGCTAGAGACTCCCAAGACAACGAGGCAGATAAAGAGCAAAGCCTGAGTGAGGACTGTGGAGACAAACGAGGCAAAGTCAGCTTCAAGAACTGTTTTAGAGGTGAGATTCACTACAACTTTTTATATATTTTGTTTTTTAGCTTTACAATCTCAAAGGATGAAATCAGTCAATTTGAAGCATTGAAGTTACTGCAGATGATCACCTTTTTGAATAATAATAAATCAAATATCCACACTTTGTGTCTAATGTATCTTTTCAGACGTCTCTGATGTGTCTCCTGGTGTAACGCCATCTGAACTGCTGCCGATGGCCAAAGAGGTTAGTTACCTTAAGATTTAACCGAAATAACTGCTTCCTCCTGCAGAAATAGTTTAAAAAAGTGTTGACATTGTGTTCTGTAGAGTATCCAGATGATGGGGAAACTGTATTCTAAACTCCACTCACCCTTATTATACCGCACAAATTGAATTCTTAATTTTGATTGTAAGGTGTGGATCAACTTTTAGTAACTGGACACATATGACACAGATCTTTCTTTGCAATTCTTCAGGTATTCAACTGAAAGTAAAGATTGCCACAGTTGGAGCTGGAGTTCATAGAGCTAGAGTTACAACCAATCTCCTCTGAGCATGGTCCTGGACAGTGCAGCTAAGCTAACCAGCTAACATCAGCTACATTTCACAGCATTTATTTTGCTAAACTTTGTAAATCTTAGACAGTTGAGGTGGAGCACATCAGAGGAAAACCATAAAACCAAAGAACTGATCAGAGTCTGAGACATAAACACACAGTAAACATGTGGGCAATCTTATCCTAAAACTCATTTCCTCCAAATCATCCATTTCCCTCATGGAATAATTAACATTTTCCACCCATTACTTTGCAATTTGTGCATTTTAAGGCACAAAAATAACAAATGTGACCGAAAAGTGTAGCAGCTGTATTTGCATACAACATTAACATCAAACCACTTTTTTAGGGTAGCAGCATCCAGCTGATGGAGGAGTCCCAAGACTTTGAAAAGCTGTTGAAAACACTGGTTGTGCTTCTCAGGAAGGAAGAAAAGAAACCCGGCTACTGGACCAGAAAGACCAAAACTATCAACAAAGTCTTCTTCATTTTCTATGTGATAGCTGCCACTCTGTTTCTAGTCTTTATGTTTGTCAGTTGGAATTCAGAAGACTAATATTAGTGCTGAATAATGAAACATAACATACGTTACTTCCCAGAGGTCGTATACACAAAGTCACACCATGCTGCAGGTCATGTGTTCATTTCTTGGTGACTTTCCTGAATCATCGGCAGAAAGTCAGTCAATGCTGCAGTTCAAGGTGAAGTTGTGGTGATTAGAAAGTCACAAACCACACACCTTACACTTGCTCCCCCCTATCCTCGATACATAATCTGTACAATCAGTTTTGCATCTTTTTCTGCTGAGTCAGTAAAGCTGACGAGTAATGGTGTACTTGGTATTTAAGGTTGTATTTAATCCTTCAGTGGTTCAACTACACACATCTGACATCTGCATGTTTCACACAGTGGTTCACATCAAACACGTTGTAATATTCTAGAAGACTAATGTGCCATGAAGTGATCGACATATGTCTTTTGCTATACAACAAGTATAGTCTGTATGTATAATAATACATGCAGACTGATATAATTGCATGTTTTCCTACATAAATATATATTATGTAATAAAGGCAAACCTTATAATCCACCTTAAGACATATTAAAATATTTAAAATATTAAGCACGCAATTCAGTACAAGACGATAGAATATTCTGACGATATAAAATGTTTTCTATATAATTTTATAATCTTTAAATGTAGCTATATGCTTTCATAATCAATTAATAGCCTGATATCTGCTCTGAAGAGATGTTTCAGACTCTTTGTAATGCGGAAATAAACAAATAAAACAAAACCTGTTGTCTGTTTTTATGTGTGAATCAAAACAGTGAAGTTGAGCTGCAGAGTCAGGTGATAATTAGTGGGTTCATAACTGAGAGCAGCGACTTGCACATAAGTAGTTACAAGATCAATTGTTAATTTTACCATATTGACTGGAGCCACTTTAAATAATCCTAAGAACGTGGAGCTGATCCAAAAAGCTCTGATCACTTTGTGGTTTCAGAGTAACGGAGGATTGAATGCCGCTCACTCTCATATCTTCTGATATCTTTCAATGTGATGTTTCTGTTTTTCTCCTAACGTCATATCCATTGACAGTATAAAAAGTACTGTATAGTATATTATATTATATATATATATATATATATAGTCATATTGTATAATCAAAACTGATGATTTCTATAATAAAGAGATGGAATAAAGGCATGTTAAAGTTGCTACAAGATTAGTTTGTGGCAAGAAATCTCTTAAATACTTGCATTATGTATTAATTAAACCCCCTTTAAGTTGATTTAATTCTGCCTATATTTTAGTATTTAGTATCTTTTTCTCTCTTCTGTTAAAGTATGCTGCTTGGACTAATTTTTAGTTACACTCAACAACCTGTTTGATGCTGCCTGTTTGCTATTTGTAGAAGTTTATTGAAGTTTTTAATTCGTTTTTTATTGTTTAGCAGAATACGTGGGTGGTTAGTTACCTATTTCTGAATATCACACTTTTAAATTTGGTGTTTTTATGCAAAACAAAAACGGTAATTTTTGTAAAATCTAATAATAATAATATCTTAATTATAGGTATATTCTAAATTTACAAGTGTAGATTTAAAGGTGCTACAAGCTTAGTTTGTGGCCTTGGAAAACCTCTGAATTACATGTGTTATGCATTAGTTAAACCCCCTTTAAGTTGATTTAATTCTGCCTATATTTTAGTATTTAATATATATTGTTTCCTGTATGCTGCTTGGATTATTTTTTATTTATGCCTAACAACCACTGATGCTGCCTGTTTTTGTGCAAAACAAAGACATTACATTTTTGTGTATAAAAATATCTTTATTACAGGTAAATTCTATATTTACAAGTGTAGATTTTAAGTTGCTACAAGCTTAGTTTGTGGCATGAAACCTCTGAATTACATGTGTTATGCATTAATTAAACTCCTTTTAAGTTCAAGTATTTAAATATATTTTTTCTGTGTGCTGCTTGGATGAATTTCCAGTTATGCCTAACAACCACTGATGCTGCCTGTTTGTCATGTGCAGCAGTTTAATAAAGTTTATTTAAGTTGTTTTTAGGTGCACCGCGTCCTCCGGGCCTGCAGGGGGCGCTGCTCGCTTCACCGCCACCGCGCTGTCGTTCAATCAGTGACGTGGATTTTCATTCAGGCAGTCAGTGCTGCCAAAAAAATACAGACTCCAGCGTCTCGCAGCTTTTCCACCAACTTCTCCTCCTATTTAGAAGTTGGACCACTCATTTCTTTCTTCCTCTGTGGAGCCACAGCTCTGATAACAGGTGAGCGGATCACGTGGAAGGTCTCCAGGGGGTTTCCTGGTCTCTGCTAGTCAGAAAGTATCAGCACACATTGGTTTAAAAATGGGTTTAAAATCTCTTTGTATGTGTTTTATGTGTCTCGTGTTTTTCTCTCAGTCTCCAGAATGAGTAAAAACAGCAAAGTGTTGAACCTGAAGGATAAAATCAGTGGGAATGAAGTGGACCTGAGCCTGTGTAACCTCACCGAGGTACCAGTCAGAGAGCTGGTGAGTGTGTGTGTGTGTGTGTGTGTGTGTGTGTGTGTGTGTGTGTGTGTGTGTGTGTGTGTGTGTGTGTGTGTGTGTGTGTGTGTTAACCCTGACTCATGTTATACTTTATCCCAAAAGGCTTTATTCACCAAAGCAACAGTCGTGGATTTGTCCTGCAACAACATTACCTCCCTTCCTGTAAGTAGAACACTTTACATCGATGGTTTGTGCTGTGAGTGATTTTACTTTCTCTGGTTGTTTGATTTTAAGGATTTTTTTTAGAGGTCTGAACGCGTCCAGATGACTGTAAGGAAAGAAATGTGATATTGAATCTTTCTTCTTTATCTTAATTATTTCATAGCGTCTCGAACTTATCTCGGGACCCTGTGGACCCTAATGTTGGGAACCACTGCCTTAAAATGTGATTAATATTTTAATGAAAAACAATGTTTTACTTTAAAAATGTACAAATTAAAGGGTAAATTAATGTGGGTAAATAAAATATATTGTACTGCTTATTGGGATTTATAGGGATTTTGATATAGAAGCTATTTTAAGTGTTTGTCTTCCTGTTGTGTTTTCCTTTTTCATTTATAAATCACTAAATTAACCTAATCAAAGTAAGAATTAATGGGAATCTAATCCATCCTTGAGACCTCTCCTCCTCTGTTTCACTTCTTATATGGTTCTTTAGTTGAGGGTTTTCTTTATCCGAGTCAAGAGTCGGAGGTTTGAGGTTGTTGTATGTTTATTCTGTATTTAAATCGGTCTTAACTCAGATTTTCCAATCTTAATATTAAGACTTTAAGTTTTCTTTCTTGGCTCGGTTTCTTTCCTGTAGCCAGAGTTCTGCAACCTGACCCACCTGGTGAAGGTGGATCTGAGTAAAAACCAGCTGACCTGTCTACCAGATGACATCGGGAACCTAGCCAGCCTTCAACATCTGGACCTGTACAACAACAAGCTGACCGTCCTGCCTGCCAGCTTCTCTCAGCTCAGGGTGGGTGCCAGACACGAGCACTGCTTCACTCATGTTGTTTATACTTTATGATATATTTGGACTAGTGCTAAACTACTCTGCACTTGTTTCATTGTGGTTAAACATCCCTTCTTCCTTTGTTTTGATCTGACAGTTAATTATTTTACTCAGTCTGCGTGTGTCTTTGTTCTCAGAGTCTGAAGTGGTTGGATCTGAAGGATAACCCTCTGGAGGTCGACCTGGCCAAGGCAGCAGGGGACTGTCTGGATGAGAAACAGTGCAAACAGTGTGCCTCCAAGGTGAGAGAGCGATAGAGAGAGAGGGAAAGAGATGAGGAGCAGAATGACAGAGAAGAGATCAATTAAACAGTTTACAGTGTATTAAACTAAAGGTCATTTTATTCCAGGTTCTGCAGCACATGAGAGCCATTCAGGACGAGGTCGATCGTGCACGAGAGAAACGCCTTTTGAGAGAAAAAGGTGGGTATCATAATTAAAATAATTAGAATAACTTTCATGAGATCTCTGTTCATGGAGTTGATCATCTGCATTTTGATCGGCTGTCAAACCTAAAATACTTTTTGGTTACAGTACTGACCAAAATGTGTCTGTGGCACTGAATATATAGAAGGCTGAGAAATAGTGAAAACTGCTATTCAATTTTTTTACTCTCTCAGACAGTTTCGTATTTAAATCAGTATTTGACAGTGAAACTCCAGAATTACATCATATTGTAATTTTTAGGATTATGATTATTATAGTAGTAGTATTGGTAGTATTGATCAAACTGTAACACTGTGCCATTGACTAATGCTGGAAGAAGGACTCAGATCCTCTTCTTAATTAAAAGTCAGAATCCTACTCAGCTTAGTACAAAAGTATAATCAGCAAAAAGTACTTAAAGTATCAAAAGTTGGATGTTTTTTTAATGTAAAATCTGTGAAATAAATTGTCATAGTTTGCTCTTAAATTTATTGGAGTAGAAGTGTAAAGGTGTAAAGCGGCATGAAAATTAAAATACTCAAGTAAAATACCTCAAAATTGGTCTTAAGTACAGTACTTGAGTAAATGTATTTAGTGACACATACACATTAGTGCACCTGGAAGTAGCCGTAACCCTGCAGTCAGGGCGCGAGGAAGGTTTAATTCGTCCCAAATGTGAAGTCGGAGAAGTAAAACACAATCCCATCATCTACCACACAGTTTATCTCTGCAGCGAGCCCCATCACAGACACAGGCTGAAATCTGATTACGGTTCGTTTATATTGGCATTGATTCAACTAAAAATGGAAGATTAGAGAATTAATCTCGCACAATGGGCCAACGTCAGACACCATAAACCGTGATATAAGTAACAATCAGTGTGTAATCACAAACATCAGACAACCAGACTAAATAATAACAAGAGCACAAAGTGTGTAAGCATGTTTTGTGTCACAGAAAATAGTAATAATTGTACTTTTCTAGTCTCATATCAGTTTTACCTGCTGAGGATTAAAGTCATTATATATATATATATATATATATATATATATATATATATATATATATATATATATATATATATGCAATGAGCCCATATGCATCTGGATGGTGGGGGAGGCACTGTGAGGATCACATTCTTTGATTTCTCCTGTGCTTTCAACACCATTCAGCCTCTGCTAATGGATGAGAAGCTGCGGGTGGTGGGTGTGGACGACACTATGATCTCCTGGATTACTGACTACTTGACAGGCCGGCCGCAGTTTGTCCGTCTGGACAGTGTCCTGTCTGACGTGGTGGTCAGTGATACAGGAGCTCCACAGGGAACTGTGCTTTCTCCCTTCCTCTTCACCTTACACACTACTGACTTTCAGTACAACTCTGAGTCATGTCACCTGCAGAAGTTTTCTGACGACTCAGCTGTTGTCGGGTGTATAAGGGAGGGAGATGAGGGTGAGTACAGGACACTGGTAGACAACTTTGTAGAGTGGTCCGAACAGAATCACCTGAGGCTGAATGTCAACAAGACCAGAGAGTCTCTCTCTCTCTCTCTCTCATATATATATATATATATATATATATATATATATATATATATATATATATATATATATATATATATATATATATATATATATATATATATCTATCTTATATTAATGTCCCGTTATGAAACAAATGTGACGCTGTTTTTTTCTGGCTGCGTCTCTTCTAAACACGTTTTTCTCTCCCCGTGCCTCAATCAGAGCTGGAGAAGAAGAAGGAGGCGAAGCAGAGGGAGCGGGAGGCCCGAGAGAAGGAGGCTCGCAAACGGGAGAAGGCGGAGGAGAAGGAGAAGAGGAGGAAAGAGTACAACGCTCAGATGGCGGCCGTGGCTGCGCGGGAACAACAGAAGAAGAAGAGCGAGGAGAAGAAGAAGAAGAACGGACAGGCAGCAGGTGGGACTCTTAAAGGGACAGTTCATGTGGTGTTTTTTTTTTTTTACACTTCCACTGACGTTACAATACATTGTTGTTTGAGCTTTTCACACAAAAATACTGACTTTAAGATTTTAACAGACTTTTTAAAATCAAATTGATTTATGTGATTCAGAAAGTATCGGCTCTTTAAACCGTCTGTCCACTAATTTATTATATTTGCCCTAAAGGTGCAATTAGTCTGTAATTCTTAAGATATAATGTTCCTTTATTGATCCCCCGTAGGAGAAATGTATGTCAGACACAGCAGCACAGGGGAATGTAGTGTAAAAATACTACAATAAAGAATCACAAAATAAAAATATTATAAGATATAATAGAAAATATAAGACTATAATTAATAATATATACATTATATGTAATGTGTAATAAAATGGTGTGCAAAATATTTTGAGCACTTCTCAACAATAGTTTAGTTTGTGTGTTAGTAAAGAAATTTCTGGGTTGAATCTCGGTTGAGAAATTTAACATTATTGTTTTTTTTTAAATATAATCATTAGAAGAATTGAATTAATAAGACATTTATGCAGTTTAGGGACGCACCGATCCAAATGTTTATCTCCTGATACGATACGTCAACTCAGGGTATCTGATAATACGAGTTTACCTACATATGCTCAGATACTCACATATTTAAAGTAAACAAAGGTTTGTGCAGGGGAGATTGGAAGCTAAAAGCTCAAAGACCTCTCCTCAAACCTCAAGTTAACACAGAATTACTTTAAATAAAATCAACAAGGGAACAAAACTACTTCTAAAACATACAACAATAATTCTTTCTCATTCCAGTTGTCCGACAGTCAATACCAATGCTTCTTTAAGATGTTTTTAATAGTAAACAAAGATAATTATACAATAGAAAATGTAGCCATCATGTAATTCAGAAAGCAACATGATGTTCAGACTGTTAGGATATGAACGAATGAGTACATGAGTCAAGTTTGTAAATTCTGTAGTTTGTTGATGCTAATACAGTTAAAATGTATTTAAATCAGATCAGAATGATGCTTCTACTGGTGGAGTTTATGTCAGCAACTGTTTCAACAACTCTTCCTTACTGATTCATTAAAGGACGATGCACAACACACAATATTTGAGCATCGGTTGCAAATAAAAAGCATCACATTCATGAGCCAAACAAACAAGATGTAAAGAGATTTTGTGAGAAACCAAGTGACCATTTTGTTATTTCTTGCATCCCAGACATATTTTCAGTACTTGATTAGTCTAATGGATTCCTTGGTACCAAACTCAGGTATAGTTCTTTAAAGTTTGTTCCCGTTTCGTTCTAATGTCGCTGACTCTCGCTTCATCTCAACAGATAAAAAGGTCGTTGTGGAATCGGCGCCTAAACCTCGGCGTTCTCTCATCGGCCTGATGTTCAAGCTCCTCCTCCTGCTGCTACTGGGATTGGCCGGAGTCGCCGCCGCCTGCCGACTGACCGACCTGCAGAGGGAAGCCGTGTGCGTGCCGGTCAACGTCGCGGTGGACGACGGCCTATCCTGGGCCAAAGAGCAGGAGGTCGTGGTCAGGCAGCTGGTGCAAAACCTGTCGACCGCAGCGAGGGAGTTCCTCGAATCTACGCAAGCGTCTAAGAACTAAAACTATCATCCGCCTCCTCCATCAAACTTCCAGAGCTGCAGGTTTTCCACTCCTACTTGCGAAAAGTCTGGGATTTTTATTTTAATATGCTGAAATCATGAATCTCTTTAAGATGGGGCAACCCTGCATCCCCTCACCCTGTTTGAGGTGCTGGGAGGTGAAGAGTCTGTACAGATAGATGAGGGAGGGGGATGGACAGATGTGTTAAAATCATCTTAAATTCCTATGGAATTGTTGTCGCTCTTGTACCCTCTTTGTACTACAGCCTGTTTTTAAGAAAAAAAACCTAAAAAAAACCCCATCTTAAATGTCTCCTTGTTGACCATGTTTCACACTGTGACCCGAACCCGGAGCCAGTCTGTGTTTCCGGTGCATTACATGGATCGTGGGTCGTATTTGAGAGGTCAGGTCAGGTGGCCACGTCTGTGCTGCTCTGGAGTGTCACATGTTAACCGCCAGTCAGAGTTGTGCATCAGCCAGTGTTAGATGTCTGAGCATGTGCAGTGACGGCTGTGTGAATGTAGAACTCGCTCGTCTATAGTCTCACATCAGTAAATCTCACAGCTAACACGCGCGCCGTCTGGCATGCAAACCCAACTGATACGTGAGTGGATTTATCTTATTTAATCACAGATATAAATAACGGTATCTGGCTAATAACTGATGAGTCCCAGTACAGAAATGCCAAAGATGTGTCTGAGGTAATTTAGAAACAGTGTTGTCTTATATTGTTTGTCCACCGGAGAGCAAAATGTCCGCTCTGTACACTACTGTTAATGATTAATTGATTTACAGATATAATTTCCTTAAGAATAACTTATTAATTGACTAATTGTTTCAGCTCTAGTCTGTTAAAAAACTAATATGGGCCGATAATAACTGATATCTGTATTGACCTCCAGTATCAGTCACACACCCTCCCAGTGCACAAACTGTACTAAAAGGACCATACCAACAAATATCCATATTACACCTCATGCTATTGTGTTTTAGACCTTTGGATGTATTTTACCAACTTTCCCTCCACTTGTTGGTTTCCATTAATTTTTGTGAAGTCTGAAAAGTAATCAGGAAACTCTTGAAGACTGTTTAATCCATCACAGTAAACAAAGTCTGCTGTGATTTGTGTTTTAAAGTGAAATTACTGTAACGAGATAATGTCACATTTCAACTTAAATCTGCACTTTAACAGCTATATCACACACAAATAATAATATCCATTATGATAAGAGATATACGCAGACTGTGATTGTTGGATAGATTTCACACCTGTACCAAGTTTCAAGAGTCTGCTAGTTGATTTTTAATACTGCACAGACGGACGGTAGGAAAAATACCGAAACACAGCAGCAAAAATAGCAAAAAAGGTTGGTTGTAATATAAAGTACACATGTTGTATCACTTGTAAAAACAGTGGTATGGTCCTTTTTTTAAAGAGTGCCGTGATTACATTTGTTAACTTAATTCTAACTCATAATCCCTCAATCCTCTGTTGAATAAGGACAAGTGTTGATATTGAACTCGGTCCAAAGTTTGAGTTTCTTCTCGTAATCACTCGTCTATAATGTGAATAATAGAAATTAAAGGTTCTTTCAGTTTGACTGGTGACTTGCAACAATTTTAATTTCCCGGAGCGTCTTCATGCAAAACTTTTAACCAGCTTTGCTGCTGTGGGTCTTGTACAGCTTTGTTCATGCTCAAACATTGTCAGCGTCAATAAAAGGCTATGCACTGCAAGAAATATGTGAGCTTTGTGTCTGTTTTTGTAACAGAAGAATAATGATTGTGAATGAATTCTTCCAAATACCATTAGGAGCACTAGAACGAGCCAGAGGAACCTTAGTTTATTTATTTATTTGTCTCTTACTACTGTCAGGATATCGTGAAAGTTTCAGAAAATATGACAAAAAGCTGTTCTGTTACCTACTGTAGCTTTAAGTTTTATTTTTTAAACTGGTTTAACAGTACTTGTTTAATTCTACGTGTTTAATTTTGCCTTAACGCAGAAAAATAACTTAAATAGAGCTTAAACGTAGCCAAAATATTATTTAAATCAAGAAATATTTGATTAAAGAAAGAGGAAACAAGACCAAAAAAACTTTTTCTATTATTTAATCTCGCAGAGTTTAAACTGTGAATTAATTATATACTTAAATTTATTAAGTTTCACTTATTCCTGGCAACACAGATTTTTAAAGCTAAAATATTGATAATCCCCTTTTTGGACTTCATACCAATTTTAACTTTTTGATGCTGTGACAGAAAACTACTGAAAAAGAACATTAAATGTTAAATATATAAGTTAAGGAAAACACTGCCACCACAAGGTCAATTTAGTAGTTACTGGAGCTTTTTAATCACAAGATGATTTACGGCTCCAGAAGTGCGACTAAAGAATAAAGAATAATCACATAACAACTATAGAGCTAAAATCCAGATTACCAGAAACTGCAAAACTATTTACATAATCCGTGATAATCCGTTTCCTGATCAACCCTTTAACCATATATTTGTAATAAATAGTGAAAACACCACACATAATGCGAATGAGTTCCTGAGATGATTAATATGAGACGTCTGTGAGAGCCAGCAACCACAATCACCATTAGCCTGATGAGACCTTCCTCTAATTTGTACTGTATAGTAACATGGATAAAGGATACAACAAGTAGAATTATATCTTTCCATTTTACATTTGGGTCGCAATATGAAATAAGTTCAATTAAAGCTCCCGCATTTGGTATTTGATCTCGACCACCGGCCTTCCGCTTCTGAACGATAAAATTATGAGAAATGCAGCAACGCTAATGTGGCAATTAGGAAGGAACATGAGACGAATATGTTCGTTGTAATGTTTCACTCAAGTCTTTATTGGTTGTAAACACGACTCTTTCCTACATTATTTTTTATTCTGTGTCAATTTCTGCACTTGAAGTTTAAAGATAATATTATTAACCTCTTAATAAGCACCCGGCTTTTGTGCAGTTTACGACCAAAAATTCATAATAAGTCTAAGTGATATTCAAGCAAATACAGAGAGGCACAAACTTGCCTTTTGCGTGTATATGTTTCTAATTTTTTAAATTCTAATGCTGCTACAAAGCATGTGTCTGTGGTCGCAGCGATATTGGGATCCTATAAAGGTTTGTACAGATCGAATCAAGAGGTTTTTTGTTTTCAATGGATGTATAGTTCATCAAGGTTGTTTGAGGATTCAGTTGGATGTCAAACCAAATTGAATTAACCACCAGAAACCACCGGATGTTTCTATTGTAGTGTAGTGGTCTCAGCATCAGAGACCACTACAAGTGCTTCAGAGAAAAGCAGCAGAAAAAGCCAATTTAATGGAAGCTCTTGGGCATTCAGGGTGGGAGCTGCAAGAGGAAGTGGAAGTAAAAACTTATAATAAAGAACCAGTACCAGTGGCTCCTTCAGACTAGTTTTTGTTTTCAGCTTTATTGATGAAACAAACATTACCTATGACAGAAATAGCCGACCGTCATCGGAAAAGGAAGCATGTGGGGTTCGGATTGAAGAGCAGCAGACGACCTAGAGACGATCCACCACAGAGGGTGCTGTCGCTCCAGGAGGAGAGGAAGATTAGAACAATGAAGAACCAGCTTAGCTCCTGGCTAATGTCCAGTCTGGACGAAATGGGACTGTTGTGCCCCGATCCTCACAGAGAGCTGGTCTATCAACATCCTGGATCGAGCACTCGACTGGTGGTTCCGAGCCGACAGAGCCCAACATGAGAGGAGGCGGACTCCTGGTGCTCAAACGCAGTCAAACTGTATGGAAACCACATTATCATCACTATCTTATTGCTTCGGTGTCTACATGTATATCTATATGTATATAAATAACTGTATATATTGGTTATTATTACTTATTATATGTTATTCTGATCTTTTTCTATGTGTCTTATACAACCCTGTGATGAATAATGATAAATACATTTCCTTGATACCTAAAAACTGCACTTAGGTTCAACACTTGAGTAAAAGTACTCTGTTACTTCCCATCTCTGCAGTAATGAAGTATTCTGGTGTTACAGCTTACAGGGGTACAAGTCTAAACCGAACACCAGTTTTCAGCTTCAGAGTTCTGTGTGCAGAATGATTTCCTTCACAGCTGGAAGTCTTTAGCTCTTCACGATGAAACCAGCTCCTGTCTGTTGCTGCAGGTCTGTCTGTAGTCTCGCTCCTTCACGTTCGCCGTGTCGTCCAGCAGCCTCGTGCGAACCGACTCGTCCACCGTCAGCTCGAGGGTCACCTCTTTGAACACTTTACACACCGACGCCTGCAACAGACACGAGGACGATGGTTGGATTCACTCCGGGCCAATCAGGCGTCTCCTACTATAAGATAATGTGATCTTATTACCTCCTGGAACTGGAGTTTCTTGAACATGGCGATGCTGACCTGGTTGTCCAGCCCAATTTTCGCTTGAAACTTTTTGACCCCAAGTTTGGTGACACCTGGTGGAAGACAACACACTGATCACCACCGTTCATTAACTAATATTCACCCACTGTAACCAGAGTTTACTCCACAGCAGCAGCTCTCTGTCATATGAGTCAGCATTTAAATATATATAACAGAAGAAAAGATTTCCTGCAATATTTTCTTGTGTTGTGTACTTAGATTATCCCAAATGTTTCCAACAATGTTAAAACTCAGAGACATCTCAGGTAACGGTGCAATGACCTCATATCCCCTTTACATATGAGTTGTGGTTGTCTGCTAGAAGCTGTAATAAATGTACTTTTTTAATCCAGTTTTAAGCCACATTTTAACAATAAATATTTTCGATCTTGGTTGTTTTTAACTCATATTTGAACCGGTTGAAGGATTTTAATCACTGGATGTCTGGATCTTAAGTTATCAGAGAAACAAGCTGCTTTAGCTTTAGCAGCAGGTCGTGTTGCGAACCCTCCTGCACGTCTTTTGTCAGCTGAACAGCGTCGGAGAAACACAGATTTGCACAGATTTGCTGTAAACATCTGTGGATGGCAGAAGAAATGAAACTACGGTTGTTCTGACTTCTGTTCTCTTATACAAACTGTTCCCAAAATAAAGAATTTGAAACAAAAACAAATCTTCTGACACATTGTACAAGCCGCTCACCGTAGCACATCATCATGAGTGTCACCTCTTTCCCGATGCCCTTCCCTCTGTAACTTGGCTCTGCTCAAAAAAACAAGAAACGTTATAAGTTTTAGGGAAAGAAAAATACATCTGTAGTGAAATAGTATTGAAATAAACAGAGAGATTTGTTGATTTGTTTTATATAATGTTCCTTTTGAATCACCTGCTATCATGATCTCCAACTCAGCCACGGACGGATCTGTGGGGTCAGTCAGGAAGATGTTGACATCTCCCACCATGCACTGCTCCTCTTCTACACCGGTGTCCGCCCACCGCTGCTTATCCAGGACGATGAACGTGCACTCTGGAAAGATAGAATAAACAAATGTTACAATAAGACGGCTTTTTCTTTAAGTAAACGTTGATATTTTACACATGCAAGACATCAGGATGATCTCTTATTTTAGTTATCTGCAAAAGTTACGAGCAAACAAATAAAAGCTTTTAAAGATGAACTGTCGCTTTAAACATGGAAAGCTACTGTAGCAATAAAAACAACACTTTATATCTAAAAGGGGCTTTTAAAAGCACTGAACGTGTTATTTTCTGTGAGCACATTGCAGGCAGATCGCTCCTTACTGTCGCTATCTTCCCTCCAGCTCCTCTGCATGTCGTACTCCTGTTCCAGGGTCAGAGGCTCTGAGGCGGTCAGCTGCTGCAGCTCAGGAGACTTCATCCACTCGTGATACCTGACACAGGTGGATATAAAAAGACAGAGAAAGGACTGACGCTCGTCTCTGGTTCACAGCTTCTGTTAAAGAGGAACATGCAGCCACTGTAGGGGAGGGTGAAGCGAGGGGGTTGTGATCTGCAACCACTAGATGTCACTAAATCTTTCACACTGGACCTTCAACAAAGACTCTGACTATGACTATATTTCAGAGGCGAATGTTGGATGTTACAGGGACTGATAAATACAGATCGCACTGTTCTGGTTGCATAAAATCTTCTTTTATATTGATTATATTGAATTATAACTCCTGTATCGTGATATATATATCGTGTTATCGTATCGGCAGACTTTTGGCAGTACACAGCCTTTGTAACTACTTGTAACTTTGCAGATACAGATTAATAATAGAAAACATGTTAATAAATGTCTGACTTGGCCCCTAGGAATGAAAAATTATAATTAAAAATGATATTAAACTGATTTCATGCAGCACAAACTAATTTTAATGGTTATTTATCCACATTTAACCATTAAAGTAAAATAATAAAGAGACATTTTTACATTCTGATGACCAGAAGACATCAGCAGAGGAACAAATGAATGATTTACAGTTAAAAAAAGAGACTAAATAAACTTAATAAAATCAACAGTGATGCTCTCACGTGACCACCAGCTGTTGGTGTTACCTGGGCACGTGGTCCGCATTATAAGGCACGAGCACGACTTTATGCCCCTCCAGTAAAGTGTTCTCATTTATCTTCATGACAAACCAGATATAATCCACTAATTTCACCGATAATGAAAAGTAAACAACAACACGATGCTTCCTCACACTCCCTTCCTCTTTGTCTGTCGGTGGTTCCAACTGCGGCTGCGCTCACTGACAGAAAGGCGGGAGTCGCCCCCTGCTGGACAACACCAGAAAGTACTGAAGGGACTTTGAGTTTCTTCTGAATTTCTTAAAAGTTCTTTATTAAAATTCAGAATTAGATGTAGATATAGGCATACACGTAATAAAATATATTTTTTAAAAGAAATAAAGTAATATAAAACTAAATTCTTCCAGCATTCCCACTTTGTTTCATATTCTACCGTCTTATTTAATGGTTCCTGTATCATGAAGGGTTGTTGAGGTGGCAGCATATCTCCTCCAGTACCCATCTCTCAGCCATTTATTTAATTACATTTATTGGGTTGTCCTGATCACCTGGTAGAAGTATCCTCCCCTTTCCCGTCTATCTTCAGCGGTCCTATCTAATAAAGGGCAAAAGTTCCCTTAAATAAACATGAAAAAAAGAGACATTTATCATACAGTGTGTCTCCTCCTGCCCTCTGGGAGGCGGTACAGGAGCGTTAGATACAACCAGGCTCAAAAACAGCGTCTTCCTCTTGGCTGTAACCCATATGAACCTGCTTACCTGGTGAACTCTACTAAAACTCTCTTGCACTAAACACTGGCATATTTAAATATCATTTGCAAAGACCTGTAGACTACTACCATTTTTTATTTACATGCCTTTTGCACAGCGTTTCAATACAGCTGTCCTCTTGCACTACAGACAACATTTCCACAGTTTTATTATGTAACCTCATTTATCAAGTTGTACATTTGTTTTGTTTATGTATGTGGCTGCACATTGATATTATATATTGATATTGATTTATTTGTTGCTCGGTTGAACAAAGAATTTGTTATAAAGTTATCCTTTAACACTTTTAACCAGTGATAACAATAAGAAATACAATAAGTATCAATGTAGGATATTAATTAAGACTTGCAGACACATTAAAGTAATTTTTATTTCTATATCTGAGTGTAATTTCTTTTTGCTGTGATTAGGAAATAAGAAAGAAAGAGATTCGGAGCTAAGTGTGATTATTAAAGGATCTGGTTCTAGATTAAAGGTAATGGCTCTAGAAATAATGTAAAAAATGTGAGAACAAAATGGTTTTATTTTAGCCCACATATAAAAAACTGTGGCAGTCTGTAGCTGTACAATGATTTAAAACTTTGTGTATACATATATAAACATTGTGTGTGTGTGTGTGTGTGTGTGTGTGTGTGTGTGTGTGTGTGTGTGTGTGTGTGTGTGTGTTATGGGTGTTAAGTGGCTCTGCCCAGCCCGTGCCACAGTTTGACCGGCTCCTGCGGTGTGTTGACCATGTCCATCCAGTGCTGGAGCTGTAGGCCCCTGGCGTACATGAAGGGACCCAACACCAGCACTCCCAGCAGGGCCGGAGGCTCTGGGAGAGCGAAACACACAGAGCTAAATAAAAACTAATACTGATGTTTACGATGTGCCTTTTATCAGATAGTCAGGAATAAGCAACAACTGTTGCTTTGACCTTCCCATCATGCATTTCTGAGTTCATACATTTATATTAAAATTACTTAATACGCCTCAGGCTTAAAGGATCTCACTCATGAACTTCTGACACCCAAAATTTGTATTCTTGCTCTTTCTCTCTAAAGTGGCTAATTGGCAAATGTCTCCTAACTTAAAATAAGATATTATAAATTGACTGTTTCACCTGAGCGGAAGTCGTTCGGCTGCTGCAGCTCAAACCTCAGACAGGCCTCGTCCAGGTGCTGCGAGCGGAGTTTAAAGGTCATCCTGTGGTTGAAATACGGGTCGTTTTCACATTTCGCCACACAGCTGCGCTTGATCTTCACCACCTGAGTGTGTATCTGTAAGCTCACCTGGACACACACACCTGGGGAAGCACACAGATGCTGTGTTACCAATGTTAGTAAGGTTACCCCACCATCTTCAGCTCAAACTTTGCATACCTGCGTCTGTGAGCAGCTGTAGGCCTCGAGCCCTCAGAACCACCACAGAGAGGCGCTGCAGAGACGGACTGTAGCTGAGAGAAATCTGCACATCACCCAGCTCTGAACACTGAGAGAAATCAGAGGCGACAGAAAGATTATGAGCGTTTATGACCACGTGCAAACGTCCTGTGTGTGTTCCTGTGTGTACCTGTGTGTCGTCCTCCGTCTCCAGGTCCCTCCAGAGCACCCTGCCGGCCTGACCGAGCTCCCCCTCCAGAGGAAACAGCACCCTGCCCACCGCGTGGCGTTTGCCGTCCTGCTCCACACTCAGCACACACACACTCAGGGTGCTCTGAGGCACGCACACTCCTGAAACCTGTGGAGGACACATACAGAAAGTGTGTGAGACAGACCAGTGGTTGCCAACCTTTTTCTATCATTTGGTAAAGTGAAGACCCCTGAGTGATATATTTATGGATATTTCATGTTATATTCAAAGTTGTACGATGAACCGAAACAGTGAAGTCACTCAAGTTTGTGTTAAACAAGTGATTTGGATGATTTTTGAGCAGATTATTATTATAATTATTAACTGTTTTATACAATTCTCTGTCTATATTGTGTATTTTTAATAACTTTAATCATTTGTAACAAACTTACTAGGCTTCTTTTTTTGACAAATTCTATGTTTTTTCTTGTCGCTGACACTTGGCCATTGTTCTATTTACTTAACAATTTACTTAATATTTACTTTTCTTCACAGAACTGAACCAAAATACAGAGATAAAGGCCTTCTATGTATATTTGGTTTTGTATCACACCTTAAAATCAAGAAGGCCTCGCAACCTCCGATTAAGCTTTGTCGACCCCTAGTGGGGGTCCTGACCCCCAGGTTGGAAACCCCATGAAACAGACTGCATGAAAGTAACTAAGTACATTTACTCAAATACTGCTGGTATCATCTCAGTAGTTTCAAAACTTCTGTAAACTTCCATGTCCTCACCTGGAAAACGAAGCAGTCGTTGAACTCCGGGTCGGGCCCCGTGCCCCGGGCCTTGGCCTGGCGGGGCCGCCGGTCGTCAGGGAGACGCCGGAGCTCCACCAGCGTGACGTTGCCGTGGAAACGGGGAGGTAGGTTTCCGAGGCGGAGCAAAGAGACCATGAGCTGCTCGCTGCTGTGTCGATACTCCACAGAGAAGCAGAGGCGGGTGGCCATGCCGGGTGGAGGGGCCACCACCTCGTTCAGAGGAGGGACAGAGTAGAGACCAGCCAGCACCGTCCCCACTGGGAACCATCCTGATGGAGACAGGTTGTGAGGATTTGTTGGGAAATATGTAGGATTTATCTTTGATTTGGCTTTTCAAATATATATATATATATATATATTTAGGAAAGGGGGAGAAAGAGGGGATGATACAGCAAAGGGCCACAGGTCAGATTCAGCAAAGCCTCATGGGGTAACAGTTCTACCAGGTGGGCTACCAGAGAGTCCCTTGAATTTCACCATAACTTTCATCACATGCAGTCAAATAAAGGCAGTAATGACCTACTGCTTACTGAGAGTGACCCCCGATGGGCTAGTATGTCCTTCCGGGCCTCCATCTTAATCTCCTCCTCTTCTTTCTCCTCCTCATTTTTCAAGTCACCGTGAATTTGCGTCATGAAGCGAGGAGGCAAGGTGAACGGGATCTCATTGGGCCTTTCACACAGAGAGAAATATGTTGTTAATTGCGCCTTCAGCAGCATTTTAAATATCCAATTATTGATTTCAACCTCACTGTGACACCTCGACTGAACTCAAGACTACAGGTCTTTAAAATCCCTGATGAATGGATGCTGTTCTTCACTAAGAGGTTCACTCTTTTGCTTTTTATTTTTAGAAGTATCAACATGTTGCATATGATGTTGGTACTATCATAAAATTGATACACTAATGACTTGATATTTATATTCCAGAGTTGTTTTTTAATAAAACAAGCACATCTATTTTTAAATAACTACATTAGCTTCAAGTATGCACTTCATCGACTTTAAGGGTCTTGTCTATAAGCTCTAAATGGCCTTGCCTCATAAGACCTGCTTAGAGTCTTCCTGTATGCTTGTTATGTGTATGCTTCCTGTTAGCTCTCTACTGTACTAGATTACTACTTATAAAAAAAGCAAAAATACTTTTACAAAAATATGTGAGTCAACGGAGAAATATAACTCTTGTAAAATATTCCACAATTCTACATGAATACTAAATAAAAGCACTATGTAGGACTGTGTGCATGAAGGTTTTTAATGGTACTAACATGGCCCAGGAGCCCTGAGACACCAGGATCACGGGAGCAGAGCATGGTGGGACTGAAGGCACTGTAGAGAGCAGCTCTTCGTACTGACTCTGACTCTGACCCTTCCTCTTCCTCCACAGGTAGTACACCATCAGACCCAGCAGCAGCAGCAACAGGAGGCCCACAGACAGACCAACAGCCAACCGTAACACCTGGTCTGAACAAATGCACACATTAGGAAGGAAATGTACATGGCAGAGATTGAGTCTAATGCGGTTTACTTACCTGTCATTAAGGTAGGTTGGTAGGTCTTTTCTTCTGGTCAGCTTTCACTCAGGCTGACTGTGACTGTAGTTGACCTGTTCAGTGGTGTGTGAAGTGTTTTAGTGGCCGTGGAGAGCAGAGAGAGTGCGATACAGCTGGCTGATTCTCACCAGTTCATGCTGTTATCTGGCTTTTCGGTCGGCAGCTACACTCGTACCTCCTTTAAAGGACCAGACCACTCATATAGGATGTTTTAACCCATTCGCAAATCTCATATATTTCACGTTACAGAGAACCATTTGCAAACCACGCTGTTGTGTTTTAGGCTTTCTAGACCAGTGGCAAGTAGAGAAACAGCTCTCAGCTCTTAGCGATGTCATCCTTTTAATGATATTCAACACAGGGGAGAAGAACTCAAAAACACGGCATACTTTAGGCTGTATACTCTGTTTTTATACATGTTAACAGGCCCAGTTACCTCAGTAATATGAGAATGCATTTTATTATTGTGCTTTTAGTCCTAAAGCAGACATGTTGACTGTGAAGGTGCCATTATTTCAATAAAATAATGTAGGCAAAGCAATCGTCCTCCTGTGTGGTAGTTTAGTAGTTTTCATGTGTTACATGTGGGGGTCGATACCAACCTGATTATTCTGAGGGGTCCGCAACTCTAAAAGGTTGAGAGTTTTAGACAGCTGTTGGCTTCCGATGATCCATACGTCACCAAACCAGCTGTTTAATTGATTCTTTCATTTTAAATACAACACAATGTCCCACAAGTTAATTGCAAAACATGCCTAAAAACATCACATCATGCATTGCAGTTTTTTTTTAGAAACGCTGCTTTAAAATCAGGCATTTTAGGCCGCAGCATCCCCCCCCCATAAAAGCCAGCGAACTCTTGGAGGGACTGGGAGCACGCTGATGTTAGCATGTGGCTCAAAGCACAGTCTATATAATGCACATGTAATATGACTGATCTGATCTTCACTCAGAATCAAAATACTCATTAGCCTCTCCTCCACTCAACGTTGTTTCACACACACACACACACACACACACACACACACACACACACACTGTTCAGAGATTGGAAAACAGCTAATGAGATGAGAGCTAATCCTCAGAGCTAAAGGTAGAGTAATGGTCCTCTCTTTTACACACACGCACAAGGACACATCACAAGCATGTTCCCTCTGATGCCAGGTTCATATGAGGTCCAGTTACAAGAGACAGAGGAACAAGAAGATCAAGCTGAAGACAAAAGTGGAGTGTGTGTTTGAGGCTGTGAGGGCGGCTGGAAACGAGGAGGGTGATTTTCTTAAGAATTGAGGGGGAGGAGGGAGAGACGCCATTTAGCACTACCTGCTTTGTGGCAGGGCGGAGGCCAAAACAGGACACAAGGTGCAAACTTATAGGTAAGATGTTACTTTTCTCTTTTGTCTGACATCACTCTGTACTATTGTGCACAGGGACGGCCATTCACGTGGATCAACTGGGTGTTTATTCTTCCAGTACAGACAAATTATGAGGCTGTGTGGATATCTGCGGGTCAGTTTGGGACAGAGATGGCTTTATTTATTTGTTTGTGCTACTAAATAAGTTAAAGCAGCACTGATTTTTAATAAGAGAAAGACTGAATATCTGGAGTAATGTGCTTTAATGAGCATAAATACACAGATTAATTAAAATTAGGCACCACATGTGTACAGACTTTGTTTGAAGATAAGAAAAAAACTATTAATTGTAATTTATTATAACCTCTATCATCCATTCTCAGTGTCTCTCCCTTTCTTTGTCTCTTTTCTTTCTTTGGCTTCTGTCAACTGAAGGCCAAGTACTCTCTTAAACTGTCTCGATTAATCTGTATTTTGTCTCAATAATCAAATAATCTGGATTGTGTAATCCCATTAGGATAATCTGGGAGTGCCTGTGAATGTGTGGGCGTGTGTGCGTGCACCAACTGTGTTTCAGACTCAGAAATAAAGAAAAGATTAAAGGAATAGTTCCGACATTTTGGGAAAATACGCTGATACGCTTTCTTCTCGTAGAGGAGAGGATTGAACTCACATAAATATGGAGCTTGAGCCAGCAGCAACTTTACAGCCTTACAGGGGTTAGGGGTTATATGTGAGACTATTCCATGGGTGCAGTGACAGTGAGTCTCCAGTGACAACAAGGCTAGCTGTTTCCATTGTTTCCAGTATTAATGCTAACTGGCTTCATATCAAACAGAGAGATTGGTGTCAAGCGTATTTTGCAAATTGTCTAAATATTGCTTTTAAAACTGCTTATTATGCTTATATTTATTAATTTTTGGCTGCTTTATGGAGCTTTACAGTGAGTTTCAGGTAATTGTTAAACTGTTTGGCTCAAAACTTTACTGCCAGCGCTCTCTTGGCAGATCTCACAACATGCTGTGCTCTACCTGCCCGGGACCACCTGCAGACAGTTGGTGACCAGCTGGTGAACATAGTGGAGCATTTAGCTAAGGAGCCAAATATTTCCTTCAGGAGTTGCTAGAGACTAAAAACAGAGCTAAGGGAGTTAATATTGGACTTACATTCACCAGGTAATCAGAAATACAACTCCATAAATGATAATGTTGCTCTGTAAGTGCTGGATGAGTAAATAAGAAAACGGGAAAAAAAGGAATAAAGAGCAATTAAACACTCAAAGATGTGTTTTTCTTGCAGGCTGGTGCTGTTGCTATGGCGAGGCCCGGGCGCCCTGCGTCTGAGAGCTACCAGCCAGTCTGTTATTCAGGCAGTCAGGCAATCTCTTTCTCCAGTGACGCTGGGAAGGTGGGACTGGAGGATGAGGATGATTGCGCACCCATCTTCTCCCTGTCTAAGAGCTCCATGGATGTGGTCATGGCGACAGGGCCGGCGCACAAGCGGGACCTGGCCTGGGCCACAACGGACCTCAGACGCAGCTCCAGCACGAACACACACACTGAGCAGAACTCACTGACACTCCAGCAGCGCCCCCCCCCTTACGTGTGGCAGCAGATCCACGCCACCAACAGCCACCAGTTGTCACTCACAGCTCAAAACGTGGACATGCACAACCCTCCTGCCCTCAGCGAGCGCTGGATCGCCAACATGCAGCGCTGGAGTGGCAGCACGCACAGTCGCAGCAGCACTCCAGATACAATTATATGGAAAGACGGGATCTCACGCCCCTCAAGTCTAATCCAGGATTTCTCTGCTGCACCAGACTCTCCGTTGTCCAAAACAACCTCTCCACCAACCACACCCTCTCCCTACATCTCCCCCCTGCAGACACCAACTTTACCACCTGAAGATCTGTCTTCTTCTTCTTCCCTACTAACGCTGAGCACACATCAGCAGAAAGACTCACTTGTGTCTTTGCCCCAACCCATTCCTCTGCTGTCACCCCTGCAAGCTCACACCTCCTCGCCCTTGCCATCCAACTCCCCCAATCTCCCCCAGCTCACCAGCACAGAGGATGAGGGCTTCCTGGAGAATAACTTGCTTTCTTTTACGTTCCCTTCCCCAATCCCGTCGTCTGTTAGCTTAGCAGAAGGAGGTGCGTCATCAGATCCCGGATGCCTTGCTGATGATGTGATAGAAGAGCTGCACAGTCCTGCAGGCGCACAGTTATCAGAGGGTGGAGGAGTGGAAAGCCCAGTGCAAATGTTAAGCTACCTGACACCTAATTCTCAGGCAGAGGGACAAGACTCTGGAAAAGGAGCTTCAGTTTGCCATCTTGAGCTGCCATGGCTGACAGGCCAAGGTTGTAGGTCACCCCTGGTTTCGTCTGTGAGTGACTCGCAATTAGGTAACTGCTGCAGGTGCAACCTGAACTCTAGAGAGGGCATCACAAAGGCCCCAAACGTTGAGAGGTTCAGGGAGGAAGGCACAATGACTTCACGGCAGGAACTGGTAGACGCAGCGGTGCAGACAGTCTCTCCTAACGACTCCTTGTGGGGCCTCAACAGGAAAATGTCTACCTCCAACATGGACTCCCACTCCATCCTGGGCTCCCCACCTGGATCAAGACTGAATCTTAGGTCCTCAGTGGGCTCCAACTCCAATCTGGTGTCTCCGTCCTCCAGCATGTTCCCTGCCAGCAGCGGAGAGGAGGAGGAGAAAAGGGGAGGCGAACAGACGTGGAACTCTGCCTCCTCGCACGATTTGGACAGGAGGAGGTCGTGTCTGAAGACCCATGGGGAGGACAGGGATGAGCTGGGGAGGAGGAGCAGCATGAAGCAGGTTCAGTGGGACGAGGACGGGATGACGTGGGACGTTCACGGAGCAACTCTGGACCCAAAGGTTCTGACCACAGCCATACAGAAACATCTGGAACTCCAGAGCAGCCCCCGACCTCAGCGACGTTCCTCGAAGAAGAAGAAAGCACCAAAACCTCCTCACATATCGCACGTGGTGAAAGTCATGGCCCCAGACCTCAATCCACCTGCCATCACTAATACGTCGACTGGTGCGGTGGAGGGTGAGAGTAAGGGGACGCAAGAGACAGCAGACAGAGGTCGGGAGGTGGAGGAAGGAGGAGGCAAAAAGGAGGAAACGGTGGAAGCTGCTTGTAGAATAAGCAGAGCAGAGGGAGAAAATACAAAAGAAGAGGCTGAGGTGTACGGAGAGGAAGGCACCAGCCATCCGAAGTCACCCTCGCGTGGGAGTGCACACAGCCGCAAGAAAAGCGTGATCAAGACACTGAAGAGGCCCGGGTGGTGTGGAAGCTCCAGGAAAGTAAATGACTGATCCTGGAGAGTAATCTAATGGCTCTGATCGGCGTATTGATTATCCATAGCTGACTTCAGTTTGCACTAAAGCACCACAAATAAACTCTGAATGAAGTTCAGAGAGACACTGGAAGCAGTTCTTCACTTTAATGTTGTTTTATCTAGACCAGAGGTTCTCAAACTCTTTTTATTTATGTACCCAGTTTGAAACATTTTAAGTAATACCCCCCTGAGCACAAATGGACTGTGACTGAAAAACATGTGAATGCTACATTTAAAATGTTGAATCAATCACTAAATTCATAGAAAACAAATGTGTTTGTCATCATGCAATAACACCAAGTTGCACTGAACTGTGTCTTTTTGATAAGTTGCACTTTTGCGCATTTGTTGCACAGTTTAATGAGATCTAAGTCATTTTTTCTCCGTGGCAACAACACTGATCAAACCCTTTCCCAGAAGCTTTGAAAAGATTTAAATCTTGAATATAAAATGTGCTTTACTGAACTAATATTTACATTTTTCTCTCTAAACTTCTTCCTCTTATTGTCCAGCCGCCATAATGCAGATGACAAAAGAGAGGAGTCGATAGAAATACTGATATTTTCATCTGAGCTCAATTATTAGAGTCTGCTCGCAGCTTTACGTGGTGCAGAAAGTGTCTGATGACTTTCATTTCTCTGGGTTTTGCCTCTCAGGCTGCATTGGTTGAGGCTTTTATTTTGTAACTTCATTGTGCCCCCCCTCACTTCTGAAAACAAACCTACACATTTTCTGTTTAGCTGCATTTCTAGTGAGTTCTTCATGATAGTCAAGATATGACAACTCCCTAGAGGTTATACATTTGTTAATGTAGATTTTGTTGTTGATTTTCTTTTTCTTTTTCTTTTTTTGATGAATTTTGTCTTTGTATCTCTCTTGTTTATTCTGTTTTTACGTTTGTATGTATGTCTGTTTAAAATTATTATTGTTATTATTGGGTAGATTTGAAGTACTTGTACTTGTATTTTTGAGTATTTCTATTTTAAGCTATTTTATATTATGTTACATACTAATATTGATATTTGAGAGTCTGGTAACGACATATTGGCCGATATTCTTGTTTTATTTTGAAAATAAACACATAACATTGATCAACATTTTGATGTGGATCTTTAAAATGTGGTTGTTCTAAATGACCTCTAACATATATATATATATATTATGTTTCAGTGGGAGATATTGTACATTTAAAATGTACAAAAGTAAATAGATGAATTTGATTAACATTTACTTACTTAAGAGTATAAACACAAAACATATAATATGTTTAGAAAGTATGATGGACGGTATTTAAAGTCGCTCATCGGCAGTCGGCTACAAAAGTAAAATGTCAATAATATTAATATCATAATAATAATATAACATTGTAAAAAGCAAAATCAGTGCTTTACTTTTGATATTTTAAGTGAATTTAGCTAATAAATGTGTACTTTTCTGTAAGTAAATAACCTATTTATGTACTTTTGTTGCACACTTTTCAAGTTCCTTGAGTTTTTTTTTCTTCTTCCATTAAATCTTTGAAGCTATTTCACCCTGAGACGACATATTCTTCTGTTGCACATAATCACCAGTCAAAATCTCCTCCTCATTACAGCTGACAAATAAAGGAAGTGTTATGTAAGCATATGTCAGGATTTTCGCTCAAATATTTACAGATAATTACACAGGAGGTGACTCAGCTCGAATATGTTGTTCAAGATATAAACACCAACTCAAAAACACACAGGCGGAACCACTAAACTCTCCCTCCTCCTCCTCCTCCTCCTCCTCCTCCCGCAGTTGCTCAATTCATTCACTGTGGAAAACGTACACAAAGTTGAGTTGTTTGTAAACTTAGTGAACCACAGTGGTGAGGTTTGACCATTCAGGCGCTGCCATTCAGATGAGCGGGCACATTCTCTCTCATTCACCACAGAAAAAAAGCTCAACTCACCAGTGGCTTCCAGTGCAGTTATTGTTGTCATATTTTCACAGATGTGTGTAGAGCCGGCGGGGAGCATCTCTGTTGCTTGTTTTCTGATCTTTAAGGGTCAATATACCTAAATTAAATAAAGATTTATTCTTCCACTGCACCTCTTGTAGTATCCAGCCATACAGATTTAGTTTCTAGTTTCATCTGCTCGGGCTTTAAGGCCTCCGTCTCTTAGGTTTCTGGCTCCACAGCAGCAGTTTTGATTGGGACTACTTCTTCAGTAGAGAGTAGCTAACCCCTAACCCTTTGTTCATAAAATAAACTACTGGAGAAATTCATTATTAATTAATAATTAACATTATTTTACCTGACTGAGCCAGAGGATCACAAATGTATTAGAATTCATCCTGAGGGGGACTTTTTCCTGTGATCCACCCAATAAGTGTTGTGTGTGATTTGACTTAAAAGCATAAATGCCAACCTCATGGTGGCCCTAGAATAAAGGTCAGGGGATCACCAACGTCAGTAGGATTCATTCTCTGGGCACCGTGAATGTCTGTGCAAAATTTCATGCCAGACCGTCACATAGTTGTCGAGATATTTCAGTCTGGATCGAAGTGGTTGGACAACCAACAATCCGACATTACCGTCCATCCATAGAGCCACGCTACCAACAACCTGGTCAGTGTGTTCTGATGAAACATTGCTGTACTTTAGTTTCTTGTTATTTATCAGCCAACATATAAGCTGACACCTTTAAATCTGTCACAAGCTGATATCAGCCTGGCTTACTCCCTAGTTTTGGAGTATAAATACCCATATAAGCCATCTTTAGGCAGAGAAACACACAGGTAACGACATCCATTCCACTGAGTCATGTTTCGACAGGATGGACAACAGTGGAGATTTGATAGAGAGATAAAGGTAGTTTTCAGGTCACTATGTCACTGCTTTAAGTCATGTGACATGATGTTTGTTTGTGTACGGTGCTGTGTTGCCTTTGTCCCCTGTGCATGTTGGTGTCCTGTGAGCATACTATATGTATGTGAAAGTGCTGATGGGACTCCCCGAAATCCCCTTTTTCTCAGCGGCAGTGGAAATTCACAGCTACAGGAGAATAATCCAGCGCTCGGCCTTTGTTGTGACACAGCTCATTGTCCCTGGAGGTGTGCTGTTGTGTGTGTGTGTGTGTGTGTGTGTGTGTGTGTACTGTGTGTGTACTGTATGTGTACCTGTGTATGTACTGTACATCTGCGTGTGTTTGCTGCCCAGTATAAATAGCGTGGGACGTGTGCCGGCCGCTGATTCTGTGGAAGACGATGGCTGTTCCTGGACCTCCTCTGCTCCTCCTTCTGTCGCTGCTGCTGCCGCTGCTGTTGAGCAAGGCAGCCGCATACACAATCACCCCCGGACGACAGCCACAGCACAAGCTCCTCCAACTGGGTGAGCATACACAATCCTACAGAAACACACACCTCCAAACACTTAAGCAACAAACACAGAGGATCCTGTTAAACTGTTATGTTCTTTGGGACTTAAGTTATTTGTGTTTCTCGTCTCCCAGACTGGCCGAAGGATTGTGGTATGGCTCACTTCAAGCCCAATATGGTTGAGAGGATTGTGTCTGGGAATGAGGCCAGACCTCACTCCTGGCCCTGGCAGGTCTCTCTGCAGGTAAATCTGTCTGTGTATTGATGTGGTTTAATATTTAAGGGTGTTGAGAGAGCTGAGAGAAAAGTCAGTCTATATAATGATATCATTCTAAAGGCTAAATGCATGACATTCATGGTTTTTGCATTCATTTTGAATGGACAGGATCATTTATACCTCATTTAGTGGTTATTAGTAACATTTCACACAAATTGTAGCAGATAAAAACACAAGGTAAAAACACTCAATAAATATCAGTGTGTGAATGTAAATCCTGATAAATGTAAACTTTTTTATGAGTAATGGTTTTCATTATGCCATTTTTTCGGGGGTGCTGCAGCCCCCTCAGAACCTCTACTTCTTAAAACTTGAGAACTAGAGATATATATTCACATTTGCTCAGCGAATGTCTAACTGTAACTTGACTATATTTTTTCGACTAAGTATATAAACTGTCAGAATACAGTGAAAAATGTCCATTACAAGTTCCCAGGATCCAATAAACCACTAAAGATGTTCAATTTAAATAACATGGACACCAGTATCCTCAGTTTTGATCATATTTGGCAATTTGTTCATTTTTATCAGTGACGATGGTCCAGTGGAAACATCGTAGTGATGAGAGGACCATTTCTTTACGTAACCTGCTACAAGCTGTAGTTTAAAGGTTACTCAATTAAAATTCAAAGAGGTCCATGTAGAGAAATGTCCTTAAGCAAAGGTCAAAAGTAGCTTATTAACTGTGTCACCATCTGTATGTAGTCAACAACTGACAAATAAATTCAACAATCAACAATATTTATTGTGAGTTTTAACACTGAATTGAAGGGATTATAAAGAAGTACTCTAATAATACATATTTTAAGTAAAATAATGGCTGCATTTAAATTTTTTTGTAAATGTGCATCTTAAAATAAAATTATTTTAGAAAAATTAAATAAAAAGTTCAGTGAGAAAAGTGTAAAATATAAAATAAATAAATAAATAATTCTCAATAATTTATCGGTTTAAGGTCGATATCCTCAGTACTCGGGGGATGAGAGGAGGGATGGCAGGCCAACATCACCTACTGGCTGTATGATGTTTACATTGAACATAAGAGAGTTGATTATTCCTCTGCCTGTTAACATCATCATAATCTGAGTGTAGTTGTGTCTTTATTTCTCACCGTCTGTCCACATTTCGGACCACTACACAGCAACAACACTCCTAAAAAGGGAACAAATTAATCCGACCAGCAGAGGCAGTAATCTCATTAATATCTCATTAGGACACATATATGTATGATTATATGCTACTTTGAACAATACTGGATTTTTAAGGCCAAAACTTTTTTAAAATAAGAAAATATACCAGAATTAAATATAATTGTAAGTATAATACAATAATAATTACAAGGCCTCTCTTGATTTTAAAGGGCGTAAGAAAATCTCTTTTGCATTTTATTCATTTTTGTGAAGAAAACTAAATTAAATTGATTGTAAAAAAAAATTTAAATACACACGTACAGATTTAATTGTATAAAAAGTTTCTAAAAATATGAGAAAAACTCATCTGATAAATATTTACAAGAAATAATCTGCTCAGAATTCAGAATTCATCATAATTGCTTGTTTTAAACAAACGTCCTGCAGTATTTGGGTTCATTGCACAGTTTATTAACCGTTCTGTTATTGTTATCCATTGAATATAATAGAAACTATCCATAAAATATGGCGTCAGTTTACTCAATGATAGAAAAAGGTTGGAAACCACAACCCTAAAATACTTAAAGGCACTGTGGTTGGGAACGTCTCTGTCTCATGTAGTGTATGAGAGTGATATTTAAGGGGTAAGGTGAGAGAGATGTTAGGAAAATTAGGTGAAAAAAATCACTGAGGTGGCTGTTTTCTCTCACAGGTTCGTCCCAGAGGAAGTAAACATTACATTCATGTCTGTGGAGGAACTCTCATCCACAAGAGCTGGGTCCTTACTGCAGCTCACTGCTTCCAAAAGTAAGAAACTTCACACAGAAAAACAAGTGGTGGAAAAAGAAAACACATGAAGGCCTCACTTTAACCATTAACTATTCTGTTTTTGCTCCCTCAGGGGTAAAGCAGAGGATGCTGGGAGCTGGAGGATCGTCCTGGGGAAGCACCAGCTGAAGCGCTCGGAGACGGCAGAGAGGATTTTCCCCGTGAAGAGAATCTACCGGCACGAGAACTTCCGTTACCCGACCCACAGCGAGCTGGACTACGACATCGCCCTGGTGAAGGCTGGCACAGACATCAACCCTTCAAACTTCATCCGCTACGCCTGCCTGCCGCGCAAGATGACCAGCATCAACCCGGGACACTACTGCTGGGTCACAGGCTGGGGAGACACCCGGGGTGAGTGGAGGAAAGAGGGGATATATAAAAGAGAGGAAGGGGAAAGGCTGTGGCAACTATTGGCCAACAAGAGTCTACAGATGTATTGGAAAAGCTGAGCTAAATGCTAATGTTATGGAAGCAAAGAAAGGTCATAATTTAAATCTGAAGCAACTGAATGCCTAATTATGAAATTTAACCATGACTGAGATTTGAATTACTTTGAATATTTTACTTTCTGTGGCTTCAAGTTGTGTAATTATACAAGAAACTTGATGTTTAGGGTTTATAGAGTTCAATATGCAAAAACCTGTTTTCAAGATGCTCATTTCTGAATAGAAAACATTAAAATCATGTCAAAAAATAAGGTTGCTCAAACTGGATTGGTGAAATTCAAACTTGGCTCCTGAAGACCTTTTATAAATGTTAAATTAATTAAAAACACAGATAAGTTGTTTCAAAAGTAAAATATTTGATTTCAGAGGTGGTTAAGATTCATATCACACAATTAACTTTTAATATTCAAATTATTATGGCCTTTGTTTGCTTCCATAAAAAGCCACCACAATAACAAGCTCACACTGACAGTGCTAACATAATGATGATTAGCAGGTATCTTAGTTTGGCATTTTAGCATGCTAAACACAAACTACAGCTGAGGAGGATGGGAATGTCATTAGTTTGCAGGCATTTGATCATAAACCAAAGGACAATTTTTGGACAAATTAAAAAAATGTGATGTGATGGTGTCACTAGGTGAAAGGTCAGAGGAAGTAACTCTGTGCCAAATTTAAAATTTTCTCCAAAGTTGTTGAGAGTTTTCAAGCTAAATTAGAAACGTCAAGCTGCTGGTGGTGCAAGAGGAAAAGTCAGGGGATCATCTGTACGAAAGATCACAGCCATCTGTCCAACAGTCGTGGAGACATTTCAGTCTGGAGAAATGATCACGCCGCCAGTGCAGCTAAAAAAATCTAAATGCAGTTTAAATTCCTTCAATTTTGTTCTCAAACACATTTCAGGTGGGAAGGAGAATGTGTCTCTGGCAGAAGCCCTGAATCAAGCGCGCCTCCCCATCATCGACTTCAAGACCTGCAAGCAGAAGAAATTCTGGGGCGATCGTGTCCGAGACTCGATGATCTGTGCCGGGTTCAGAGACAAAGAGGACCCGCCTGCTGCGTGCCAGGTTAGAGATTACAGATTCACAGACGGTGTTTGACAAAGAATTAATTTTATCCATGAATTTGCTCACCACCCATGTCTCTGCTTCTTCCCTCTCCCAGGGTGACTCTGGTGGCCCTCTGCTGTGCCAGATGGGGCGGGACCGCTGGGAGGTGCACGGCGTGGTGAGCTTCGGACCGATCGGCTGCACTGTTGAGAACAAACCCAGCGTCTTCACCCGCACCGCCGCCTACATCCCCTGGATCGAGGCAACACGTATCAGGGACTTCTTCCTGCACTGAAGGGGGCCAGCAGACTCAGCACTGACAGCAAACATAAGCTCCGCTCTGTTTTTTGTCCGACGTCCACAGATGACTACAAACTGTTCTTTTTCTAAGAGCCACAGTTCCTTCATGTTCCCCCAGCATGTTTCTGGAACTTACAACCCCTTCAAGATGTAAATACTTGTTCTGAATGTGCAATAATTGTGTCTCAACACACCGTATTTCACGGTCTACACTCTGCACTACTCTGATTTGGAACAGGAGAAAGTTGGGACAGAGTGCAGCATAGTATACACTGACTCATGACTCGGGCTGTATGAGTTATACAAGTTATATTACAATTGTTTTGACAGATATTACGACATAATTCAGAGTTAGTGGGAATGATCGATGATTTTCAGTGAAAGAACGATTAAAATCTTGTTTTCTTACATCTGGAGATTTGCATGCCATCACATCTCTGCAGCACTACAGCACTTCATCATAATGCGGCTTTGTCACAAATTTGACCTTAATCAAAATAATTTAAGCTTCTTTCAATCATATTTTGATTAGTTGTGCAGCCCTACTCATGAGTTTTTACATCCAGTCTACATCTGCGTAATAAAAATGGTTAAAAAGCAAAATCTTTGTCAATATTTCCCATTTTTTTATTATAGTTTTTTTATATCTGGTTTGATGGAGACACATTAACAGCACGCACTTCCAGTACAGCTTTACAGTGATTTCTTTTTGCACAGTAAGACAGAAAGCACTGCAGGTACGCTTCAATAAATACAAGAGTAGAACTGATCGTAAGGCTTAGTTCTGTGTTTGTAGAGTCTTTCAGTCCAAAATCTGAAATCCACTGCTGTTCATCTGGTGAGCTACACACACACACCAGATGTCACCTTATAAATTGGCGCATTTAACCCAAATTTCATGGGTTGATTGGTTTCAAAACTAGCATCAATGAAGACTAATAATAATCTCTTTTAAACAATAATATAACAAATGACACACCTCTATATAATAACATCTTCGCAGGGTCGTCTCACCACTGATCAGATCAGTGAAAGGAATACCTCAGAAGATAAAGACATATGAAGAGAGGGGTGTTAAAGGACGGTCAACATCTGGACTCCCAGTGGAATTTAGTCTGCATTTTCACATCTTCCTTTTCAAAACACATCTTTTACTTCCCAGAATGCTCCTGGAAAGGAAAGTGGCTATGGAGGGGGTGAGGGGGGGGTTGAACCAGCGAACTGGGACCAACTCACACTTCCCGGTAAGAGCACACTGCATTTGACCAGAGTCTAATTCCTCTTAGTGCTGTGGTTAAAGGCTGTGTCCAGGAGAGATATTTGGCCCCAATGTGGAAGCAGATGTGTGTGGGAGACGTTAGTACAGTCTGGAGGATGACGAGGAGGAGCCGGTGATGTGGTCCCAGTTGTTGTAGAGAGCGTAGGCCCCAGACAAGGCTAAACCAGCCAGACCTCCTCGCGCTACGCCCTTTAAGCCACCTGCAAACACACAGTAGCACCACAATGAGTGATAAAGTACGTATGAACACAGACATCTGTATAACAGGAACTCCAGGAGATAATTCTTATTTTAAATAACCCAAAATACCAGATGAACATTAAATAGTATGAGACAAATACAAATATAGAGGTGGTGAAATCAGCACTGCAATCATTATTACAACATAATCTTGACATCATGTAACAATATTAGTATTTATATCTGTTTTAATGGTTATTAGTGCTCAAATGATTACACAATTAATCAATGTAACTTACAGACATTTAATCAATCAGATTTTAATGATAAATGTATCGTTTAAGGCATTTATAAAGCAAAAAGTTGCTGGTTTAATCTTCTGAAATATGAGGATTTGATGCTTTTCTGTTTAATATCACTGTTAACTGAATATCTTGGTCAAATAAAAACAGCAATCTGAAGACTTAACCTACGGCCCTGGGAGGATGTTATGAATTTCACAAATGAACTGACACATAAAATAAATAATCCCCAGGTTGATAAATAATGATAATTTGTTGCAATCTAATGTCCAATAAATGTATTTGACAGCCAAAATTCAACTGACTCTGCATGCTGTGATCGTTCAGCAAGATTAAAGTCATCATTCATTTATCTTATTTGGAGAGACAATAATAAAATCCAGGTATCTTCACCTCATTGTAATTCATCTGCAAGTACTCTACGGAGGTTAACTACACATTAGGGGCAGATACACAAGTGGAAAAGACACCTACTGCCTGATTTAAAGAGCATCCCAGTTAGCGTCCCAGCAGCCACTGTGTTGATGTCATCTTCTGCTCCTCTGGCCTTTTCTATCGCCACACCAAAAACACTATATAACAAGGCTGCAAAGGAAAACGCACAAAGTTTAATAAAAGGCAACGAAAACAGCTTAAAACACATCGATCGAGTGACAAAAGAAGGAACTTAAAAGTTAACAAACCAAACTACAAATCCATAAAAACATACCCTGTATTATACATTTAAACAATTGAGTTACATTATAATGGTCTTACCAACAGAGCCCAGAGTGTTGGCCCATGAAGCACCCTGTCTGGTCACCATGTTGATAATCCTGAGGGACAGAAAGCAATCATTTAGAGGACAGGTCAAGTGACACTAATATTATCTGTAATGATACTTGTAAACTAAACTGTCCCTATACTTACTGTACATTACGAGGTTTGGACCACGCCATGTCTCTAGTCTCCTTCAGGCCCATCCTGAGACCATTTACAGTTCCAAATGCTGCTCCTGTAATCAAAACCAAGAGGCTGAGTAAGGCATTAAGGTAACATTCAGAAACAAAACAACAATTTAAACATTAAACTATTTACTAATTGCCAGAACCATTAGCCTTAATCTGATCCTCCACTTTTCTGGGAAGACTTTCCATAAGAGTTCGGGAACCTGGCTGCAGGGATTTGCTACCATTCACCCACACAATCTCTAGTGAGGTCCACACACTGACGTTGGGTAATAAGGCCCGGCTCACAACTGATGTCTCAGTTCGTCACAGAGGATTTGGACGTCGAGGTCAAGGCTCTGTGCAGACCGCTCACGTCATTTTACAGCAAACTCTTTAAGAAACCTCTCTATGAACCGGGCCCCAACACTGAGGCCACAAAGTTGGACAAAGATTTATTCACATTTTTAACCTGGTTAAAAACATTACTTACATCTCACATATAATGCAAGTATATTATCCTCATTCTGACAACACATTTAACCTGGTAACAAACTAAATAAACCCTCTGTTAGCTGTAAGTTCAGTCACATACCGGTCATACAGGATCCTCCAATGGTAAAGAAAGCCAGTTCAAACCTCCCTCTCGTTTTATTGGCACCTGTGGGGAGGATGAACTCATCTGTGTCCTAAAACAAAACAAAAACAGCTGTTAACAATCAGAAAAACAACAAAAAAAAAAAATAAATAAAACCAGAAAGCCACTTCACCTGCACCAGGTAGCGAGGGTCGACATTGAGGTAAGGGGACAGAGGACTCATCCCAGTCACTGAAATTACATTACGACACAAATTAACCACCAATGCATTCAGCAGCAACGTACAGACACTGGATCCAGCTGCCAGTACAGCTGTTACAGGCTGATCTTCAGATAACAGAGATAACATTACGGAGACTCTTACAGGGAACACCGGCGAGCTCTGTGTTGGAGTATTCCGGTGCACCGCCTCCAAAGAGACCCCCGAGACCGGCTTTGGCTCCTCCTGATCCTTGTGAGTTGTCCATGGCTGTGAAATGATCCGAGGAGGAGGTGGAGGAGGAGGTGGAGGAGGAGGAGGAGGAGAGCACTGGAGCCGGGGAGGAGGTGAGCTGCTAGCCGAAGCCGACCTGGCTACACGTTAGCAAGGCGCTTGCTATGTCGCAAAAACTCAAAATATGAGATAAACTGATGGACGACGAGCAGCTGGAGTCACCGCCGCCGACAGACGTTATCCTGTGAGCGCGTACAGTGAGTCTTTGAGGGAGTTTACCGGGTAAAAACACCGGTTTTTTCGTCTCTTGATTACCGGACTCGACTTCTCGTCTGACCTCCAGGAACACGCTCTGCCGTAAAGCGACTCCAGACGTCGTGCTGTCGTTGCGTCAACAGAGCCAGTCGTGAAAATGTGTAAACAACAAACATTTAATCTCACGATTTAAAGATCACACGTGATTTAAAAGTGATGAGTAAAAACAAAAATAAGACAAAAACTGTTTTGATCATGTTAGTGCGAGCCCGGTGATTTTACGACACCTCCACTGATCTGGGGTCTGTTTATTTAACCAAAGGGCAAACGACGTAAAGCAGCCTGATCATTATAAAACTGACTGCAGGCGAGGAGCAGAAAGTCTGACAGCAAATATCGATTATTAATCAATGATTTGATCATGTTAGTGGGAGAGAAAGAAGCAACAGGCTGTCACAAAGTAAAAATACACTATACTCATTACCCAAAAGCTTGGTTTTCAAAGTAAAAGCACAGAAATAGTAGAATCATGTCACTTTTTATAATGTAATATAAGTAAAATCTGAGTATGTAGTAATTAGTAAAAAATAAATAGCGTAATAAATGGAGTAAAAGCTGTAATATTTGCTGCTGAAATGTGAATATAAAAGTGGAGACTGCCTGAAAATGGCAGGGAAACATCAGACATGCTCATGTGAGGGACGCCAGGAAGAAGAGTCAGTGGAACAGTTTTGAGTTGTAAAATGGGACAGAGAGAGAGAAATGATGAGGAAATAAACTGAGGGTATTGTATTTAAAGGATACAGAGGTTTTCTATAGGATAAGATGGATGAACAGGAATAGGTGATAGGGTGGCTGATGTGACTGACTAGAGTGTAAAACACAGAGGATGAAGCATAGTTTGGGCTCTATGTGTGTGTGTGTGTGTGTGTGTGTGCTTGTTTAGGGGATTAGATCTACACTCTGGAGCAGAAGGGGGCAGTAATGCACCAATAAACTGGATGCCAGCTGCCGTAAAACAAGAAAAAGAAGAAGACTGAGGCCCGAAACCAGCCTGCACTTCAGAACATAAGTGGGCACCAAATATAAAACTAAGTAGAGCCTTTATCCCCTGCAAATTCTGTGTGTGAGTGCAGGACCCTCCTTAGGTTGCCCACAGCCTAGTTCACACTACCTGGTTTTAGTGAACTGGGCATTAAATAACTGAACTTAAAACTTAAACCAAATTAAGAGCATTAATGTGTGTTTGAATGTGTTTTGTTTACTATGGAGCCGGAGTAGCGACGATGGCAGGCGAGGAAAGAGACTCAGAGAAAAAAGATGAACATGGCTCAAGCAGACAGACTCAAGTTGGGGCAACATGTGAAACAACTAAGGGAACTAAAGTACAAAAAATTGGAGAGAGGGGAGGTTGGCCGCCGCAGCAGCAGGAGTGAGGATCCTCAGATGGCTGCAGGTCCTCACTCAACAGGTGGTTTGGCTTCAGGAGCAGATATTAGAGGTCCAACTTGCTGTGCTGATGTGCTGGTAACCTCTCCGCAGTAGCTCTACGACGTATTTGGGTCATTTACCTTGAGATTTGTAGGCCAGGGCATCTTCATTATAGTGCTGTCACATATTTTATCAAACAACTGCAGCTACTGTGATTGCATTTGGTCTTATTGTGATAATGTTTTTGATTAATTGTGCAGCCCTAATTTATCTCAAGTATATCGTCTGTGTGTTTAAGTATATGCATTTTACTCACACCCACGTGTGTATTGAATTTATTTATCACTCTCACTATCACCACGGTGATTATAATGTATTGGTTAACACTTAAATATGTTAACAGCTCCGTGTTGGTTGAAGATCTATTAATGGAGCTGGTTAACATCGAGGTACTTAAAACACAGAGTGGTTTTTACTCTGTGTCCACAAAACAGGAAGGGGATGTTTACCGCGCTGTGCTCGTAGTCTGCTGTCAAACCTCCCTCCACAGTGACAGTTATGGTGTTGATGATCTCTACAGTTTGTGGCACTTCTTTCCCGCCTAACCTTAGAAGACTGGAAGGTTTGACACCATAATTTACTAATATAAGTCTAATATTGATTCATTTTTAAGTAGGTGGTGGCTCAGAGCAAACAGAAGGGAGCCCCAGAAGATCATGTAGGTTCCTGTTGCTGCTTGTATGGGCACAATAAACTCTTTCACATCAGATTGTGCCAGACTCGAGTGTTTTCTTCCCTCCAATAGTTATTACAGACTTTAACTTGCTCCAACAAATACAATCCACTATTAAAGAATACCAAAGGACCTTGAATGAATCTTCAGTTTAAGCTCAGTTAAGCCAAACTTTATTCATTTATAAAATGTTATTTAAAGTTCCACTGTGTAACATTGAGAAGGATCTGTTGGTAGGAATGGAATATAATATTCATAAGTATGTTTTTCATTAGAGTATAATCACCTGAATGTAGGGATTATTGTGTTTTTATTACCTTAGAATGAGCTGATATTTCTGCAGTAGTCTAGCAAGAACAAACCAAACATTGGCTGTAGATAGGGACTTAGGGGAGGCATGTTATTCAGCTCAAGGAATAGATGTAAAGTTCATAAGTCTGCCCACATAAACACACCTCGGAATCATGTGTCTGTTTTAAAGAGATTTGGTTTGTTCTGTTTAATCTAGAAGAGATTGGTTTGTTTTATTAATGTATTTATACTTTTTTCAAATCCTCTCTGACATACATACATTTATGTATGATGATATTTTTTAATTCATTACAAGCCCTTACATTATATCTACTGTAAATAAAAGAGTGCAACAGACTTTAATGGGATCATATGATTCTTAAATTTGCTTGAAATACTTAATACTTAAAATAACAAAAAAAACTATATTTTCAGTGTTTTCAATGTATGTTTTATAGAGAAATCAGATATTACTGTTGAAACTGGATGGATATACATTTATTTAAAGAATACTTTAAGAAGAAGTAAAAAAAAGTGGAGTTCCTCACATGTGACACAAGGTGGCAGCAGAGAGCTGATAGTAAAAGGTCAAACCTGTTGGTTCTTGCTGCTCTTCAGTCACCCTAATTAGGGCCTAATTTAATTGGCTGTTTTAGTTACATTTTTTTCCCGTCATGGCAGATTCAAGTTGGATTTGCATGATGCTGTTTGCATCTCTTAAAGCAGAGAGGTTGAACAACTTCCACATGACACCTGTCCGGCCTTTAAATGCCCGATTCCCCACCTTCCAGACCTACCGGATACTTACCCATGATGCAACCGAGAGAGACCACACGCATGCACACGTACGTGCACGTTTATGCAGCATAGCCCCGGCCATCTGCTGCCGGTCAAAGGGACAGAGGCACTGAAGGAATTTAGTGTGTTGAATTTCACGAATAACAGAGCATCTTATTTGGATTCTGCCATTGTATGTGTGTATTCAGAAGGGGCCAAGTGGAGCGATGAAGTTTGCCATTGTCGCCCAGTGTGGGTGTTTTCAGACTCTCTGGCATGATCTGTGAGTTAGTGTTCTCTGTGTTACTGCCCAGTGTGCCCACTGTCTTTCCCACAATGCCCCATTCAGCCCTGGGCCTCTCTCTCTCACTCTCTCTCTCTCTCTCTCTCTCTCTCTCTCTCTCTGCTCACACTCTCAGACTGAACTGGCACCCATTTTGTGCCTCTGGCTAATCATCATCATCATCACCATCATCATCATCATCATCATCATCGTCGTCGGGCTACAGACCAAATTTTCAGTTGTGGGAAAAAATAGCTGTGATGTCATCTTTGTTAACTTTTTCAGCCACTCTTGTTTTCATCTTCTCCCTCATTTCCTCTCTTCCTCTCTCCCCCTTTCTCTCTCTCTTTCTTTCTGTCTCTCTGAGCTCCCAAACACAAAAGACAGAGAGGCCACGACAGGACCCCAGTGTATGCTGGTTGTCAAGGAGACAAGGAGACAGTGTTGGGTCTTTAAACTGCCTCAGAGGGGTGTGTGGAGTTAGGGGGAGTTGGCCTTATTTACATGGGAAGAGGACAAGGGGAGAGAGAGGGGTTTGAAATACAACTTTTGAGCAGCTTATAGGACTCCACTGTTATTCAGCTAAAATCATTCTGCCTCTCAGTCATCAAATATTTACCAAGCAGAGGAAATCTGGAGCTGTTCATTATGTGGAGAATGCCGTGCATACATAGTAATGTAAATCAACCTGTCTTTTCCCCTCACGCGCACACACACACACACACACACACACGCACACACACACAGACACACACATACAACCATGCTTTTGATTGTAAGCGCTGGGAGCTCTGGGCCCCAGTGTTGGCAATGGCGAGAGCTGACTGCAGAATACATTACCAGATGCTTGAGGAGTGTTTCATACCAGACTAGTAGAACAAGAAGGGGAAAAAAACAAAAAACACAGCACGAAAACTTGACTGAAAACAGGAAAAAAAAAAGTACACACCCATCCAGACACACATTCACCCCCCACCCATCTATATCCACACACACACACACACACACACACACACACACACACACACACAGTATTTTATTCTCTCTCTCTCTTGCTATCTTCCACTCTGCTTCTTCCTGTCCAGAGGATTGTCTGCAGCAGTCACATTATGTCCTCTCTCTCTCTCTCTCTCTCTCTCTCTCTCTCTCTCTCTCTCTCTGTGATCAGGGGGCTGGGGTTGCGGCCGCAGAGCAGGCTCAACTCCAAGCCTGAAGTTCAATATCAGCCCCCAACTCCACAATGAAAGCAGGAAGGGCAGGGAGAGGACGAATGAGCCACCCACTGCTGCATTCACCACGGAAAACCCCATGTGACTCTCTTCTTTTTGAGTGCGTGTGTGAAACCCTTTAAATGTGTTGTTTAAAGGGAAGTTTTACTTTTAACTTCAAGTGTCGAAGGCTCAAAAGGCTTTCCCTCTTTTTGATTTTAATTTCTAATAAGTGAGATAGAGAGATAGAGGGGAAAAAGAGCCCAATTAAAACAAATGTAGCTATCCTAATACATGTAGGTTATTAGCAGTAGACTTCAGGGACAAGCTGTGATCCTGTGTAATATTTACTCTCTCTGCAGATGTTTGAGGGCGAGCTTGCA